AGAATAATAATTGAGAAGAACAAAACATTATCACACTTACAACACAATTCATGAAATAATATTTTGAATTTCCATCAAAGTATATTGACTTGAACAATATTGTTCAATATTATAAGATCCGAATGGTTCTTTGGGAAATGAAAGCAGACGTACGACAAGAACAGTTAAAAAAAAAAAAGGCTAGGGGGCCTAGAGCAGACATTCGACTTGAGTTGAAAAAATGGTGAGAGTAGACTGTTGACTTAAACGGTAAAAAAAGTTTTCGTGGCTGAGAGCATGCAAATGACTGCCACAGTAAAAAGCAACTTTTGGTGCCTGAGAGCACACATACATCTAGAACAGTAAAAAACAGTTTTGGTTGCCGAGAGCATACAAATGACTGGAGCAGTTAAAAACCAACTTTGGTGCCTGATGGTGCACATACAACTAGAACAGTAAAAGATAGCTTTGGTGGCTGAGAGTAGATACACGGCTGTAAAAGATTCAGCATTTCGCTTCGCTTTTATTGTTTTTATCTGAAATATTTATCTCAGTATTTAAAGTATATGTTTTCTCACACATGACAGAATTTCGTCAAAACTTATGGTTTACCTTGGAAAGTATGAGTTTAAAAAGTAATTCTGATGTACGACTACTTATCAATAAACGCTGACAATTCATATCTGCTTTATAACCCTTTTATTTTAAAACTGCTTATATAACAAATGTTAGGACAGTAAGTTACGTAAGCGTGAAATATTACACGTTTTTCATGACTAAATTCGCCAAACTTGTCACTATAAATCAAATAAAAGTGATTTATTTCTATTTCAAATAATTTTTTTGCATGGATACAAAAGAACAAAGAAGTCTAACAGAAGAAAAATAGATTTATTTCGAAAAGAAATTTTGATAAATAAATTGTAGTAGCAAATAATCGTAATTGATTTAATGTAAATGACTTGAGCGAGTCTTTTATTCGATAGTACGGTCTAGAAACATTGATTTCTAAATTCAATTTTTGGAGATTCTGTAAAAGGTATAGAAAAAGAGAAAAAAATCACTTTTATTTAATGTTGAATACTTCTTAAAACATTTCAAAGTTTAAAACTTATAAAATAGTTTTTGTATTGACTAAAGAAAAAAATTCATATATTTCGATACTACCGGTTATTTAAAGCAGATTTGATATTTTGTTTAACTTTTGCAGCATGCGTTCCTATTCTTTATATCGAAATGTAGTAGTATCTCGATTATCCAAATATTTATGCAAACCTAAATCGTGGTCGCTCAAAAATTAAATTTAAATGTTATATAGAACTACCATAAAAATTTAAAATTCAAGAATCCATTCATGATTTTGTCTTTTTCTACCAAAAAAAACTGTCTATTTTAAAGACGAATAAGTTATTAAAAATATTACGAATTTGCATAAAGCTTGATTTATATTGTAAAATAAATTGTTCCTGAGTCTAATTATGCAGTAATTACTGTCAAAAAAAATTGTTTTTCTTATTTTTTAAGTAAAAACTATCTTAAATATATACTGTCCCCTCTGTTACAATTATTCTTTTAAGTTTATTTCATTCACTACACAAAAAACTTTTTAACTTATTATTTGGTTTTTATAATAAAGTCTATTAGTACAATCGTGTTATGTTATGTTTTTGAAAAAAAATTTTAAATTTTAAAGTTTCTCATATAACAGAGGGGACGTAACAGAGAGGACAAAACTAAATGTTCCCTCAGTTGCACAAAACTGATAGGTTGGCCATTAGAAAGAAACTGTAGGAATGTATACAAGTGCTAATGCATCCTGATTCAACTGGTTTAAACCAGTTCTTCCACTATTAGAGCACACTTTTTGTACAAAGCTGTGCCATTTTTTTAAATAGTGTGTTTAGTTTATAGTTAAAAGTTTTTTAAGAGAGTAACCAATGTGGGGAAAAAAGCTGCAGAAAGAATGAAAGAATATAGAACTGGAATGTTCCAGAAAAAAAAGATATTTGTAAGAAGAAAGATAAAGAATAAAAAACGAAAGTTTATGATAACAGAAATATTTTGGAGAAAAAAAATTTAACAGAGAAATAGATAAATTTAATAAAAAAGAAGACAAAGGAAAAATAAAAAGGCACTGATACAAGCAGTGCAAATTCAGGAAGGATATTCTCTTTATAATATTCCTTAGGCATTGGAGAAAATTAAAAAAGCAAACAGTGCATTACCTGTATCTCCAAGAAAACGTTGTACCGTTCTATGCATACCCTGTAACCTTGTTACTAAAACAAAAGAAATAGCCTAGTAACAAAGTTTCTGATGAAACAAAACAAAAAACTTGTAATAAATGTCTTCTCACCTGTTAAACTTTCTTACCACACTTCTGGTGGAGCTGAGTGCGTGATTGTCAAAGAAAATGGACAGAAAATCCACAAAGCCAAATGTGCATCATGATGGAAGCATATTAAGTATCAAAGCAGATGCATCCGAACATAAAAATTGGCAAATCTAAGTTTTGCTGTACTACGACCTATAAATATTTTATGCGTAGGTAAAACACCATATAAAATATATATATGCTATTGACGAAAACGTGAATTTTCTATTAAAATCACAGTTGTTTGCCTAATAATTATATATAATTACTAAATATAACGACTTGCGACAATCGCTCAATTGACTTTTTATAACCGTCGTTGAACAGCCGACCCAAATTTGTGACCCAATGAATGTCGTTGAACAGCCGACCCAATGTTCAACTCCGTAGCCTTGTAATTTTGAACCCAATCCAAAAGACATGGAAACTCCTCGATCAGTACCCTCAGAGGTATTGATTTGTTTTGAGAACATGGAGGACTTTGGGACCTGACATATTTAATGTACACCATTCACCCTTTAAAACACTGGGATTCTTTTGATGTTGCTATAGATAATTTTGCAAGCATAAAAAGTTCTAGGAAAAAATTGGATAGCTAATTTTGTTGCCCAAATAACTAAAATTGAGAAAGAAACAAACAATGCACTTGTTTTTTTAAAACAGGGTCTGGTAAAATAAAAACTTTCAAATATAACTACAGAGATGTAGCACGGGTTTCAATAATAGCAGTGCTGCTAACTCCAACTTTAAATACCAGAAGAGTCACTTTTAACAGTGATATTTCCCTTCAACTTTTTGTCCTATTCGTTACATTCCATGTCCTCCCTGTTACGGCGTATTATTTGTACTTATAAAAGGGGGGCTGGAATTTTAAAAGTCTTATAATAATTCAATTTACCTTGAAATGGGATAATTTAAAAAAATACTACACATAATGCTTAGGATGGTTCAAATCACAAAATTTAGCAGAAATAAAAGTGCATGTCAAAAATGATGGATTTCATTTGTCCTCTTTGCCACAAGTACTTTTAAATAACTTGCAATTTAATTATGAGGCTCTTTTATTATTTTATGCCAATTAATTAAGCATTGCACCCTAAAGTAGCATATTCTAGTAGAATTTTGTTTTCAAAAATATTTAATATATCTTTTAGAACAAAATACTTGTGTAATTTCCCCTCTGTTGTGCGTGGAATTCAACATAATTTTTTTCCAACTATTTAATTTCACTGAGGATATTAGGAGTTCAATTTAAATAATGAGATATCTAGAAATTCAAAAAACGGTTCATTATCTATAAGATTTACAACAGATAAAGGGTAGCACTTTTGTCTATTTTTCTGCATGATTGCCATTTTAGTCAATGCATTTTTGTAGCGGGAGTTTTTGCATGTCCATGACGTAACTGCTGTCCAACGCATTCTTCAGTTAGCATGCTTGATTAGGAGTGGTTGAAGCACAATCACAACTACTCGCTTACACTAAAAATTTCCCGGAATAAATTGCTGTAAAAAGTACCTGCACTCAGTGTTCTTGTACTTTTAACCGGTGCATGTTACGGAATAAAAATTTGACGCACCTTAATTTTTACAATAATAATTACCGTGAGCCGAGATGGCTCAGGGGATAGAGCATTCGCCTTCTAATGAAGTAAACCGAGTTCGATTCCCGGCGATGGCTGGTCGATGCGAATCAGCATCCGGATCGCACCGACCACAGTGCTGACGGTAAATAGCCTCAGTGGTAGACGGATCATCAGTTAGAGTCCCCTTTCCATCAGGCTAACCGTGGGAGGCTCTCGTGGTCTTCCTCTCCATGTTTCGCAAATGCGGGTTAGTTCCATCAAAAGTCCTCCACGAAGGTTCTCCCTATACTTGATCCAGGAATTTCCTTGTCTTCTGGATTGTGTTCAAAATTACAAGCCTACCGAGTTGAACATTAGTAGTCGTAAACCCAAAAATTGGGTCTTCTGTGCAACGACGGTTGTAAAAAAAATACTAATAATTACCTTCAAATCAATGAATCACTTTAATCAAATAAATATTACTGTATAATAATGAAAGGTAAATTGGATTTTACGTTAAAATAGATTTTACGGATGATGCATCTAAGGAGCTGGTACTTTATATCGTGGTTTTATCCAAAAGTTTCTACTGTGTACGTCAAGAAGTCGTTCTCCTGCTGCGATTTCAATCAGATATTTCCCCAACCCACCCAATAGTTCGATCAGAAAACCTAGTGATCTTTCTTTAAATTGGCTTTAACAGAAATGTGATTCAGCTCAGGTGACCAGGTGAAGAGGAAAATAAGTTCAATTCTCGCTTAAGAATATGGCGGGGAGCTGGCACGACACGGGCATACACTAACTGTCACAGAGTCTGCAAAATTACTTCGAATGGTAATTATGTAAAAATTTAAAAACTTGCTTATTATTGCATATTGTAAAAAATAAATACATTTTTTTTATCTTTCTAAATTATAATAAAAATAATAATAAGGTACCTTATTTCATTGCCCTAGTATAAGAACACCAATAAAGAATCATTTTTTGTATAAAAATCCTTATTATTTATTATATAAATAAATATAAGTTACTGAATGATATTTTATTTATTATATGAATAAATACGATTTCAATGACAGTATATTAGATTATTAAGCATGTTTTATTTACAATAAATGAGGGATAAAATCAGCATAACTTAATAGTGAATATTTGAACCAAACAAATTCAATATTTAAATTGAAATAGTCGTAAGTTACAGAATCTTGTTCTAAATGTTCAATGATAAGTCTTTTCTTGTTCATGTTTCAAAGAATCTTTGATGGGACGCTTATTTCTTTTATATTCTGATGAGATGAAAACTAAAATAAAAAAAAAAATTACATTGAACAATTATCATTTCAAAATTCAATAGCATACGAAATATATCTCTATATAATGCGTTTCATACTATCAATTCAAAATTTATCTAACTATTACTATTCAAAACAACGATATTTATTTACGTTTACTGTTTACGACTATATTAATTTAACAATTGCAAGAATACAAAACTTTTTGTAAAAAATTCTTCACAAAATTTCGGTATAAATTATCCAGCTCTCACAGTGCCAGTACTTTTTATCGTGAAATAAATTTTTACCGTAAAGTTTTCTTTAAAAAAAACCCATACTTTAAGTACTTTTTACAGTAATATTTGCTGAATCACTCTAATTAAGTGAATACTGTAAGAATTAAGACAAAGATTGTACTGTAAGATTTTACGGTAAAAAGTATTGGCATTTAGGACTTTTAATCATAATTTTATGATGATTTTTTTACAGTGTACTAACATTAAAAAGTGATGACTGATGTTAGAAAATCCAGAAATTCGTAAATTTAAATTACACAAAAATTGTTTTACAAGAAGGTAAAAATAAAGTACCTACTCGTTATTAATGAACTCATAAATAGGAATACAGCAATGGCAATATTTGATGATCTCTGTCCCCAAGCATCCAGCAGGCGGGAAGCAATTTCAGTTAATATAAGACCAAATAACTGAAATAAGAATGTATGTAATCAATTAAAATTTTCTTTAATGCAATAATAAGTAAGAATATAAAAATTTATGTGTTCCCACTTTGCGCAAAAAGCAGTTATTCTGCAAATTATCTAGATCAGCGATTCCCAAAAGGTGTTCCGTGAAAGGATTACATAGGATCCGAAATTTAGGATTTTTTTCTAACCAGTAATAAGTATACAATTTATGTCTAATCAATTATCCATTATTTATTTAATATTTCGGTCGCAAAATGTCAATTAAAAATAGCAATTTTTTAAAAAGAAAACTTTGGTAATCTATTGAATAAATTATAGAAAAGACATGCATTTATAAAAAAAAAAGCTTTCCAATTCAAAATAGAATAGCTAAATTCAAGAATAAGACATTTATAATATTAAAATTTCTTTCATTTCATTATTTCCAAACTAATTAATAGTCTTATTTTTTTTTTGGTTAGTATATTTACAGCTGCTAATGAATTCTCGCCGTATCGTTTCAATACCGTCCATCCTTTACGATTACACAGTCGAAAAAAATTGAGAACCGATGATCTATATAATGTGCAGATTAATTAGGGTGATCACGCAGTGTTTCCCAACCCTGTAAGGCCGCTGACCGGTCAACGTTTGATAACTTTACCACTGCCCTCTGAGTTGGGGGGGGGAAGACGTTGATTGTTAATGCTATAGATTGTTTTGATTTAATAACTTTAATTTTATTGTACTTAAAAATTCCCTTAAAATAAAATACAATTAAATGAGCAGTACCAGTGTGTGGCTTCAAGCAACGTCTCTCAGCCTTCGCTCAGTACCATTTGATCCACGAACTGGAGCGGGGTTTGGAGACCACTACATTAAAGTAACGAGAATTATTTCGTTTCTCATATTACCTTAGTAATCAGCATATTTTCTGATCACTTGAGTAATATAAGCACTCGTTAAAGTGAAAATAAGATCTTAGATGAAACAACAGCAACGTTTTGTATGTTTAAATTAATATAATTTCCTTTAAATATCTGCTGAATCAAGTTAATACAATCAACCAACCAGAGGATTAATTGATGAAATCAATCAGCTATCAATTTGAAAACCATATTACAAAGAAATAATTGGTTTAAAATGTTATTAAAATTATGAATGTTTGAAAAATGCTGAAAACACTCGATATCGCACTTCAATGGATTAACCTAGTTACCTTGCAGATAAGTTAGGTAATGTGCACATTTATTTATTTCGAGCTTATAATGGTAGCTTAAATAGTAAATAAATGTCCTATTTTTAAATGCAAGAACACTAATAAAAAGTAAATAAAATAGTAAATATATCATATAAATTATTAATTTAAGTTATGAGGTTTTTAATTGTTTATCTCAATATTGCAGCACTCGAGATATAAATGAATCAGTCTTGATTGATTTGTCTAAAATGATTATGAATATAGTAATTTACGGTATTTTTGTTGAAATAAATAGAATTATTGAAAAAATGGCTCATGTTTGAAACAACTCGCAATTTTGAAACGCTCAAAAGATATATTTCTCATAAACTTTCTTTTTCAAAAATATTTACGTTAAAAGCATTTTATCAACTTTTTTTGTCAGTTATATAAATTATTATTTCTTCTTTTTAACTTTTCTTCAATGTTAAAAAATTGTAACTGCAACTGTTTTAGGCTTTCAATTTTTAGATTTTCAACACTAAGAAACGTGTAAATATCAAGAAGTGTATAAAATGTATAGGAAGTGCAACGAGATAATAGCAAAAACTAACGCAGAACATACTGCTGCCCAGAAAAATGCAACCAAAGAGTTAAATTTGTCACCTTTCATACGTATCAAATATGTAATTTTTTCAGTCTCTCACTCAAGGTTATTTGTATTTATATTTCTTAATGCAAAATCCATTACTTTATATTTTAACATCTTTATTCATTTACAGTTGCCGAATAATATTTGTAATCATGAGGGAAAGACGCTTTCAATTTCTGACCGATCTTTATTGAGGTTAATAAGAGCAAAGGTGGGACAAAAATATTCTAATATTGCTTATTAGAGGATGTAGCTTAAACACGGTTCATAGGGAAAATTAAATGCTTTTTAATTGTGCCAGGTAAATAAATTAGTTTGCGATAATTTTAACTATTTTTTTACCTCAATCATAAGTCTGTTTTTTTACCTCAATCATAAGTCTGTCTCAATCATAAGTCGGTCTGTCTTCTGGAATTTTAATATTATTATCTTAAATTGAAAAAGCATATTTTTTAACAAATTTTTCTTGAGGGGTTTTAAAGCAATGTGAAATAAGTGTGGTCCTTACATATTCTGATTCCAAAGCAACAAAGATTATGTTACATAATGGTACTTACATTTGAAGAAGCATTCAGTAATGATGCACTTATAATTTCAGGCTCTGGAAAAGTCAATTCGATACCATACTCTAAACCAACTGGTAAAAAGCTTGTCAGAAAAAATCTGTCAAAAAGAAAACATGTTTCATTACTTATTTTTACATTATTCTAATGTGAAGTTTGACATCGTCGAAGATTCATGTACCATGCGAAATTCATTTACGCAGTTATTCTAACATTTTTCTCAGTATGGGAGATAGCCTAGCGTCTTGATCTTGAACATATCTTTTTTGTTCCTTAAGAGGAATTTTAATGCTGAATTTATTATTTATGTATTTTATATATCATATATTTTTATACACTGCATTTTATATGCTATTTTCTTAACTGATGTTTGCAGTGGCCCCCACCCCCCAAGNCCCCCCCCCCAAAAAAAAGGTCCTGAAAATGGCCAGTTGCTTCTTTTATTTATGTACTTTAAAAAAAATTTTCTCGTCTAAATTCCCCCCCCCAAACTATTCGTATTATTTAGTGTAAAAATTCTCCCTCCCCAATCTTTAAGTGGGAGCATCGTGTTCCCACCTTCCCCCCTAATGGGGGCCCCTGGACGTTAGTTTATAACAGTTACTCATTTACTGTTAGGTCAAGTTTAGCCTATCTTAAGCCAGCGCTCCCTAAGTTTATTCTGAAAATGGCGCAAAACGTCAAAATAGAGAAAAGCCACAGTTTTGAGAAAATAAAAAGCATTTGTGGTCTAATTTTTTAATATTTTGAAACTTACTCCAACGCTGCATTATCTCAGTTCATGGGAATAAGACATTGATTTTGATGATTTTCATCCAGATGGAAAAGTGTCGCCAAATTGGCGATTTTTTAAAAAGTTAAATAACTTCTGAAATATTTTAATTATTTGTCCGTTCTAAAGCCCAAATAACTCTTTACAACAAGATGGCACATACAGTTAAAAACTATAGGTTTGCTATAAGTCTTTTAAATTTTCCTTGGCGAAAGAACTTCGAAAAACCCTTCGACAAAAAGCTAAGCCTGTCTTATCCAATATGCACAGGATATGGCGGTGATAAGGAATTTAAATATCCCAGATATTATAATCAGAAATAATGTTTCTTAAGGTTAATGAAATTTAGTGTGTAAACTGAAGAATAAACAGCAAAATCAATTTCTAATTTTGATGTAATAACAGGAAGTAATCTAATTAGTTCAATTTGGATGAGATATTTTATGGAATTGCGAGAATACTTTTCTAGAGAAAGAATTAATAATTTACTGAAGGAAACTGATTATCAACAGTGAGTGCCTTTTTAATGAGATTACTATTGGAACGAATTCGAGAGGCAATGTGAGCAACCTTACGATAGCCAGTCGTCTTTTGATATGGGTGATTAAAGAGGGAATAAAACTGCAAACTGTTAACCCTAAATTTAACTCTGAAATTAATTAAACTGTTTAGCTGCAATTAAATAGTTGAAGACATAGCAAAAATGAAATATTTTAATTAAAACTAATATCGTTTATTCTTATTGAATTTACGTTGCTGTTTTATTAATTTTCCAAATTATATTTCTTAAATTAGTTTAATTCAAAACTGAAAAAAAGTAAATGTCTTATTCTTCGACATATTTTTAAGCCTGCGAAGTAATAATCGAATAAAAAAAATGATTATTAAACATTTAGCACTAAAATTAATGCTATTATGCATATAAAGTTAATGTTATAAAACTAGATTGTATGAAAAGAAAATCAAAATGTATCCAAATTTTATGGAGAAAAAAAAAACTCTTACCCAAATATGCCAATCGTCAAGAATGTGACCCATAGAGATTTAATCACCAGTAGCGTACAAAACAAGATGAAAGTAAGCATACTGGCAATGCATATTCCCAAAGTAGTTTCTCTAATTAAAGTAAAATAAAAACGATCAGACTTTTAAAATTTCAATAAATAAAGTTGAAGATGAGTGCAAAAGCGAGTAGTTGCGTGTCGGGAGAATTTTCAAAACAATAATTTTCCTTTACGAAATTTAATACTAGTTTATTTTTTTAGTTAGTAATACTTGTTTATTTTTTTATAAAGTATCACGAAAAAAAAATATTTTTAATTCAGTTATCCCGTAATAATTATTATATAAACATAAAAAGATTTAAAAAAAATAGAAATGTGACAAGTGTTTTAAAATGCAACTTAAGAAATCATAACATTTTAGATTTAATAATAGTTAACGATGATGACAATGGGCTATTGAACATGACATATTTGAATCCTTTGCATTAGTTTAAGTTATTTATTTTTTTACAATATTTTTTTTTATAAAAAAGTATTTTTTTAAAATTTTTTTAGCAAATTTAAAACAAATTTTTTTTTAAAGTGCTAAATTTATGCCACAAATATTTTGACTAACAGGTTAATTTGAATGTATGTAAGGTCACATCTGGAACCTTATAGATATTAAGGCATGCTATTACATGACATGCTAATTAAATGTTATACATTTTGTTTATGCTTATTTTTATTGCTAATTGTTAAGGTTATTAGAAATGAATATCATATTTTTCATTACAACCTATTCAAATTTCAAAATTCGCAAAAAAGAAGGAAAAAAACTTAGAGATACTTAATGAACTTAATAGAGTGACTTAATAAACTTTAAAGCTCTTTAGCTTACTGCTTCATATAATAAATATTATTAAATTGACCCCTTGAAGATTACATAGTATTGAGCCAAAAACAAATGAATAATTTGTATTACTCTTTTTCCGTCATATACAGGAGAAATATGAAAAAATTATGTCAGCATAAAATTACTACCCCTCGAAAGTATTTTTTCTCTATACGAAGAATAGAAGTCTAAGTTTCAGTTTTTATTTAATTTATTTATTTGTTTTCTCACGGTGAAAAAGTATTCTGGGGAAATTTCCAGTAAGAAATCGATTATTTTTATTGAAAAAACCCAAAATATACGGTAGTTAAACCATTAATTTTCTAATCTTTTTTTTATATATGGTTACGGGTATACAAGAAATTATACTTCTTATTACCATGCATTTATTAAAAAAATACAAACTGAAAAATAAATTTTGCCGAATAAATGATTTTTATGCCATGCTTTAAGGTGTATCATAAAAAAATTAACTCGTATACCAAATTTTACCAATTTTTTGTTGCTGTTAATTTGACCATAATCATCATTTGTCCAAGTAAGCAATTCAGTAAAAATTACCGAACTTATTAAAGTTTCCATAGAGAAACAAGGTAAATTTTGCCATATTCTGAGAGTTTTGACTATACCTTTTTACTCAATACAGTAATCAATTCTTTAAATACAATATTAAAAGCAACATATCTTTTCTGAAATTTATATTTTGATAGTTTTTTTATTATTTATTTACTAATTTAGTTTTTTTGGGGGGGGGGGATTTTACATTGCATATCTAAATTTCGTGAATTTTTCAATTTTTTAGAAAGAAAAAAAAACTTAAACAATATTTTTTAATTAACTTATCGGTTGATTTATATCCAGTAAATATAAAGAAACAGTAAATACAATTTTTTTGAAAAATTGTGGCTTTCAAACTTAGATTAAGATAGAAATAATTTTAGTTAATCTTAAGACAGGAATTAATTTTTTTACAATTTGATTTAAAAATATGTATTAATAGCGATTATAATAATTTCTCGATCAATGTGAATTTTTCAGGGAGAAATTTCCAACGATAAAAATGCTTTTATGCTGAGTAAGATATTTTGACTTTCATGGATTTGATTTACTCACTTAAACCTATGGGTGTAATCAAGAATCGTACCAGCAATCATGGAACCTACGAGGCCAGAAATGATAAAAAGAGTACCCATCCAACCAATTTCAACTTCTCGGTGCTAAAAAGTTAAAATTTAGTCAATTTAGAAAATTAAATGAAAATATTATGCATAAATTGAAATTGATTTAGAAAATTAAATGAAAATGTATTGCATGATTGAAAAATTCTAAGAATACTAAATAAAATATAGAGGAGAGTCGGGTAGCCCCGCCCACCTAAGGAGTTTTGCTTATATTTCTGTATAATATTGAGTAATAATCAATATTTTTGTATGTTTCTATTGTTTTACCATCTAGTTAAATAATGCAAAAAGAATAAACCAAAAAAAGAATAGTTTAACTTAAAAAAATAGAAATTTAAAAAAACATGTTTTTTAGCTCCTTTCAAGATGTGTCGGGTAGCCCCGCCCAGNTTTTTTTTAATCGATCGATCCAGCCATTTGATGCACTGAAGCCTTGGAGTTTAAGCCTTTCAGCAATTTCAAGCGCCTTTTCTCTCAGGATGGATCCATTTATAGGAATCTTTGCTGCTCTGGCTTCCTTGAACCAGTTCATTAAAATTTTTTCTAACTCATCATACGGAGATGTTTTAAGGGTTTTTCTCTTCTTGGCATATTTTCCGAGTTTTTCAGCGTTCAGTTCTACTGAAGCTTCTTGCTTTAAAATCGTTTGCAAAGTTGAATAAGCAATACCCAAAGATTTAGCAAGATCAACTTTAGTGCCATGAAATTCTTTAGCTTTATCGACGATTTCAGCCTTTTCGGCCAGAGAAAAGCATTTTCGCTTTGACATCTTCTTTCGAGAAAAGAACACGATGACTGAGTTTTCGAAAATGAGAAAAAATTCTATGGCTTTCAAACTCAAACAAAACAGACTGAAAATCTCATTTGGTATGCTAGTACGGAAAAATGGGTGAAACCATTTCTCATGGGGGAGAATTGAAGAAACGACCACACCTCTCTATTCAAAGTGACTTATCTTCGTATCGCAAATAAACAGCGTCAGTAAGACGTCTGGAGTACATATGAAACTCGATCATTACTGACAGTTGTCTCTTTAATCCCCCCTCTTTTGTCCATAGGAAGCGGGGGGGGGGAGAGTAGAAGGTGTAGATGTCATACTTCCATCACTTGTGGTTTTAGGGTTCCAGTGAATTGCGTCTTCCCCAACCCTTCCGATAGTGACCAGAGAGGAAACTTAACCCCTCCCCCCTATTGACAAATAGACAAAACGGAACAGAAAGAATGCAAGAATTGCTCCATACAGCTGAAAAACAAGTCTCTCTTGATCAAAAAACTAGAAAAATATTTGTGTGAGAATTGTAGAATAAAAAAATTATTTTGATCTGTTTGTAGAAAAACGCATCAAGCGGGATTTTCATAAAAGGGGTTACGCAAAATCCGGGATTTTTTAACATTAACGGTATAGGCAATTTTCACGGATCAGCAGAAAATGACGTAAGAAGCGGGATAACGTACGAAACGGACAACGTAAAATCGGGGTTCCACTGTATATTGAAAGAGACACTTTCAGTTTTTTCCCCTCCAATTTCTCACTTAATACTAGGGTTGTTTTTTAATTAAAGGCCGTTTGAAAATCAAAACCAAATGGAAGAAAATGTTCCAGAAGCAAATTTATTTTCAAATTCTTCATACGTTTATCTTTTTTTTCCCAGCATAGTTGCCAAGTTTGTTTAAACACTTATCACACCTTACAGCTAGATTTAGAATACCCTCTTCAGATAAACCTTTTGCCAGCTCCGGGAATCAAGATATCACAGGCATTTTCACGTATTCGTCATCCTTGTAGCGATTGCCCCCAAAATGATGTGTGAAATATCATAAAAGATGAAAAACACTCAGCGCAGGGTTCTGGCATTAGAGAGGGGTGGTCCAAAGCCTTCCAATCAGAAGAGTCCAATAAAGCTGGGATCTGAGTTGCGGAGAGAGTTAGACAGGTTTTTTACCGACTAAAATCACATCACTGACCGTATCTCGAGAGTGGTTGGTGATTTGTTAAATTTGAACATTTAAAGATACAGAACTGATCATATAGTTTACCCACAAAGCTGCAAATGATCACAGTTGTTCCCAAGGAATGCCGGGACACGACACAAGCAATAAAATTAAACAAAAGCTTCGGGGAAATTTTTAATGAATAGCAAAAATATCATTTTATAACTCGAGAAACAATTCCTTAAAAGTTGTGCAAGATATAAGAACGATTTTAGAATGCGCATGCACGGGTAATATGAAAAATATATTTTGTCATTATTTTGTTGTGAATCATACTTGAAAAATACCGATTTGAATAACTTGAAAATGTAAAAAGTTTCTAGCAATTTTCCAAGTAGCTTTTGTATTTTGATAATGATAAAGAGTTTTCCACTACTTTCGTTTTGCATTCGTTTTGCATACAAAACAATATTTAACAACAGATGATTATACCTTATAATGATTGTCTGTTCAACAAAATGTGATGGTATAAGGAATGAAAACATGTGAAATAAATCATATTTTAATAAGGAATGGACCTCTATTGTCGGTGTCTTTTTTTAATTTTTTTAACGGTTCAAAAAGTGGGGAAAAACCATTATCATTTAGAACTTTCTTTAATAATTTTCAAAAACTGCTTAGGAAATTGCTAGAAACTTTTTTAATTTTTCAGCTAATCAAATCGGAATTTTTTTCATAAGTTACCAAACACGGTAACAATATTTTCCAAATTTCAGAATGATATTTTTGTTATTAATTAAAAAGTACCCTAAATTTTTTTAAAAATTTTATTGAATATTTCTACTCATTAATATTCTTTGTTCAGGCTTCATATTAATATTCTATGCTCATATCATTAATTCTATTAATGATTATTCCATGCTCATATCATCATTAATGCTCTATGGTCATGATTCATATTAAAATCGTATGCTTACATCTTGCGTAAATTTCAATTGGTATTTTTTTCAATTTTCCACTAATTTTATTTATACTATTAAACAAGATTTATTAGAAAGTACACCAATATTATAAATGACGATCCTGTATTAAAGTATGTTTTATTTCACGCGTTTTCTTTTATAATACCATCTCATTTTGTTGCCTGGACAATCATTGTAGGATATTATGATTTGTTGTTATATTTTGTTTTATGTTACAAAAAAAGTAAATTTGCGAAAAACCACCTATCATTTTGAGCTTTTCTTAAATAAGTACAAAAGCTACTTAAAAAATGGCTGGAAACTTTTCACATTTTCAAAATATTCAAAGCAAACTTTTTTCTAAGTTATAAAATACGATTCACAGCAAAATTATAAAACTTTTCTTTTTAAATGTTTCCTGTGCATGTGTAGTATGAAATACTAATTTGAATGCTCCTATTTTGAGCAATTTTTAAATTTTTTTTTTCAAATCTTATAATGATATTTTCGTTATTAATACGAAATTACTCCAAAAATTTTGCTTAATTTTATTGAATGTTTCTACAGTTTTTATAAGAAAACTTACGGCAAAAAAATTGTTTAAAAAAATGCTCTTATGGCCACTTAAGGCGACATTTACAAAATTTTGTGCAGTAATTGAATTTAATAAATAAAGTAGTTGATACAAGTTTCATGCTTATTGCAACATTTTTCGGCATAAGTTGTTCAAAAACACTCTGTTCCACTCGTAATTTATTGCCAGTGCCTCAAAACGCTGAAAGCTTTTAACTTCATTGACACGTATGAGAAATTGCATGACCTAAATACCTCAAAAGTTTTAAAATAATTCTCTAAGTATTTCTTGAGAAATTCGAAAAAAAATACCAAAAACTGAAAGTGTCTCTTCCGTTATTGTAAGGTGATGTATGTTACTTAACATGGGAACTGACTTTCCTTTTATTAAAAATTTCTTACACAAAGCTTTTTTTATGTTAATAGTGCTCGAACATTTTCAAAGATAATGAAAAAACCTTTAATATAAAAGTTTTTTTTGATTAAATATTTTTTCGCTCGTTATAATAGTTTCATATTTCAGGTAATTCAAAATATTCTGCGTCTATGAAAAATGAAAAAGATACTTTATAAATTTTCTTTTATCTAAAGCTAAATAGTAACTAATATTAAAATAATAATTTTTCAGATATGATTCTATTATTTCCAAATGTTATTTAAAACCATTTTTAAGGAAATAAATTGTTTTAGCAAAATTTACTTTTTCTCTTCAAGGCAGTTGCTATACTCACTGGGAAATATCGAAGTATTAAATTGTTCAGAATGGTGGTAATAGCAAAATAGGTTCCAACAGTCAAACCTAAAAAGAAATATTAAAAAAGTATGTTATTTGTTTGGATCAAAAGGGTAAAAGGAGAGAACGAAATTGACTGTTTATTATTGAACAACTATGAATTGTTTTTTTTTCTTTTACTTTATCTCTTTCAATATTAACATTAATATTAATGTAACTTTAAATATAACTTTAAATTCCTTGCATAATATATCTTTGTAGTCTTTTTAACTCTTTTTTTAAATAAATAAATTACTTTGATTCTCACCTTAAAGTTTTCTTTTAAAAGAAAAACAAAGGCATTTGGCTACAAATTTTCTTAAGAGATTATATTACATATCAGAACATATTACATATCAGAATGATTTGATCATGATAAAATGGTATTCTTCGTATTCAATAAAGAATATTTGGGAGCTTGAAATTACTTTTTTTTTGCATCCAGTTTAGTTAACGAAACATGAATGCTAACTCAGAACTGCACTCATTAGCTTATACTAAAATTATTATTTTTAGATATGTTAGTGACTTCATCGAATAGCTTCGATTAAATTAATATTCAATACCTTTCCTAACGATAATTGTTTGGAGGTTAAAGTAAATGCATATAAAGATAGTCTATGTGAACAATGTAACTTATTTTGTTTCAAGTGTGAACTATTCATAGAGCAATAAAAAATGTTGTTACAGACTAGATAAAGTGCTTTATCATTTAATACATAATTAATATGAGTATCGCTAACAGCATCTCTTTTAAATATATAAGAATTAATGTTACAGGGTGACATTAATTCTTATATATTTAAAACTTAAGTAACTTAGACACACAATACACTCTATTTTTCTTATTAATGCCAAACTTTCAAATAAGCATGAAAATATTACTACTTGTAGCATTTATAAATTTTCGACGTAAACACGTATGGCCACAATAAAGAGCCGCAAACAAGTCACAAAACTTTCTGCTATGAACCCCGATTCGCCTACTGATATTTTATCATATTCCTTGATGAAAAACTACTTTCAAGATGTCAAAACGTTATATGGCTTAGCAGAAACTTTTGTCTCCATGATAGACCAAGCAGTTAAATCCATTCGATTTCAAGTCTGGTGAGTAAAGTGGCTGTAAAAGAGTCGGCAAAATATGTTTAGATCATTCTTTCGTGGCTTTATGTGAGTGTGCTGGAGCTGAATCCAGTTGAAATGATCATTTTTTTTTGGTTTCAAAAGGACTTGAACAATAAAAAGGAGTTGAAAGCATGTTCCGGTAAAAATATTTTGTTTTAAGCATTGCACAAGTCATTTCTTGTTGCTCTCTAGTTATAAAATTGCTGATATTCTTTTTAACTGAAATCATAAATGAATATTTGTATACTTACCGTACATAATGAACAGCAATACGAAATTCAAGTTCTTAAACATAGTAATCACACTCTTTGTATGTGACTCTGAAGGCTCTTTTTTAATTTGTGTTTGAGTTGGTGGAGACTTTGGCGCATTTTGGAAAGCTGAAAAATTACAGGAAAATATACAATAAGTTACTTGTAAGAAAAACAATGAAAATAAAGTATGCCATCATAAAAAGGAAGTTAAAAACTAGATGATTATTATTTAACTGAAAACACTTTATAGATTAGGAAAAAACATTTCAGCTATATGCAAAATTACTGCAAATAGCTGAGTAATTGACCATTTAATACATGAAACTACTCAAAGGGATATTTTTGGATTACGCTAGGATTCGTCAAGTTGTCAAAATTTTTTGGATTATTACATTGAAGTTAGATAACTGAGAATAAACTCACTAAAAATCACCTAAAATTGCAATAACTTTCAAACTAATAGGAATTTAGAGAAAAAAAATTACGTTTACTTCAGCAATAAAACAGCCTTCTTCAGCATATCAAATATATATTTATATATATATATATATTTTAATTTGTTAATGAGANATCTATATATATATATATATATTTTAATGGCGGGCACTTGGGATGTATTGTCCTATTGGCCAGGAGTGCCAGAACTACTTCTCTCTTTTCGTTACCCAGTGGGCACCAGTGGCGAAGCCACGGCTGTGGAGCAGCGTCACCCACGTCACACAACCACAAACACGTTTATAGGACGGGTCACATTCGCACAATCACACACAGGAGAAAGGACATAGAACACAGAGAGAAAGAAACAGCCATGTCCTGAGCGGGACTCGAGCCCGCAACCATCGGATTCGGCTCATCAAATATAAACTCCGTATTTGCGTTTCAGTGGGCTACAGATTGAACCACATGGTATTTTTAACTTTTAAAAGTTGAACAGTTAATAATTCCCGAGCTAATTTTCGATTGTAAAGCTCTTTTATCCCATCGTATTCCCCGTACATTCTCTTACATTCCGTCGTAATTTCAAGTTTTTAAGTCTTATAGTTTTGGGGTAGCAAAATAAAATGTAATGCAAAGGAAAAAAAGCAACAAAGAAAAATCTCGAAAAAAATCCTTTTAAATCTTTGTAACTTTTGAATAAATTGCAATAGTTCAGCAATTTTGAAAAAAAAAAACTCGTTTCAAGTTTACAAACAAATAGCTCATGGGCTGTAATAGCGGCACAACTCAAAAAATCATGTTTTGAGATAAGTGGATTTAAAGTTTTCATTGCTTAAGAAAATGCATAAGAAATCCTTTCGTTTACTTAAACGAAGATTACCTTCAAGTTGAATTATGAGTTGTTGAGTATTGCTACTGAAAAGAATGCATATTTTCCTATTTACGCCTGCTCTTAGTCCAAACCCGTGTTTTTTGAGTTGTGCCACTATTGCAGCCCATGAGCGAAATAAGACCTCCTTTCAGCTCTTCAAATTTCCCCACTGTAGTTGCAATTCTGCGGCCTATGAGGCAGCTCTCATACGATTCTTTGTAAGAAGTTTACTAATTAATTTTTCATTGTTTTCTTGATTTATTTTTAATTATAATTCTATAACTAATTATCGAATGTTATTTTTTATTTCATCGTATTTCTTGTCTTTTTTACACACACTTGCGTTTTTTTTAGTTCATTAGTTCAAAGACATTTTTTGCATCGAAAAAAATTTAACGTTGAATTAAACCTCCAAACTGTTTCAACGACACATACGATTTCTTAAGATAGATTAATTATGGGGAAAATGTTAAAAAATAAGAAAGCAAAATAATTAAAAAAAAACTGTAGAGAGAGGAGAAATGTATTATCAGAAAAAAAAGTTGTTAGTGTAAATAGGTTTCATCTTTAAAAGTTTCTAAAATTAATTCTTAATGGTTTTTTTGTCGGTTTATACATAATTAATAATTTTGAGGACTGAGTTTGAATATATTATGACTTCAAATTACAGGTTTAATAATTATCGGTCCTAAAAGTTTGAACTGAAACTAAAGATATTATTTTGAATAACTGTGGCAAAAAATAAAAAATAGTAAGTTTTACGTTCGGTTGAGCTAAAAATGAAAAATATCTTTTCTTAATTACTGTATTTTTCATACCTTTTTTATCATCTTTGACTGCTTTTATTGTAAAAACATGCAATAAACGTCGTATTTTCTCTTCAGATAAACTTGTTATTACGTAAAGAAATATAAATGTGTTGCCTTCTTTTTTATTAATTCTGAAAGCATTAAAGGAAAGTTTTATGAGTCATTTTTAAAATAATTCTACTTTTGATGATGAAATAAGAAGTAAAAGTGAAAGAAAGAAGGTTTTGAAAAATAACAAATATTTTATGACATTTAACCGGGGAAAAGACAAAATATAAAAAATAAAATAAATCCCAGAAACTAATTGCTGATAAATCTCGAAGGTGGCATTTTTGTCAAACAGGTTGTGGTTTCCATTTCACTATTTTTAGAACTGATCTCTCTTCTTTGAATATATAATTGCGAAAATCATACCCCATTATAATACTTTTCTAAGTATCCTGAATCAGATGTAATTCACTTTTGTACTCAATCAGCTGTTATTGTGTCAAAAACATCTTTAATGGAAAGGTTAATGTTTTTCTTTCTTCACATAACTAATAATGTGCGAACCCTAATGCGAATAGTTTTTCGACTTCATATTTTTTAATGATTCTAAAAATATACATTAAAAACAGTCATTCTGGCAGTCATGAGTAATAATCTCTGCCCTCCCAATAAATTTGCAGGTCTATACTCTTATTAGACAGTAAAATTTGTCAATGATATCCTATGTCAGAATGATATCATACAGTTAAAATTCTTTTTGTTGTCTTCTTATGCCATTTGTCAATACTCACAAGCCTGTTTTTAGCAGAGCGGTGAACTTCTTCTTAATTTCCAGTGGCGCCATATATGGCCAAGAATTCGACTTCTACCTCATGCACGTCATAGCCCATAGGAGACATTCACACACCATCCATCTATTCGCAGGTAGTAATCTTCACCTGACCCAGACCTCGATCGATTTCCGATTCAGTACCCCCAGAGGTATTGATTTGTTATGAGAACTTCGAGGACTTAGTGACTCCAACAAATTTGGCGTGTACCAGTCACCATTTTGCACACGGGAAGTCTACGGTCAGCGAGAATCGAACTAATGACCTCTTGAGTATGGGACCAATGCCCTACCAACCAGGCTATCCCGGTTCTTTTAAAATTCTTAAATAAATGCCTAAGCTATATAAATCTGATACAGATTTTCCGGCATTTTTTCGCCATTCGATCTGAGGCTAGTTCTTTTAATGCCCCTAGCCTTAAATGAAATAAATTATTGATTTTAAAGATTTTAACTTACATCACAATTTTTAATTAAAGGGGTGAGCTGGTAAAAAAAAATCTGAAAATAGAAATACAAAAATGCTATGTGCAAAACACATTTTGAATACCTGCAAAAATGCCTAGAATTTGAGAAAAGAAAATGAATGAAGGAAGAATATTATAAATGTTTTAACAAAAAATATCGATGCGTGATTTTTTATTATTATTATAAGTGAAAGTTGTGAATACGAATCCCGATTCATTGATATTTCTCAATCGCCCATTGATATTTTTTAAATCGCGTAAAATACAAATTCTGATACCAGATTTTTAAATTACATGAACATGAATCCAGATGCGTATTTTTAAATCTCATGAATACGAATCTCTACTCACGATTTTTAACTCACGTGAATAGGAGTCTCCATTTTAATCACAGTTTTAAATCATGGGAAAACGAATTAACTATGTTTAACTTTAAATCGCGGGATTACGGATCGTGTGTGTGATTTAAAAGCACGTGAATACGAATTACGATGTGTGTATTAAAATCTCGTGAATGAAGTTTAAAACCGCATTTACATAAATAGGAAAAAGCGAAAAAATTTTTTTTTTGGAATAATTCGAAAAACTTAAACTTTTTTTTTTGAAAAGACGTAAATATTCTTCTTAATAAACAAAATCATCCTGGTAATTACTAAAATGTTATATTGAATGAATTGAAAGGAACATACTGAAAAGAACAAGCATCAACCAAATCAAATTTAGTATCGTCAGAATTGTTGCCACTTTGAACTTTCCATTTTCTATCAGAGGTTTATCTTCACAGTCGTTAGAAACCATTAGAGGGGAGAAGAGATAGCCCAGCGCTATTCCTAACTTAAGTAATGTTTTATATTAGTATAAAAAAAATAACAAAACAAGAAAATAGAAATCTATACTAAATAGAAACATCCTTGATTGATTCAAAAATTTTATTAGCTTCAAAAATATGCAGATGGTAATAAAAGTCAAAATTTTTCAAGTGCTCAAAAATAAGCACTCATTCCCCAAGGCTTGCTGGATGTGAATGTTAGTTATAAACTATTAATAAAGCACTGTTTTTTTTGTCTAGTTTGGCAAGTCCAGAGCATAATTGCCTATTTGTAATCACTTGTAACATGTCTGTTATTTTTCATCTGCATATTTTTTTTAACCGAAATAAATTATTATTAACCGGGATTCGAACCCGGTTCACCTCATTGAAAGGTGAACGCTCTATCCCCCGAGATATCACCGCTTATACTGACGATTTAAAGCAAATGAAGATTTCTCTAATTCTTGATAACGGACATAGCAATCGTGTTCCTTATGTCTAAATTTTAAAGCGCGTTTAGTATGCTCGATTTAGTCGAGATAGCAGTGAGAAGGAATGTGGTAAATACCCTAGCGATAATTAAAGCCAATAGGATTTTAAAGAAACTTCCATTTGAATTTGCTAACAGTTCTGTATATAGCTTTAAAACCAAAACGATAGAGGATGTTAGTAATTTTAAAACAAAAGGGAGAAAAAAAAAACAGTAAATTGCCAAGTGAACTGTATGGATTAGAAGAAGAGAGGCGATGGGGTTTTGTGAGTTAAGCAAAAGCTGAATAAACTATAGAAGGCTTACATCCACTGTTAGCAGCAAGTGGGCGGAGAAAGTTAAGTTTGGAGTTTAAAGAAGAAGAGCCAGAGCAACGGAAAGCGAAAGTATGAAATACAGACATTTTCTGACCATAGGGTGATTAACATGAGGGGACAAATTGTTTATGATAAACAGAGGTGGAAAAATGATCAGGGTGTTTGGTAACAAGGACATCTAAAAAAAAGGTAAAGTAAAATTAATTTCAGTGTCTACAATAAATAGAACGTTGGGATCAACTGAGTTGACAACAGAAAGTAACTCTTGAAGATTAGTATCGCTGTCAACCGAGACAAACTTATCATCAGCTTATCTTTTCCATCATGAGAATTTGAACAATTTAAAAACTTTTTCTTCGAAATGATGCATGAAAATGTCACAAAGAATGAGCAAGAGTGATTGGTCATGGCTCATGGCTTGTAGAATTTGCGAAAGCAGTTTGCTAAATACAGGAATTCATAAAGAAGATAATATCTTGAACCAGGTATTTGGTCCAGGTACCTGGGTCAAGCCCCAATACAAAGTTACAAGTTCAAGGTTACAGAGTTTGACATTTCTAGTCGTAAACCCGAAACTAGGTCAGCTGTTTAACGACATTTATAAAATAAAATTATTTTAATTGATCCGTGGAGGCTCGAAGGATAGAGCGTTTGCATTCCAATGAGGTGAAGCAGGTACAAATACCAGCGATTGCTGGTTGATACGAATTCCGCACCTAGCTCGCTCCGACCACAGCGCTGATGTAAAACATCCTCAGTATTAGAGAGATCATGGGTTAAATTTCCTTTGCCGCCAGGCTAACCGTGGGAAGATTTCGTGGTTTTCTGCTCCATGTAACTCAAATGCCTGCTAGTTCCATCACAAAGTCATCCACGAAGACAAATTTTCTCTAATACTTGATCAAGAAGTTCCCTCATCTTCTGGATTCGGTTCAAAATTTCGAGGCTGTAGAGTTGAACAATAAGTCGTAAACCCTGAAAATTGGGTTGTCTGTTCAACGACGGTTATAAAATAAAATAAAATTGCTTGAATCTTGGCTATAAAGTCGATTTCAGCAATGCTAAACTTATTCCCCCCCTAGTCACATCAGCACACTTGATATCCTGGAATTTTGTTTTATTCCTTTGATTGCTGATTCCCTAGTTAATGACACCTCTCCTAGTTACTCCACCTCTCTATAACGCGTGGAGATGCATTTTCCCTGACTTGCTTTATGGCAGCTGCATTTTTCTTTTTCCTGTTTTATTTTTCATCCTTTTTTCTGATCCTTTCTTCTGTGTTTTTTCTTGCTTTGTTTCTCCCTTTTACTTTTCTACTTTTCGTTGGCGACTTTGCATTTCTTCATATCATTTTGCTTTCGAAACATTCATATCTGTCAAGTGTCACAGATTGGCGCATATTTTTGATGCGTTTTAAACATGTCCTTTGAAACATTTTTATACAGTTTTGAAGCGTATGAAGTTTTCTATCAGGTAGAACTATATCAGATTGACCACAACCAAATTTTGTATATGTACTCTCATAGGTAAAAGAGTTCATTTTTTATATAAAATGAATAGGAAAAGAACAAAAGCTAAGACGGAGAAAAATAGCACTGCTATTCTTATATTTTGCTGTAAAAATTTCATGAACTAATTTTTTCCATTTTCCTGTGATTTTTGGATCTAGGAGATGTATATACAATCAAATAATAATAAAAATGTACTTTAGAGAAATAGCATTACTTTTTCAGTCTCCAATATTGATTTTTAAAATCTTAAATTCGTTGTAGCCTGTAACGACGCAGCAATGACAAATGTTTTTGGACAGTTTTAAATAATAGTCTATAGTCGTTTTCATTAAGTACAAAATGATATTTTACACTGTGAATATCTTTCAAATGAGTATTTTGAACTTTAACCAAGGAAAATGAAAAAAAATCTCTAAATTCGAAGCAAATTTTTTACTATGAATTATGCATCATCTTGCTGAAAAGAATGGGCTGGAGTTTAAAACAAACAAATATCTTAAAGTTTTTAAATAAAATTATTAAGCTTTTAAAAAAATAAAATGGGATTAATAGATTGAAAAGATTAAAATCAACGAGGCATCATCTATTTTTGCATATTTTTTCAGCCCAAACAATATAACCGTGGTGTAATTTTTCCATATTATAAACTAAAATCACAACTGTCATTCTTATATATTTTTTATTTTTTGAAACTGAGGTTTTTTTCCCAATTGACATTTTGTACCATTTTTTATATTAGCATGAATTGAAATTAACAGTCAGGAATAATTGACACAAACATACAACATACACAAAAATGCCATATCATTCTACATAATTTGTTATTTTACGTGATGACTGATCATCGAAGAACGAACTCATCAAACCGAATCAGAACTGATCGATGTGCAAAAAAAAGCTAATGTGATGATCATGTTTTGTTTAACAATGATTTATCCTGCATGCATAAATTATTAAAACTACCTGATTGCCAAATACTCCAGCCGAACAAGCGCGCGATAGCTCATTACTCGGAAACCATGTGGCAGCCAAGAAAGGTGGAACGGCTAAGACTAAGATGTTTGATGCAGAGGTGAATGCAGTACTAAGTAGAATGAATGAAAATCCATCCGGTTTTAAACCAGTAAACTGTAAGGCACAAGCTAAGCAAAAAAGCAAAAGAAAAGTATAAATTTCATCAAGTTTAAACATTTATTTTATAGAACTTTAAAGTGTTCCTATCCGTTAGTGAGTCAAAATGTAAATTGCGTTTAAATCTTATAATATAGTTCATATCAAACTTTAAACTAATATTGTTTTGTTTCCTAATTAGATACTGTTCTTACAATTTACATCATTTAGATGTAGTTAGTTAAGGTAAGTAAACTTATCGTGACATTCTAAGTAAGAAAAATTGTTGCCGAAATGTGTCAATCATTAATTAAAGAGGCTAACCAAATAATTCTTTTTAACAGGACAAATTTTGTAGATGAACTACATTCGTGTAAGGAAATAATAAATCTTTGCACAAATCGGATAAACTTTTCCACCTTTTACAAATTTTTATAGCTTTTGCTCCCTTTTTTTAATTTCCGTATCCGAGTATAACAGACTCCGGCTTATGAATGTTTCCTTTGTTTTAACATCATAAGCTTCTCTTACGCAAAGTTTACTTTATTTCATATAGCATTCATTACCCATGTACTTTATTTCATATAGCATTCATTACCCATGTACTTTATTTCATATAGCGTTCATCATCCAAATAAATGACAAATAAAGAGAGGAGAAACATATTTCAGAGCAAATTTTTATCAGTTACTCTCCTGAAATTAAAAAGCAAACGATAATAAATATGAATAAAATTTTTATGTTTCTTCGATCTAAATAAGTTATGTTCTTGCTTCTATTTAACGTTTAATTTTTTTCTTGCGAATATGTCGATCAATATTTTGAATCAAGAAGAACTAAAAGATCTTTTAATTAATAGCTGCATTTCTGAAGAAGATGCTATTTTACTTTTTGGTAAGTAAATATACTTTCTTGTTCTTATTTTTAAAATACTATTATTTAGATTTTGTTATATACACTTTCCATTTAAATTAGCTGCTTTTAGCGTATACACTGAAAAAAATTCCTGCTAAAATTAATTATATTATAAGTAATGTGTATTATTACTTGTTAACACACTAGTTTTAATCAAAAGTAATGTAGATAAAATCCAGAATTTACCACATTACTTTTCACCATAAAATCCATTTTCATCTGATCATGTATGGAACAAAAAGCTTGATATATTGTAATTTTTACAGTATATCCCTAAGTTTTCAGCATTGATCTGTAGGTCATTGTCTACGCACAATAGATAATATTCAAAGTGAGGTTTTAAAAAAGTTACTGTGGTAAAAAATCCTTGAAAACAAATTATTGAGAATCAATCATGTTTGAAAATCAGGGTTCTGTGTTCAAAGCGATCTACCCAAGACGTATGGCATTATTACAAAAGTACAACGATGGTTGATATTGTCACTCATATAATATAGATTATCTGAAATTTTACACCAAAAACAATAAGCCCAAGTGATATTTGAAACAATTTTCTCAATTATTACCGTGTTGAAAATCATTAAAAAAGATAACACAGTAAAGGGAATGTTAATTCCATAAGTTGATGTTAGTTTTGTTTTTAGACAATTAATATTTTTCATTGAAAAGAAAATGAAAACATGATATACTGTATTTTAAATTTTAAAGCAGATTCAAGAGTTAAAATATTAGTGAAAGTTCAGATATAATCAAAGATTGATCCAAGTAAAAAAATATACCTGGTGTCCCGTAAAGTCCTCTCTTTATTATTTTTTTTCTTCTTTTGAATTCTTGTTAAAAATTAAATCTTAAAAAGTAATCACTTTAGTGGTTAAAACTCATTTTCAAGGAAAGAAAAACTTCATAAAATCACTATTGAGGAGGGTATGACTAAAACATTAAAACTCGTTTGATTGCCCAAGAAAACATAGAGAATTTGTAAGCGGATTAGTCAAATACCTCCAATCAAACTGGTATTTATTTTTTCCACCTCAACTTTACCTTAATTTTTAACAGGTATTCTAAAAGAGCCCCGATGGCTCAAGGTATAGAACGTTCGCCTTCCAATGAGATGAACCGGTGTTCGATCCCGGTGATGGCTGTTCGATAGGAATTCCGCATCCGGGCTTGCATGCTGACGTGAANCACATTCACAGACCATCCATCTATTCGCAGGTAGTAGTTTTCACCTGACCCAGACCGCGATCCATTTCCGATTCAGTACCCCCAGAGGTTTGATTTGTTATGGGAACTTCGAGGACTTAGTGACTCCAACAAATTTGGCGGGTACCAGTCACCATTTTGTACACGGGAAGTCCACGGTCAGCGAGAATCGAACTAATGACCTCTTGTGTATGGGACCAATGCCCTACCAACCAGGCTATCCTGGTTTTTTTAAAATTCTTAAAAAAATGTCTATGCTATATAAATCTGATACAAATTTTCCTGTATTTTTTTGCCATTCGATCTGAGACTAGTTCTTTTAATGTCACTAGCCTTAAACGCAATAAATTATTGCTATTAAAGATTTTAACTTGTATCACAATTTTTAATTAAAGGGGTGAGCTGGTAAAAAAAAAATCTGAAAATAGAAATACAGAAATGCTATGTCCAAAACACATTTTGAATACCTGCAAAAATGCCTAGAATTTGAGAAAAGAAAATGTATGAAGGAAGAATATTATAAATGTTTTAACAAGAAATATCGATGCGTGATTTCTTTTTATTATTATTTTAAGTGAAAGTTGGGAATTCGAATCCCGATTCATTGATATTTCTCAATCGCCCATTGATATTTTTTAAATCGCGTAAAATACAAATTCTGATACCAGATTTTTAAATTACATGAACATGAATCCAGATGCGTATTTTTAAATCTCATGAATACGAATCTCTACTCACGATTTTTAACTCACGTGAATAGGAGTCTCCATTTTAATCACAGTTTTAAATCATGGGAAAACGAATTAACTATGTTTAACTTTAAATCGCGGGATTACGGATCGTGTGTGTGATTTAAAAGCACGTGAATACGAATTACGATGTGTGTATTAAAATCTCGTGAATGAAGTTTAAAACCGCATTTACATAAATAGGAAAAAGCGAAAAAATTTTTTTTTTGGAATAATTCGAAAAACTTAAACTTTTTTTTTTGAAAAGACGTAAATATTCTTCTTAATAAACAAAATCATCCTGGTAATTACTAAAATGTTATATTGAATGAATTGAAAGGAACATACTGAAAAGAACAAGCATCAACCAAATCAAATTTAGTATCGTCAGAATTGTTGCCACTTTGAACTTTCCATTTTCTATCAGAGGTTTATCTTCACAGTCGTTAGAAACCATTAGAGGGGAGAAGAGATAGCCCAGCGCTATTCCTAACTTAAATAATGCTTTATATTAGTGTCAAAAAATAACAAAAAAGAAAAATAGAAATCTATACTAAATAGAAACATGCCTGATTGATTCAAAAAGTTTATTGCCTTCAAATATATGCATATGGTAATAAAAGTCAAAATGCTTCAAGTGCTCAAAAATAAGCACCCATTCACAAGGCTTGCTAGATGTGAATACTAGTTTTAAACTATTAATAAAGCATAGTTTTTTTGTCTAGTTTGGAATGATTGCCTATTTGTCATCACTTGAAACTTTTATTTTCCATCTGCATATTTTTTTTTAACCGAAATACATTATTAAATAAATAATCCCAAAGAAACAGAAGCGGTAAGCCTATTATGTAAGAATTACCTGATTGAAAACTTCATAGGCTTCAAAAATATGCAAATATGAAATGGCTATCGAAATGTTTCATGGTGCTCTCATTTTCAAGATTTGACAGACGTGAATGTAACTAAACAAAATTGATTTGAAAAAACGCAAAGTTACCCCCCTCCCAAAAAAAAAAGGAAAAATAAAAGAGAAAAATGAAACTTGGAAACCCACAGAAGCCGAAATCAGATGAAAAACAAAACACACAGAGACCGAGAGGCATCCGGATAGAATGCTTCTCCACGCATTATGGAGAGGTCGGGAGGAACTAATATCGTTAATTAGTGATTCAGCATTCAAAGATATAAAACAAGATTCCAGGGTATCAAGATGAGTTGTTATGACCAGGGTAGAAATATTTTCAGTATTGTCGAAATCAAATTTATATGCCCAAGATTCAAAGAATTTTATTTTAATTTATTACCGTCGTTGAACAGCCAACCCAATTTATTGGGTTTACGTCTACTAATGTTCAACTCCGTTGCCTTGCAATTTTGCACCCAATCCTTAGACAAGGGAGTTTCTGGATCACGTATAGGGAGAAATTTGCCTTCGTGGAGGACTTTTTGGTAGAACTGATTCAAATTTGCGTTACATGGAGAGAATTCCACGAAAACCTCCCACGGTTAGCCTCACGGCAAGGGAACACTAACCCATGTTACGTCTACCCCAGAGGATATATTCTACGTCAGGATTGTGGGCAGTGAAAGCCGGATGAGAAATTTATGTCGAACAGCCATCCTGGGATTCGAACCCGGTTCACCTCCTTAGAAGGCGAACGTTCTATTCCCTGTGCCATCACGGATAGATTCCAACAATTTTATTTTATTTTACAACCATAGCAGAACAGCCGGCCCAATTTTGGGTTTTAGACTACTAATGTTCAACTCCGAAGACTTGCAATTTCTAACCCAATTCAGAAGGCAAGGGAACTCCTAAATCTGGTATTAGGAGAAATTTGCCTTCATGGATGACTGTTTGATGTTACAAGCCAGCATTTGCGTTACATGGAGAGGAAAAATAAGGAAAACCTCCCATGGTTAGCCTGGCTGCAAAGGGATTCAAACCCATGATTCATCTAACACTAAAGTCTGATGTCTTAAGTCAGATCTGTGGTCGGTGCAAGTCGGGTGGGGAGAGCGTATCGACCAGCTACTGCTGGAATTCGAACATAGTTCACCTCATTGGAAGGCAAACGTTTTATCCCCAGAGCCATCACTGCTTATTCTAACAGTTTTGTAATCGTCGTTGAACAGCTGACCCAACTTTCGGGTTTACGACTTCTAATGTTCAATTCCGTAGCCTTGTAATTTATAACCCAATGCAGAAGATAAGGGAACTCCTGGATCTAGTGTTGGGAAAAATTTTGCCTCGGTGGAGGACTTTTTGATGGAACTAACCCGCATTTGCGTTACATGGAGAGGAAGACCACGAGAACCTCCCAAGGTTAGCCTGACGGCAAAGGGACTAACCCGTGATCCGTCTACCACTGAGGATATTTCACGTCAGCACTGTGGTCGGTGCGGATGCGGATTTGTTTCGACCAGCCATTGGTGGGATTTGAACCCGGTTATCTTCATTGGAAGGCGAGCGCTCTGTCCCCATAGCCATCACGGCTCTATTCCGACAACTTGAAGCAAATGAAGATTTTTTCTAATTCTTAATAACGGACATATCTATCGTGTTCTTTAAGTCTAAATTTTAGAACGTGTTTAGTATGCCTGATTTAGCCGAGATAGCACTGAGAAGGAATGTGGTAAATACCCTAGTGATAATTAAATCTAATAGGATTTTAAAGAGACTTAAATTTGAATTTGTTAAAAGGTCTGTAAATAGGTTTAAAACCAAAACGATGGAGGATGTTAGTAATTTAATAACAGAGCGAAAAAAACCCAGTAAATTAATAAATTAATTGTAAGAATTAGAAGAGAGGCTCTTGGGTTTTGTGAGTTAAGCAAAAGCTGAATAAACAATAGAAGGCTTACACCCACTGTTAGAAGAGCCACAGCAACGGAAAACGAAAGTATGAAATACAGACAATTTTTTGACAATGGGGTGATCAGAATTAACATGAGGGGGCAAAATGTTTATGATAAAGAGAGGTAGAAAATCAATCTGGGTGTTTGGTAACAAGGGCATCCAAAAAAAGGTAAGGTAAAATTAATTTCACGGTCCAAAGTGAATGGAATGTTGGGGTCAACTGAGTTGACAACAGAAAGTAACTCTTGAAGATCAGTATCACTGTTAATTGAGACAAACATATCCTCAGCTTATCTTTTCCATCATGAGGATTTGAACAATTTAAAAACTTTTTCTTCGAAGTAATGCATGGAAATGTCACAAAGAATGAGCAAGAGTGGTTGGTCATGGCCCATGGCTTACAGAATTTACGAAAGCAGTTTGCTATATACAGGAATTCACAAGGAAGATAATATCTTGGCCCAGGTACCTGGTCAAGGTACCTGGGCCAAGTCCCAATACTTGATCACGGAGTTCCTTTGTCTTCTGGATTGGGTTCAAAGTTACAGAGTTTGACGTTTCTAATCGTAAACCCGAAACTAGGTCAGCTGTTTAACGAAAGTTATAAAATAAAATTATTTTAATTGATCCGTGGTGGCTCGAAGGATAGAGCGTTTGCATTCTAATGAGGTGAAGCGGGTACAAATACCAGCGATTGCCGGTTGTTACGAATTCCGCACCCAGCTCGCTCCGGCCGCAGTGCTGACGTAAAACATCCTCAGTGATGGACTGATCATGGGTTTTAATTCCCCTGCCGCCAGGCTAACCATGGGTGGTTTTCGTGGTGTTCCTCTCCATGTACCGCAAATGCGTGCTAGTTCCATCAAAAAGTCATCCACGATGGCAAATTTCCCCCTATACTTGATCCAGAAATTCCCTTATCTTCGGGATTCGGTTCAAAATTACAAGGCTGCGGAGTTGAAGATTAGTGGTCGTAAACCGAGAAATTGTGTTGGCTGTTAAACGACGGTTATAAAATAAAATAAAATTGTTGGAATATTGGTCATAATTTCAATTTCGACAATGCTAAAATTATTTCCTCCCTAGTCACATCAGCTTATCTTGATATCCTGGAATTTTGCTTTTCCTTTGAATGTTCTAGTTAATGACATTAGTTACTCCACACCTCTCTATAACGCGTGAGCGTGGAGATGCATTTTCTCTGATTTGCTTTACGGCCACTGCATTTTTCTTTTTCTCGATTTATTTTTCATCCATCGAACAATCTATCGAATCCTATTTTTGCACATTTTTTGAGCTCAAACAATATAATCGTGGTGTAATTTTTTCACTATTATAAACTAAACTCACAACTGTCATATTTTTTTTTTTAAACTGAGTTTTTTTTTTCCAGTTGACATTCTGTACCATTTTCAATATTAGCATGAATTGAAATTAATAGTCAGGAATAATTGACCCAAACATGCAAGTTATAAAAATGCCATATGTAGTTTGTTATTTTATGTAATGACTGATCATCGAGGAACAAACTCATTAAACCGACTGAGAACTGTTCGATGTGCAAAAAAAAGCTAATGTGATGGTCATGTTTTGTTTAACAATGATTTATCCTGCATGTATAAATTATTGAAACTACCTGATTGCCAAATACTCCAGCCGAACAAGCGCGTGATAGCTCATTACTCGGAAACCATATAGCTGCCAAGAAGGGTGGAACGGCTAAGACTAAGATGTTTGATGCAGAGGTGAACACAGTGCTAAGTAGAATGAATGAAAATCCATCCGGTTTCAAACCGGTAAACTGTAAGGCACAAGCTAAACAAAAAGCAGAATAAAAGTATAAATTTCATCAAGTTTAAACATTTATTTTATTTGAACTTTACATTGATATAATATGGATAACTAAATCATCGTATTTATCAGCTAACACAACAAATTTTTTAAAGTGTTCCTATACGTTAGTGAGTCAAAATGTAAATTGCGTTTCAATCTTATAATATCAAACTTTAAACTAATATTGTTTTGTTTCCTATTTAGATACTGTTCTTACAATTTACAACATTTAGATGTAGTTATTTAATGTAAGTAAACTCATTGTAACATTCCAAGAAGGAAAAATTGTTGCTGAAAAGTACCAATCATTAATTAAAGAAGCTAACCAAATAATTCTTTTTAGCAGGACAAATGTTGTAGATGAACTACATTCGTGTAAGGAATCTTTGAACAAATCAGAGAAACTTTTCCACCTTCTGCAATTTTTTATAGCTTTTGCTCCCTTTTTTACTTTCCGTATCCGAGTGTAATAGACTCCGGCTTATGAATGTTACCTTTGTTTTAAGATCATACGCTTCTCTTACACAAAGTTTACTTTATTTCATAAATCATTCAATATCCAAGTATCAATGTAAATCCAATAAATGGCAAATAAAAAGAGGAGGATAAAATTTCAGAACAAATTTTTATCAGTTACTCTTTTAAAATGAATTCCCCTACTCAAAAAAGTGTGAAACTTCCAAAAAAGTATGATATGGAAAAGAACTCAACTTGAGTTTAATACACCTATGTTGAGTGAAATACTTGCTCTGCGTTAAATCGAACTTGATTATTTAAGGGATACTTGAGTTGTTTTCATTCAAGCATGATTTTATTAGTGCGTTAGTTACTATTTAATTGTGTGCGAGCTATAAGCTGGAGTTTGTACCGTTTTATTTTAAAAAGCAAACGATAATAAATATGAATAAAATTGTTATGTTTTTTCGATCTAAATAAGTTATGCTCTTGCTTCTATTTTGCGTTTAATTTTTTTCTTGCGAATATGTCGATCAATATTTTGAATCAAGAAGAACTAAAAGATCATTTAATTAATAGCTGCATTTCTGAAGAAGACGCTGTTTTACGTTTTACGTTTTGGTAAGTAAATATACTTTGTTGTTCTTATTCTTAAAATACTATTATTTAGATTTTGTTATATACACTTTCCATTTCAATTAGCTGCTTTCAGCGTATACACTGAAAAAAATTCCAGATAAAAATAATTATATGATAAATAATGTTTATTATTACTTGTTAACACATTAGTTTTAATCAAAAGTAATGTAGATAAAATCCAGAATTTACCACATTACTTTTCGCCATAAAATCCATTTTCATCTGATCATGTATGGAACAAAAAGCTTGATATACTGTAATTTTTGCTGTAATAATTTCCTTAAACTCACTGAATCACTCGAATTAAATATTACTGTAATAACTGCGGTATTATATTTAACACTAAACACGGATTTTAAAGTAAAAATAGATTTTACGGATGATGTCCACAAGTTGATTTGTAGGTCATTGTCTACACACAATATATAATGTTCAAAGTGAGGTTTTAAAAAAAGTACTGTGGTAAAAAATCATTGAAATACAAATTATTGAAAATCAATCCTGTTTAAAAATCTGGGTTCTGTGTTCAAAGCACTCTACCCAAGACATATTATGGAATTATTACACAAGTACAACGATGGATGTAAGTAATGGTTGATATTGTCACGTATATAATATAGGTTGTCTGAAATTTTACAGCTAAAACAATAAGCCCTAGTGATATTTGAAACAAGTTTCTCAATTGTTACCGTGTTGAAAATCATTATAAAAAATAATGCCGTAAAGGGAATGTTAATTCCATAAATTAGGGTTAGTTTTGTTTTTAGGTAATTAATATTTTTCATTCAAAAGAAAAAATGAAAACATGAAATACTGTATTTTAAATTTTAAAGCAGATTCAAGAGTTGAAATATTGGAAAGAGTTCAGATATAATCAAAGATTGATCCAAGTAAAAAAATATACCTGGTGTCCCGTAAAGTTCTCTCTTTATTTTTTGAATTCTTGATAAAAACTAAATCTTAAGAAGTAAACACTTTGGTGGTTGAAATTCATTTTTAAGGAAAGAAAAACGTCATAAAATCACTAATGAGGACGGCGTGACTTAAACATTAAAACTCGTTTGATTGCCCCAGAAAACAGAGAGAAGTTGTAGGCGGATTAGTCAAATACCTCCAAACTTTTCGAGTCAATCAAACTGGTATTTATTTTTTTCCACCTCAACTTTACCTTCATTTTTTACAGGTATTTTAAAAATATATATTTATGACGGTGATTACAGAAAACCCTTAATTGAAAAATACTCACCTATAGTATTAGTCACAGATACAGCTATAATAGTCCAACGGAGACCGATGTAGTTCATCAAATAGGACACAGGAAAAACAAACACAACATACACCACCATCAGCATGTATGCTGTCCAATTTAACATGTTCATAGAAATGTTATAATAACACATATTGACATTGGCATTTGACACATATTGGGGAAAAAGCATTCCGCATAAAAGGGAGAGAGAACTGAAGAGAAACAATATCCAGTACCGTTTACGGTAAACTTTTACCGCTGATTCTTTTTCTAGATTTACATTAAGATGTGTTGAAGGTTCAGTTTTGGAACATACAAGTTCAGAAATACTTTTATGGGATGACATTGTGTTTTCACTTCCTTTACACTTCACCTGAAGAAATAAAATGTTCTTTATCTATAACAAAAAGATAATGTATCAAAAATTTTGAAAACAAATATTAAATTATAATGCATATTTGTATACATTATTGTCATTTGGCTGAATTGGGATATTCGTGTACCGGTATCTGTTCGTGCTGAGACACCAAAGATTTTTGTATAACTTTCCAAAAAGTTAAAGGAAATTTTTTTTCGTGTGTACGGGGTTGTGTGTGGCTACGATTTATACCTTTCGAGCTGGTCCCCTTTTATAATGTTTTTTTTTTAAAGTTTCTTTCGGGGAGAATTTTTCAATTGATAATTGTATTCTCAGTTTTTGCAGATTTTTATGAGCCCGGGAAATGCAGCATTGAAGTAAGTTCTTAAATATTAAAAAATTAGACCACAAACGACTTTTATTTCACAAAACTGTGTCTATTCACCATATTGACGTTTTGTGCCATTTTCAAAATAAGTGTAGACAGCGCTGGAGCTAGATTGGCTAGACTTCGTTAGAGAGGCAAACTAGATAGGCAAACTCACAGCAGTTATAAAAGGAGCAAATTATTCGCAAAAAAAACATCAGCTCATAAGCCTTCGAAAACCAGCCTTAAAGAAATAAATGTTCGAAATCTTTGATACAGTGTCAGCATCTCCTAGAAGAGACAAAGCCTTCCCAATGGGTTACCATAAACGAGAAACAATACCTGTTAGTAGTTGGAACATCTCTCTAATTTACACCCCATTTGTGCAGCTTATTTTTGGCACATCGGAGTATGAAATTGATCCGTGTGGAGGCCCTCCCTCACTTAAGAACCGTTGGTAGAATGCAACCTAAAATGCTCCAATTTTTAGAATGTAAATAATAGTTGGACTGCTAGCTTTTTGCTTAATCTAGCTTTCAAATCCCTCATAACAATATAATTCTTCATTTAATAATAGTCACTTTATCAGTTTTTTCAAATAATTTTATTAAACAAATATAAACTATATAACAGAACAGATAAAAATATTAAATGATAGTATTTGATGCATTTTTTTAAACTTATGAAGCATTCTGACTGAATCTGGCTCGACCGGTGTACCGTAATTTCTCTAATAGATTTCCAATTTCCAATGCATATTTTATGTGAATTTTCGCCCACTTATAACAACCGAGCATGCATCTGTTTTTAATATATACTATTCAACATTTCTGTATTTTGATTGATGCACCATTCTCCTCTTCACTTATTCGTATTATTTAATAACTAATTGTGATTGCTTAATCTCGTTTTAGCTTATCTCACTATTTATCAGCAACTAAGAAAAATTTATTGGAGTGATACTGTTTCATTTATTTAAATTAGGTGAAGTCATTGGTGATTGCATGTGTGACGTAATATCGATCATCTAATTATTTTTTTAAATATATTTTAGATAGACAAAATGCTCAAAAATTACCAATTTAAGAGGAAAATTCTTAGAACCATTATAAATGGCGAAGTGAAATATTACCGATATTTTTCTGCGTGCTGCGATTCAAATAACATTTTTAAAAAAACTCCGAAAAGTTTATTGTGAAATTAATTATTGAAAAATATATCTAACTTCTCAATACAAGCGAAAATTTTATTCCTTTTTATTTCCCTACGTTGTTAAAGCTTCGAAAATGCCTCTTTAAAGTTATAGCAATTCTTTAAACTTAATAAGTTCATAATTGAATGAAAAACGCTTGATTAAATAGCACTTTTGAAGTTCATTTAAAGCAGAAAATTTTATTCAATTTGTATTATAGGCTGAAAAAATGTCCTTTAATTTCTTTTAAAAACTTTATAGCAATTTTTAAATCCAGAGGTGAGTATACCTAAGAATTATAAGTATTTGACCCGACAGAAAATGCTCCATTTTAAAGCACTTCCAAAAAATTTATTGTAAAAATAATTTTTATAATACAAATTTAACTAATTGACACAATAGAAAATTTTATTTAAATTAATTTATGACTTAGAATTTTTTTAAAAATTAGCTATAATTCTCGATCTATTCACTAATTTACTATATCTAAAAATATGTCATTCCCCAAAAAAGCGATCGATTAATTAAATGTTTTGAAACATTTCGAAAACGTTAATTACAAACATGAAAAATCAAAATAAATCTTACCTCAACAGTTTTAAAAGCTCTGATTTGAATAAAGCAGCAAAGAGTTTCTTCTAAGTCTGAACTTTCTTTGCAAACATAATGTAAGATACGCAGCCCAGATAAGAAATAGCATTCGTGAAGTAATTACTGCTATTATACTTTACTATCAATGCTGGAATGTTCTGAGAATTTATCACTTTTTTGACTCATAAAATTGAATGAGTTTTGTACGAAACAAAGGGAAAAAAATTATTTTCCTCACGTTTTATTCTGATTTCCTTACAAAATTCTATAGTTTCAAATTTAAATTGCAAAACAATTTTATTGCTATTGTAGCGTAATATAACTAGCATAATTCTTTTACTGTTGACTTATCCTCAATACTTATCATATTTTAAAAATTGAGAAATGAGCTTTACATAAATTTTATAGCATTTTTGTAATAAAATATTTTTGTTACTCAAATGTTTGTTTACTATGTTCCGAAATGTATTGTCTTTAAATTTATATTTTAATCTAAATTGTGGATTTCTTTTATGTATAAATATGTAACAATTGATATTTTTATTATTGGCAACTAATTATCACCAACATTAAGTGAAATTGACATTATGTAGACGCTCGTAAAATGCTAAAATATTTACTTTAAAAAGAACTTCAAAAAGATTGAAGAATTGTTTTTGAAATCGAATATTTCAAATAATAAAGGATTTAATTTTGAAAACAAAATCTTGTTTTTAAAAGACAGGAAAAACTTCACTTAAATAAAGGAAATTTATAAAAAATTAGAGGAAACAAAAAATTGATCTCGTTTTGAAATTTTAATGTTAATAAAAAACTGATTAACCTGAGATAAGTAGAACCTGAATAACATAACTGTTTACCCATTAAGTTTCAAATTACATGCCTGAAAATTTCCATTGGAGCAAATGTATTAATATATTTTAAAAATATTAACATTTATCTGGGTAAGTTCTTATTCTAGTCTTAATTAAAACTATAACATTCGTTTCTATTCCTGAATCTATTTGTTCCAAAGATACTCCGTGGAAGAACCAGATAAGGAACATATTTAAGTATTCTTCGTGTGGAAGTGATTTGGCAACAAATAGTCCATAAGTAACCTTTGAAAATCACTCGCTGGGCATTGAAAGGACCTTGGGAATAAAATTGAAAACGTGAAACATCAGCTATCATATATTAAGTTGGAATTTAAAATGCTTTTTTACGAATCAAAACTAGAAGGAAAAAATAACCCTTAAATTGTTTTAGCGCATAATTTGAATGTTTAAATGGCACCCCTTACCATTACTCCAGGTGATGGGCAAGTATGACAATGTCAAATGCAAGTTGCCAATAGGCGTTCTCCACGATCTCACCAAACACGGATGCGGTCATCATGATGCTGTATACAGAACCTGGATTCGTCTGAAATGACAACTTCATGCCATTCCTGCTTCCAGGTTCGTCGTTGATCACACTATTGGAGGCACTCCTGCCTGTGATGCAACGTCAATGGTAGCCGACGCCATGGTCGCCATGCTGACAGTCCATGCTGCTGCAAACGTCGTCGAACTGTTTGTGCTTATACTGCTCACTTGTCTTGCAAATGACCTCATTTGTTGACTCTGGGTTCGTGACGTAGCTGTACGATCCGTTAAGGCCATGTGAATAACATGTCTGTCTTCTCGGCTGTTAATGATAGGAGGGAAGTTGAGATCCTGTGCGGCGTTCCATATGACCGTCATGAACCCATCGATTCCATATTCTGCTAACAGTCATGGGATCTCGACCAACGCGAGCACAAATACTTCGGCATGATAAACCACAATCCCGGTAGGCCACAATTCGACATCGATCAAACTCGGACACGTGCTCGGACATTTCTCCTTCTTGCACGAGACATAACAATAACTTTTTTACCCAAGAACAACGTTCAAATTCAATTTCTGTATAAGAAACTTACTGTCAAATCTCTTCTTTTATACACATTGTAGGTGTCGCTGCTGCCGCCTACTTTGCATGAATGCGCTGATAAGCTAATTATTTGCATGCTTTATCGCTTTCCTGGTGTAGCAATTTTAATTGCTGGTAGTGTATTTATACAGTACCTTCAGTAGGTATCGTGATACCTATATTAATATATATAATACATATTAAAACATTACCAATTAAATAATATTTTAAAAGCCCATTACAAAGAAATGTTTTTCGTATTATTATTTTTAAAATGACCTCATTCGCAATTTTAAGATGTGTGCTCACACTCAAAATATTAATTGTTAAATCCGAAATATTAAGTGTGCATCTTATATATCTGGCAAAACTTATGGCAACTTTTTCATAAAAATCGGCATTACTAAATGTAGACAAATTACGTGTACATACAAGTTAAGTCTGCATAAACGAATCACAGAGATAGATGGTTAAACTTCATTTTGTTCCCCTCAAGCAAAGATTGCGGATGCAAATTCTCCTTCTTACTAATCATTAGAATATTATTTCTTATCAACAGAATAATATAAATACTTTCATTATTTATTTAAAAAAACTGCACATTAATTCAAACATATCAGATATATATTATGAATAAATCATAATATATCTTGTAGATCAGATCAGGGGCATTTTTCAAAAATCTTAACTTTAAATGTCAGAAGAAACTTTAATTAAATAAAAGATTTAAAAAAAGGGAAAAATAAAAATAAAAACAAAAGATCGATACAGCCTTGAAACCATACTCACAATATAAAAACTGATTGTTATGAAACAAACATGCGTCAATTCATCTGCACAAAAAATATGCATTTAAGAAACGAAAATGTGTTATTTTCGTTGTGTTAAATTGAACGCAAATTTATAAACAGAATACTATAAGTACTTACGGCCGTTATTTAAACTTCTCACCTTATCAGAAATATTACATATGAAAAACTGATATCCATCTTATAAATATTTTTTTTTGTTGTAATGCATTATGAGTTATAAATGATACACGCAGTTTAGTGACTTAATCATGTATATTATTCAAGTAGGTGCTCCTTAAGTAGTTTTTCTATTGTCTTCTAGATTGAAAAAAAGTTTCATATGAGTTGAAGAATAAATGTGGGATTAGGCTCCTGAAATCTAAACATTTCTGATGTGGTGAATTAGAATATGAAGAAGTTGAGAGTCACGTTATTAAACATAAGCGTGTAGTTTAATACAAAACAAAATAGCCAAAAAATTTTCTTAAATATTTTATAAATTACAAGAAAATGTCTTTCCTACATGATACTGCCAATTTTTAATTAAAAATTAAAAATAACTAATTTTCTTTAACTATATCTATATATTTCTATAGATATTTTTGCATTAAAATGAATAAAAAATTTTTTATTCAATTTTAGACTTACCTTTAGAATTTATAATATGAGCTATTTATAATATTTGATTACTTTCACCTTAGTGGAAAAATGTCGCAAAAGCAACAATTTTTTAAAAAGTTTAATAACTTTTAGAATATTTAACTTATTTGTCCGTCTTTAACTAAAGCCCAGATAATTCTTCATGGTAAGATGATATATATAGTTTGCGATTAATGCTTTGCTTTATGTAAGGCTCTTAAACTGTAGATTTTTAATTTTCCTTGGCGATAGAGCTTCGACAAACCACGTCAAATAATTCTTTAAATCAATAATGACCTAATTCTCTCCAATTTAAGCGATAAATGTGGGTAAAGCTTCCATTTCTCGAAAATTGAGCACACGCTACCTCCGTATCACCTTTGGACAGTTTTCAGACAAACAAGGCTTGATAAAATTTGATTCCAGATTGTTACGAAGTGAGGTTTCTAAAATTTTATTTCATGAATATAAGCCTAAATACATGTATATATATTTTAGCTTTTGAAATAATATTCGTTCATAAATATTAAAAAATCTTCATGAAAGTAATCAGATGTCACGCACAAAAATTATTAAAAATCTTTTATTAGAGAGATAGAATCAAAACAATGAAAAAAAAAATCAAAACAAAAGAAAAGTTAAAACAAAAGATCTATATAGTTTTAGAACTATACTCATAATATAAAAACTGATTATCAGGAAATAAACATGCGTTAATTTGTCTTCTTAAAGACTTTAAATATGCATTAAAGAAAATAGTTTAAAGAACAAAAATGTGTTATTTTCATTTTTGTGTTAAAGTGAACACAAATTTATAAACTGAATACTATATGTACTTACGACCGTTATTTACACTTCACGCTTTATCAGAAATATTACGTATGAATAACTGACTATATGTACTTACGATCGTTATTTAAACTTCACACTTTTCCAGCATTTAAATAAATCTTTTTTTGGTTGTAATGCAGTATGACTTATAAATGCTACACGCAGTTTAGTGACTTAGTTATGCCCTAAAATTTCATAAAAAACGCACATATGACATTGAAATTAATGGTAAAAAGTAACTTTGAAATAAATTTGTCAATTATATCCACGGAGAAAAACATTGTGACTCAGTTGCAGCTCATTCGATATCATGATAAGGAGGAAATTAAGGAAATAATATTGTAATTAAACAAAAACTGACAAAATTGCTAGATAATGTGTACGGAAGGGATATTTTATAAAAAAATACATTACAAATTTCAGTTTTTGGAAATAAATAAAAAAAAACTATCAAAAACAGGAAGAAAAATTTTTGGTTAAAGTACAATACTGTATGGTAATAAAATTTTTTGTAAAAAAAATAATAAAAAGAAGAAGAAAAAACAGAAATTCTTGTGGATAAAACCAAAAGAAATCAGAATCCATTGAAAGAAAAAAAGGTATATTTATTTTAAGAAAGTACGTTTTTGATTCTGTCTTCGTAATTTAAAATATCGTCTGCACTATTTAATTAGCATTGTTGAGGTCACGAACCATTGAGATTGAGTCCTAGAACTTGAAGATCCGCTCAATAGATCAAAAGTTATTCTGGTTGGTCAGTTTTTTTTTTCTTTCGCACTGTACTTATTTTGTTTCAGAAACCTTTAAATAGTTCTTAGATAAAAAATTAAGATTCTATATTCAAATAATTCTAGGAAACTATACAAATCTTCGAAAAACAGTTTCGACGCAAGTTGATTAAAAGTTGTTTCAAACCTTGAAAAAACTTTTTTAATGAGTTCAAATCTGTTACCTGATATTTTTTTTCCTGCTTTTGGTTAGAATTTTTCTGTATCAAATTTTATTATACCTGAAAGTAACTTAGTGATAATTATACTGTTCTTTAAAAGAAGATGGTATTTATGTTTATATTTCATGTTGACCTAAAGCTAACGACTAGCTCGCTCTGCCGCGAAAAAATGTCTAGACAAACACAAAATTGAGTCTCTTTTTTTCTTATTCTGTAAAGAACCTGCTGGAAACTGCTCCGATGGTAAATAAAAGGGAGCTTGGAGTACCAAAATATGTATTCATCTGAAAATTGGCATCTGGTAAAGTTAGTTCAGAGAATCAAGAAGCTGGACGCCGAATTACTTTAACAGCGATACAAGAATAGAAACTTATGGAATGCTTATTGGATCATGCATAAACGAAAATTCAATTTCCAATGACTTTTAAGATGACAAATCGGGGTCCGAGGTGATTCAGGGATAGAGAGTTCAACACTCAATGAGGTGATCCAGGCTCGAATCTCAACGGTGTCTGGTTGAGGCACATTCTACTCCCGGATCACGCCGACCACAGTGCTGACGTAAAATATCATGAGTGATAGACTGGATCATTAGGTAGAATCTCCTACCTTAGGCTTAACGTGGAGTTTTTCATAGTTTTCATCTTCATGTATCACGAATGCGGGTTATTTCCGTAAAAAAGATGCAGGATTTCCCTAAGTTGGGTTCAAAATTACAAGAATATGGAGTTGATCATTGACAGTCATAAACACAGAATTGGGTTGACTGCTTACCGCTGGCTATAAAATGAAAAAAAGAAGGCAAATTACTGAGAGACTGGTATATAAACTTAATGAAGAGACATCCTCACTTATCATTGGAAAAAAAAAGACCGAGCATCATCTGTTTTTGAGTAGATCTAACAAAATTCAAGACATTTTCTACGGCTGTTTTTTACTTTTTTTTGAAAAATTTTTTAAATTATTTTTTAATATCAGTGTATAAGGAGAAGAAATTAGTATTATCCGATGAACTGTAAGATTGTCTGCTTGGGGTTAATACAAATGAATCAAGATTCATTCAGGACCCCTCTTGTATGCGTGGACTAGGTGAGAAGGAAAAATCACTGTTCAGGATGTCTGGTGGATTTAATAAAATGAATAATGAAAACAAAGCAAAAACTGAAAGAAGTCAGATTTAATAATTCTTTTTATTTTAGAGTTGATGATATAAGCTATACGATGGAGTAATACTATAAAAATAAAATAAATAAATTATAAACTAATATTTATAGCCTTTCTAAAAGGAAATGATAAAAATAAATGTACGATTCAATCTACATTAAAACTTATGTGAAAATATATTCTAAAAACGTCTTAATCCATAAGGGCGATTCCACGGCTTTGGTGCATAACTTATGCAATCAACTAATACAGGTGCTTGTTGAAAAATATTCTGTGAGTATGTATTCATGTAGGTTAATCTTATTACCAGGAACGAATACATAGAAATAATTTTACTCATAATCATATAAAAGCCGGAGTAAAATAATAATTTCTAACTGCCCCTACCTCATAAGTCCATTGTTCTATTGTATATAATTCGAGTTTATAGTTAAAATCATAAATTTGCATTTTCAGATTACTAATATGGCTGTAAAACTATTATCGAAGTATCCCAGCCATAACTACAAACATCAAAGTTTTACAGCCAAAATTTTACAGCTCGCAAATTTTTTTTATCGAAGTTTCACAATAATAAAGTTTAAATTGTAGTGATCCCACAAAAAAAAATTTTCCGCATGAATAATTATACATTAAGTTTATAATATATCACTAAATTGCTTCATCCGAATGAATATTAAGATGAATTATCCATTAAGATGAATTATATATGAATTATTAAATGAATTATCTGTTAAGAATTTTAATCCGTTATTAAAATTAACATCAGAAAGAAATTGAAAAAAAAATCTCCATATTAAAAAAAAGTGGCTGCAGCTCTTTTTCAGGTTGACTATCCACTTTATCCATGGTAAAAAAAAATTTTATACAAATATTTATTAAATTCTTTTTACGAAAGCACATAAATAGAACGATCACGTATATTTAGTTTCATGGAGAAGAATTAGTTTGGAAGATCTCATTTCTGCATTCCAGTTTCTTTTCGTTATCTTTTGTTCGTTTGTAATCTCTAGTTATGAAGCCTGTAAAACATAAAAAAATGTTACTTGTTTAACAAAATAATAATAACAATAATAATAAAATTGAATAAATAAATATAGCTTTAGCTGCAGTATTTTAGATTAATTTTCTTATATTTATAAGAATTTAATTTTTATTAGTCGTCTCAGGGGAGTTGTTGGCTCATATTTAAAGTATGTTGAAATTCTTCGACTTTCTCAAAGTCAGAAATTTTTTCGTTTAACCTTCCAAGCGTTGGTAAAATTGTATGGAAATTTGCTCACTATGCACTACTCATCCATTGAATAATATGGTAGAAACCAGCTTTTTAATGCACGTAAGCTTGCAGCAAAACTTTTAGGAAAAGCCGAGACTATCCCCCAGAGAGTTGAAAATGAAGCTGTAAACAGGGATAGCCTAGTTGGTAAGACGTTGGACCCGTGTTCGTGAGAACGAGTATGGTAAAATAAACATTTGTGATGTGACAAGGCTTCTCATTGCAACCATTAGAGATGTAGTTCAACAGATTTTGTTCAAATATTGTTTAGGGTGAAACAAACTCTGATTTTTTTTGGTTGTATAGTAAAAAAATAAGAGTATATAGAAACAATGAATAATATTCACGTTATACCAAGAGAAATAACCAGTTAAACATTTATTTCATTTTATTTTATAACCGTAACTGAACAGCAAACCCAATTTTGGGTTTTCGACTACTCTTATTCAACTTCGCAGGCGTGTAACTTTGAACCCAATCCAGAAGAAAGGAAATCCTGGATCAAGTATTGGGAGAAATTTGCGTTCGTGGAAGACTTTTTGATGGAACTAACTCTCATTTGCGTTACATGGAGATGATAACCACGAGAACTTCCCACGGTTAGCCTGACGGTAAGGAGACTTTAATCCCTGATACGTCAACCACTGGATATTTTACGCCAGCACTATGGTCAATGTGAGACGGGTGCGTAATTCGAATTGACCAGCCATCGGTGGGATTCAAACCCAGATTATTTCATTAGAAGGCGAGAGCTCTATCCCCTGTGCCACCACGGCTCAACCCGTTAAACAGTGTTCTTAATCTTATTTGGATGCCTGCAGGTGACTTCATCGTAGGTGAATCTTGGCATTTGTCAATTCAGAAGCCAATCATGTTCGGCACACACGCGTGATGTCACTTACAGGTATCCAATTAAATTTGATTTCAATAAGTTAGGCGTTGTCACTTTATTTCTTCTCAAGTTGCAAGTATCCAATTACAAGTAGAATATTGTGGAGAGCTAAAAGTATACCTGCATAAATGGGAGATAACGTGGGCATGCTACCCCGTCTTACATGTAAAGTATGAATGGTGAAGAACCAAAATATGTTTACATTAATAGGAGGCGCATCTTAAAAGCAAGACACTTCGTAGTAGGTTTTTAAAGCATTATAAAAAATAACACTGTTTATTTTATAGCCAAATTACAAAACATCGTTCAAAATAATTGATCGTATTGTTAAAACTACACGTAAAAGTTCTTCGGTAATAATTGTATTATAAAACTATTCTAAAACAGATTGTATACTAAAACTATTCTAAAACTGAATGTATACTAAAACTGCAAGTAAAAGTTCTTACTTGATATAATGCAGCTAATGAAGAAAATGATGCAAATAAAAACATTTGACCAAATTGGCCCTTTCGTATCTAAGATTGTTGAAATAATTTCCGTCAGAATAAGACCAAATAGCTGGAAAAAAATCGAATTTTTCACTATATATGAATAAAAAAAGAGCATGAAAGATTTACTAAGGAATTTAACTGATTTCATAGTTTAAAAAAATTGATAAATATACTATATACAGAAACTTAATGCAATTTAATTACATATAAGAAAAAAAATTTTACAAATAAGAGAATTTTAACTTATTGATTGAGTTATAGGTATTTTTTAAATGTTTGGCTCTAATTTTTAGTATAAAACACTGATCGATAACATATTTAAAAAAATTTAAACATTTAACATTTAATTTGGATTTTAAGATGATATTGCATCAACAAATAAAATGAATGAAACAAATGAACATGTTTTTTTTTTGTTTCTGTTGGTTGAGGAATATGTTTTTTTTTTGTTTTTGTTTCCGTGGGATGAGATTTTTAAACAGATTTTAGATAACAGATTTCGCTGCATATTACAATAATAAAGCCAAATTATTAGACAAACTATAGTTTTTTAAAAATTACATGTTTTGCACGAGTTTATATGCAATGCTTTTATATTTAAACATACATGTAATGGGTGCTTACTGATGAGATTTTTTATATACTTTCAAACGTATTGTATTACAATGTTAACCAATTAATACATGGACGTAAACAAGTGCAAACTAGTTTCAGTCACGTAAAAACAATAAAGCTGTATAGTATCACCTGATAATTAAGATTTTGCATAGAATCTTATAGTGCGTCTAATAATTTTGCCAGGGACTGTATAACAGAAACTCGAGTAAACGTTTTCGATTAAATGTTTTATATGGAATTAAGTAAAATAATATTCGAGTTGATAATATATTTGAAATAGTTTAAGTTATATGGGTTTTCTTCATAGCAAGTGCATTTCAAAACTAATATGTTTATACAAAAAAAAAAAAAAAAAAAAAAAAAAAAAAAAAANAAAAAAAAAAAAAAAAAAAAAAAAAAAAAAAAAAAAAAAAAACTTTATTTTTTGAAATATTAGCTTTTTTGAATCATATTTAGTCTCATAAGATAAATGAAAAAATGCATAGGAAACAATACTTCAATTATCTGCATAGCAATTTAAAACTCGCAAAAATTTCTACTTTTTGTACATTAAATACTACTTTTTGTAAAAATTCTACTTTTTGAAAAAAATTCTAATGACAAAAGTCGATTTCTCGGCCATAGATGGCGCTACTGGAAAAAAGAACAATAGCAGTTCCATGCCTTAATGGCCTACGACAACAAAGGAAGTACTTTTTATATGTAAAAACTCTTAAAAACTTTTGAAAAATATGTAAAAACTTTTGAACTATTTGTTCTCTTTACTTGTCCATAGTCAAATATAATTTAGTTTATAAATGTAGATAGGAAACATTTTGTCATTTATTTAGATAGCAATATCAGATGCTTAAATTGGTACAAGTGCAAATTTGTACTTCTTGTACTTAAAACTCTCTGAACTTTTAAACTATAATTTTGATCTTCTCAGGATTCGTTTATGTCTGCCAAAAAGAAAAACATCCCAATAAATGTCTATTTTGAATAAATACCCAAAAATTGCCCAATAAAAAATTCAATTCTTCCCCTAAAACCATCCCCATTTCCGTCAAAAAAGGGAGGAACTTATAGAGGGGAGTTGAAGAGTTCTTAGGTATCATTTACAATAATACAACAAAGCTTTCTATTTAGAAAAAAAAAGGATTTTTTGAAGAAAAAGTTTATTTTTTCTCGATTATAAATATCTTTACATAAGATTTAAATATAATTTCGAGAAAAAAATAAAGATTAAAACTTTCCTAAATAGTCTTAAATCTATTTAAGCATATTTTATTTTGATCAAAGTATGGGAAAATAATATTAAAAATAATCATAAATCTTACGTTGGTCGAAGTCATCAATAAATTTCCTGATATTACTTCTGAATCGGGATATGTAACTTCAATGCCATATTCGAATCCAATGGGTAATAAACTTGTGAGGAAAAAACTGAAAAGTAACTGTTCGTTACTTATACTATTTATAATTTTTCTTAGATACACTATAAGTACAACAAAAAGAAAATAAAGTTGAATTATGTGACAAATTGAGATATAAAAAATAAAAATAAACCGTCAGTTCATTTAATTCATTCAAATCAAAAGGTTCAATTTAAATTTAAGCTAATAAAGACAGAAAAAATTTAAAATTTTAGGTCATTTCATTTTTTGAAAAAATAGTCATTTCCCACTTACTTTTTAAAATTTTTTTGAAATCTACTGAGGTAAATAATTTGTAAGGACTGAGAAAAATATATGGTCAAATCCATCAGGATTTGGTAAATTTTACCGTGTTTCTGGTTCTATGGGAACACCATAGAGATCGGTAATTTTTACCGAAGAACTTTAGTAATGATTTCTGAAAAAATTAACAATAAAATATGGTTTTATAATATGTGATAAAATTTCATAAATTTGGTAATTTTATCATGAAACTTTAAACCAAGTCTTTAAAAACATTTACTCTGTTAAATGTACTTTTCAGTTTTGTATTTTNTCGATTAAATAGTCTTTGAGCAGAAGTGATGTACGATATTGTGGATAGATCCCGATTACAATATTAAAGTTCAGTTACTATTATTATTCAAATAAAAACATTAACAGACTGCAAATTTGAAGGAGATTTAATTCTTAAATTATGAATACACTTGCTCTCAATTTTGTTCCAGGTTAACATGTAAGCAACCTATAATTTAATATCAATCTTTGATCAATATTAATGTTTGTGTATTATATGGTTGTCTCAAGTAAATAATGAACTTATTATTGTTAGAGGATTTGGAACAGTTTCGATTTTCTATTTCTCATTTACCGTTTGAGAAATAAAACGATTCCTCCTTTAAAATCCATTTTGTTATTCTTATTATTCATTCAATTATTCTAATTTGTTTTGGCTAATATTTTATGCTTCATTAACTAAATTCTCTTAATTTTTTCATGATTTTTTAAAATAATAATCATTTGCTTAATTGTAATCAAGAGGTTTATTTTTAAAAACTCACATAATAGTAAATAAATTCAAACATATATTAGTTACAAATAAGAGATAAAATATTATTAATTGCACTGAGAAGAATCATTATTCAGAATATATTCCAAAAAGAAAAGCACAATTTTGTTACAGTATTATTAACTATTATTTTTATTAATAATACTGATCCTTTCTAAGTTTTGACTACATCTAACTATCCATGCATTTAATAAAATAAAGAATTTGTGTGTCTGCTTGTTGGTATATCGGATTGCGCGTATATCGTAATCACAAAAAATGCAGCGTTCAACATGAACCCCATTGAGAACAATTGTAAACAAATAACAAAGCCCGTTTTTTGATTTTTATTTCACAGACATTTTAAAAAAAATGGAGTTTTCTCATTGGCTTAGCAAATTTCATTGTTTTAAAATAAACAACAGACGATTCAGTCTGGTCAAATATTTTAAAGATAACATCAGCCATGCTTGCTAACTTATACCTCTAACCAAAAACGTCATTTAAGACTCTTTCTAAAATACTTAAATAGTTTTTGTTCGTAATGCTAGTTTATATAAATGATCAATGGGATGCTGGAAGCATAGATGGAATACGTCATCTAATTGGTATTTATAAAGTTATCTGAAACCACGTGCTTATTTTGTTCATAATTTATCCTTTTAAAACGTGTTACTGTAAAACGAAAAAATTTAAAATCAACGATAATTGAAATAAAAAAATAAGTTTTGAACTGAAAAGCAAAATTAATTTAGAAAGATGACTAATTCATGTAACATAAAGAAAAACACCAATATTATTATTGGCTCTATTTTGGTAATAGTTACTAACTAAATAATAAACGATGCACTGAAAAGGAAAAATAAATGGAGAAGTAAATGGAGAAATGGCATTTAGTTTAAAAGAGCGTAATTTGTGCAAATTTAATTGTTAATCCAAAGCAATTAATTGTTGTCAATTAATTTTTCTGGAGTTATATTACTTTATTTTCTAATTTTGCTTGATTTATTGATTTTCTATTGTTAATTATTATTATTATTATTGTTATTAATTTTGGTAACAAGTACTAATTGAAATGAAAAAAATAAATTATGAAAAGCAAAATTAATGAGGAAAATGTACTTATTCGTTACGGAGGATCATTAAAGGTCGCCATACTATTATTGACACCAATAAGGCTTAATTTTAATAATCGTCTCTACTGGCCTCATGGTAACTGGTGCAGTTTCAACAGGTAATAGATATACTTTATGTAGGCGCAAAGTAGTTTAAGAGTAAATTTGGTACCAACATCAACACTGTAAATTTTTATTATAGATTTTTTCGGCCCTATGAAGAAATAAGTACAGGTGTAAGAGGCTTGATTGTGATTAATATTAAATATCCTGAGTTGCCTAGAGCAACAGCATTATGCCGGATGATACTGAATACAGTTATTCTTTAATTTCATAGAAGAAACTGCCAAATACGTATTTTACTTAATCTAATACCGTAAAGCTAACGAGGGGAGCAACAAATAAAAATAAAAAAATATTTAAAAAAAATATGTAAATTGTTTTAGCTTTATTATTTGTCTCTGATTTTGTTTCAAAGTTTTGTATACGATTTTGTAGTGTAGTTCAGTACTGCTTGTTGATGCATATTTTTTTACCCCGTGTGAAGAATGGGTATTCGTAAATGTGCGTCACTGAAAAGAAACTGATTTGGTATTATTCTTCTACAAAAAAGTTTAAAGTTTAGAATTAGAAACATATTTCAGTTACCTCAAACCAATTCTTTTTACTCACCAATGGTTCATGACAATCTACCATGAAACGTTTTAGTCATTGGTTTTTCATGATTTACCAAATTATGAAGAACACAAGCAAGTTTTTATCATTGCTGAATTTTAAATAGAACTAGAACAAGTATGTAATGTTTCCAAACTCTACTTACCCCAGTAATCCTATCATCAGAAACTGCAACCATAAGAGTTTGATAAACAGTTGTATACTGAAAACGACATACAATACCAGAGAGAAGGTGCATATTCCTAAGTATGTTTCTCTGAAAAAAGCAATGTATAAATGATAGTATGAGAAAGCAATAAAAATACTATATTGCTAATCTTAGAAAATGACACGTAGCTTACCTGCTAAGAAAGGAGATCCATAAGAGTATTACTACTTCATTATTTATAGTACAGTTAAGATAACTGAGATGTGGTGACAAGACGGGTCTCAATAATTTCTGCGACAATCGCTTCATCAACAGGTCGTTTCATCAACACCTCTTCGATGAAAGGCCACTTCATCGACAAGGTCATTTCGTAGATAGACCAGTTAGTCGACAGGGTTGTTTCATCGGCAGGGTCCTTTCGTCGGCAGGGTTGTTTCTTAGACAGGTTCCTTTCTTCGACAGGCTGAAACGAAACTGTTGATCGACTACCTTGACGACAAAATGTCATGCCACTAAAAGACTTTGTTGACGAAATTGCCTGGTCAACGAATCACCACTGTCGACGAAACGATCCAATCGATGAAATGACCCGTCGGCAAACCGAGTCTGTCGACGAAAGTACCTTTTCGACGAAATGACGTAGTCAACGAAATGAGCCAGTTGACGAAATGACCTGTTGGTTTACCGACCCTGTCGTGGAAATGGTATGGCGATGAAAGGGCCTAGTCGATTAAATAGTCTGACGATGAAGTGATTGTCGAGGAAATGAACCAAACCCGAGAAAATTAGGATATCAAAAAATTCTACTGAATACTACTAAAACTTTAAGCAGCCTCTTCTTAGTAAACTGTAAAAGCTGCAGAACTTTTTACGTCGTTTTTTGGTAAGAGGAGGAGAAATGTAACTATCACTGTCTTCAGAGATGAGAAATTATTTTTGGTGTATTGTCTCATTCTTAATCCACTGAAACTCAAAAAGTAATATTTTCCAATTGTACATGTTTTCATCCTTTTTCTAAAGTGTTTGTTTTTATTCGATTCAGGATGAAGAGATACATAAGGAACAATGCCTCACCCATCTGGATAACGATTAGATAGCATTGACAAAATTGTGCAAAAATAGACAGATTTAAGTTATCTCCTTTACTACCCATTCTTCCTCCTCCAAAACATGAAGTTTGAGGTAATGCATCTTTTTATCTCTACTAAGAGGAGGGTACCATCTTATAGCTGGGTGGAAATGGGTTTCTTAGAAGCCAGTGCTATAAAAATTTATTATCAACTTTTATTTTCCAAAACAAATTTAACTCTGAAGAGCGGAAGAAATAAACAATCTATAAAGTTAATAACACTCTTGTTTTAAATGTCGCTCGCTTCAGAATGTTAAAAAATCATGTCAGTCAGACATCTAATTTCTTCCATACCGGCATTGTTGTATCTCAGTTATTGTTTTCGTCAACCTATAGCAGGTTGACATTTTAAAGTATAATTTGAGCTAAGTTGTTTTAACTGCATTGTTGAAAAATACTGGAGTGCTCGTGTACTGATAGTAACAGTTTTAATTTTGCATTTTTTTTAATAACCGTCGTTGAACAGCCGACCCAATTTTATGGGTTTACGACTACTACTGTTCAACTCTGTAGCTTTGTAATTTTGAACCCAATCCAGAAGACAAGGGAACTCCTGCATAAAGTATTGGGTGAAATTTGCCTTGGTGGAGGACTTTTTGATGGAGCTAACCCGCACTTGCGTTACATGGAGAGGAAGATCACGAGAACCTCTCGCGGTATAGCCTGACGGCAAGGGGACTTTAACCCATGATCCGTCTACACTGAGGATATTTCACGTCAGCACTGTGGTCGGTCCAAGACGGATGAGGAATTCATATCGATTGGGATTCGAACCCGGTTCGCCTCATTGGAAGGCGAACGTTCTATCCCCAGAGCCATCGCGGTTCTAATTTTGCATTTGTCATTTTGACATCAAATGAAATTATTGATAAAAATCTTATTACGTTTAACCTTTGTGAAATTCCACTCACTTGTATTTACGTGTGCTATCTAATATCCATCCTGCTATGATTGAACCAACTAGCCCAGTAGCAATGAAGATTAATCCCATCCATCCAACTTCAATTTGTTTTTTCTACACATAAAAAATACCGATTAACTTAAGTAATAAAAAAGTATGTATGTAGTCTTAGGCCAAAATTTATCAAATATAGAGGGTAGCCTAAAATAGGTAGAAGATGTTTTAAAACCCATAACCGAAAAAATATTAATTTTGTTTTGAAACAAAATTGCTGCAAATTTATGTGGTAGGTCATACTTTTCTTTTCAGAGCTCCTGTTTTTAGTTTAAATTTTTTTTTTGACATGTACACAGTAAAACTATATATAAAAGAAAAAGTAATTGAAAATCCCTTCTCACACAAAATTGATAAATCTTTCTAGAAATGAAAACCGCATTACGATAATTTTGAAATCGTTGCAAGTAAAGGTCATAATTAGAGGACAGGAGCTGAACAGATTGAAATGCCTGAGAAATAATGGTAGAAGATACTTGCAGCGCCATCTGTGGAAAAATATCTGAACAAAAGCAGGAATTTTGAGATAAAAAATTATCCCCGAGTAGTAGGCGCCGTCGTATAGGGGACGGAAGTGACGTCATCATGGAAAGTCAAGGGGTGCGTATTTCTGCCCGACCGCAAGTTGCTTTTTTCTGCTTCAACCGAAAGTAGCTTATTTCTGCCCGTCTGTAAACCGGAAGTTGCTTATTTCTGCCCGTGTTCTTATTTCTGACCTGTTTTAGTTTCGGTTTCTGTTTTTAATTTAGTTCCGTTTCTTAAATATTATTTTCATTTATTACTTTTTGAGGGTGGCAACAGTTATTATTTTTAATATTAGTTTTTAAGGATGCCAACACTTATAAACTTTGTTATTTGGGGGAGAAATTGTATGTTATTAAGTAATGACGTCATCTTTTATTACATAATAAATAAAATGATATCATGCTTTAACTCTAGTGGCGCCATCTATGTGGAAATAAAATAACTTTAAATCTATTTTAATATTTAAATCTGTTTTATTATTATTTATTAAATATTATTAACCCTTTGTATCACCGCGTTACATATCTGCAACATACATGAAAATTCAATCCTATAATGAGGTGGATTTACCTACAAAATCGAACTAAATTCAGGTAAAGAAAATATCCAACTCGCGGGAACCAAGTCTTGGTTGTTGTTGTTGTTGATGCTGTCCAGTGATGCTTGACTTCGGTGATCTGCTGGGAACCGTGCCTTAACGATCAGTCCACTGCGGGACACCAAGTCTTGGTGCAGCTGCCAATATTGTAATGCGTTTAGCAAGAATTGTTCCTCGACATAATTGCAGGATATGCAATTTTTTTACAACAATCCCCTTGATTGTATATTTGGCTAAGGAGGGATTGAAAAATGCGGTGTGAGACCTTGTTACTATAAAAACAACAATTTCAAAATTTTTCACATGAAGTTTTAAAAAATTTGAAGCATAAAAATAATAATCTTTGCAACCGTACATTTATCGACGAAATAAAATTGGGCGGTGATACCTGACATGTATGCGAGCGGGGCCACCCGAAATCCAATTGTTTTGTAAATTTGTAATTACTCGAACAATTTTTTACATACAAACTTCTTTCTCTGTGCAAATTAAACATAAGACTACATACTTTAATGCTCTATGTATAGAAAAAATTATTTTTTTAAATTAAAATGAAGTTTNTCTAGTGGCGCCATCTATGTGGAAATAAAATAACTTTAAATCTATTTTAATATTTAAATCTGTTTTATTATTATTTATTAAATATAATTAAGGCTGAGGATCGAACTGACGCCAATCAAAAAGCATTCGTGGGTCAGTGGTTATGATATCCAACTACTGACCAATTGACCATATGAGTTCGATCCTCAGCCTTAATTATATTTAATAAACAATAATAAAACAGATTTAAATATTAAAATAGATTTAAAGTTATTTTATTTCCACATAGATGGTGCCACTAGAGTTAAAGCATGATATCATTTTATTTATTATGTAATAAAAGATGACGTCATTACTTCATAATATACAATTTCTCCCCCAAATAACAAAGTTTATAAGTGCTGGCATCCTTAAAAACTAATATTGAAAATATTAAGTGTTGCCACCCTCAAAAAGTAATAAATGAAAATAATATTTAAGAAACGAAACTAAATTTAAAAAAAGAAACCGAAACTAAAACAGGGCAGAAATAAGCACACGGGCAAAAATAAGCAACTTCCGGTTTATAGACGGGCAGAAATAAGCAACTTTCGGTTGAAGCAGAAATAAGCAACTACCGGTCTGGCTGAAATACGCCCTCCTTGACTTTCCGTGCTGACGTCACTTCCGTCCCCTATACTACGGCGCCTACTACTCGAGGATAATTTTTTATCTCAAAATTCCTGCTTTTGTTCAGATATTTTTCCACAGATGGCGCTGCAAGTATCCTCTACCATTATTTCTCAGGCATTTCCATCTGTCCAGCTCCTGTTCTCTAATTATGACCGGGCACCGGATCCGGATAAGCAGAAATAAGCACCCCTTGACTTTCATGACGATGTCACTTCCGTCTTCTTCCGGCGCCTACTACTTCCCCGGTTACACGAATTTGTGCCAAGAATTCTTTTTTCTTACGTAAATTGTTTTTCTAGTGATGCATTCTTGAAAATCGTCAATTCGATTTTCAATATTCAAAATTCAAATGATTCTAATATTAGTTGTGAAATATTTTTTCGTAATACCTTAACTAAGTGCAAGTGGAAAGGAGATAGTCAAAAAGATTTCTCAAGTCAAAACTTATTAGCAAATTATAATAATGCCACGATACGACTCAAATATTCTCTTTAATAATCGAATGAGCGGCTTATTGTAATGCGCTAACATAGTGTTACAACGCAATATTTTTTTATAACAAACATAATTCTTTTGAAAAAGGAGTTGTAAATTCTGTTCTTATGGTATTTATTACATGGGATTAATTTTACTCTAACATTAAATATTTTGTTAATGAGTAGCAACTATACACTTCGGATAAACAATTATGCAATTCTAAATCAAATTTCAGATAACATCATAATTATTCTTAAAATATACTTCATGAGTTAAATTTAATATAGTTTTTTTGGTGACAAATTTGAAAAAATTCACAACATTTGCCCCCTCTTTTCTATTAGTGCCAAGCTTGAATTCTGTTGGGTGATTCAGCACAGAGGTTACAAAACTAGAGGATATAGATAGAGCAGATCATAAGATTGAGATTTGTATCGCAATCCATGACCAAAAATTTTACTATGGATTGATAGGGGTACTTCCATATTATAGACTGAACGTTCGCACTCATTTGAATTGGTTGAATTGGTACTTTTAAAGCAAACTTATTTTAATGTTTTCTGATACTACTTGAAAGTTGAATTCAAATAAAGGCACAAATTTATCTGTTTTAGTTTAGTTATTTGGAAACTAACAGATCTCGTTTAACAGATCTTGCCAAGTCAGTCAGTCATGATTAAACAGACACATGTGTATGCAATTTTTGACAATGATTAATAGAAAACATAAAATCAAGGTTATTCAGATAGACAAAAATAGCAGTTCAGATACGTCTATGTACAATAAAATCTAAAATTAAAATAAGCATTTTTAGAGGTTGCTATTCTATTTTCGGCCCTTTAATTGTGAATAATATATGTTTAGATTGTATCAATGTTTAAATTGTATCGATCCTTTAGATTCCTTTAGAACACCCTTCTAACCGCTTTCGGCTGAATCACCCTGAATATTTATTTCTAGTAATACTTACGGGAAAGTAGCGTAGTATCAAGTCGTTTAGAGTTGTTGCAAATGCCATGTAAGATCCACACATCATTCCTGAAATATAGTTGGGGCAATTGCATTTCAGAAAATGGTTCATTCATATTCTCTTAAACAACTTAAAAAGTATTTTGTAATGCTATTTTGCAAAGAAAATTAAATATTTCGGAAAAAAATCATTCAACTAAATTGCAAAATAAGTAAAGTTATAAAAGGATTTTTTTATTTATTTTTCTGCCATTATTCTAAGGAAATTTTCGTTACGTCTTGTTTATAAAAAGAAAAAAGTCCTCCTGTATAACACTTACTATAGTAAACATTACATCTTTCAATTCTGTAATTACATATATGTTGCCAATTAACTGCGACAGTAAACAATTTTGTTTTTATTAATTTTATGATAAGACATCTTCGCGTGTTAGTATCAAACGGATTTTTTTAAACTAGAATAAAGTTTTAAAAAAAATGAATAAAGCTGGTTTGTAAACTTCCGCATGCATAATGTGAATTGAAATTTTAAGTAATAAATATTTTCCTTACCGTACACTACAATAATCAGAATAAAATGCACATTCTTCAGCATTTTCAAAATAGTTTTCACTCTAGAAGTTGGTTTTTTGGATATTTTTTGAAGCTCATTTTGGTTTGGTGGATGTTGTGGGGCACTCTGGAAAGCTGTAAGAGATAAAACTCAATTTTTTTCTCAAAACTCAACTTAATTTTTGTAAAGTTTACATATATATATTTTTCATTCATATACATATATTAGTTTTTTGGTATAAGATACTTACTCAGTAATATTAGGATAAGCAGAGCAGTATTTAAGACAGTGAGTATGAGTGCTACATTGCTCTTCCCCTCTTCTATTTCTCCTTTCTTCTTACAATCACTGGTAACCAACATTGGTGAAAGAATGAAAGCTACTCCAATACCTAACTACCAAATAAAATATTTAAGGAAATGTATGATTGTAATGTAAGTGTATGATGTAGATTTTTTATGAAGATAGTTTCAAAATTCAGGAAGGTATATAAAGAATTTCCCCCATGATCGATAATACTTAAGGACTGTGGTGTCATAAATTTACAAAAATGTGAGCTTTACCAAATGTTTACAAAAAAAGCGCGTCAACGCCAGCTGATGCCGTACCATCTCCCTTTCCACGAGTAGTGATCTCGATTTCAACCAATAGCTTGATCCGGCGACTTTGAAATTATGTCGCTCGTCTTTCTTTCTTCCGCCGACCGGCCCGTGTAGGAGTCAGGGAACTGGCCTTGCATTAGAAATGTTCTGGGTTCGAATCCCGGGCAAAGCATGGATGTTCTTTCATTCTCTGCACTATATGTCCTTACTGTGGGAGCAAAGTTGCCCCTGAAAAATTGGCCAACAAATCTGCCCTCCAGATGCCTGTATGACGAAAGGTCATTCTCCAATTCGGCATTGAGAAATTTTTTTTTCTTCCTATGAGCTGCAGTGCCCTCTAGCTACTTACACAAAAAGGAAACGATTATATTGATTTGATTGGGGCATTATGCGGTTTATAATTGTCTTTGTCGTATTTGTGCCTATTTCTATACTATTATATTTAAAACATGAACAACTAAACATTTCCTTACGATTTATAATTCTGAAGTTGTGTTTTATTTTATTTATTTTAACAAAATTTTTTGAAATAAGATTAATTTCTGTTCGTGTTTGTAATCCTCTCTTTTTTGTACAGTTCATTTGTGTGGAAACTTAAAATTATCTAATGAATTCCTTATATTTTATCTTAGATTTTATTAATTCTGTTATTCTTATAATATAGATTAGTTCTATTATTTGTAAAAAGTGTTTCAGACATATTTTTATCTACTTCTCTTTATTTGTGCTCCATGATAAATTCTTTTATAAGCAGATAAAAGAAAAGTTACATTAATAATTTATCGAAAAACATTTATGTACTAACTAAATGTTTTATAGTTTTTAGAAATTCTTATTCCATTATAGGTGCCTAATCTAGGTAATCTAGGTTTCCCCACCCTCCGAAAGGGCTAAGTACCCTAATATCACCATGCAATGCATACGTGGCATTTAATACACAGCCTTTATTTTTTATTATTTGTTGTATATTCTGGTGCGGCTTCAAACTATTAGATTTACAATAACATAAGCAAGGAATCCAACTCACTGAAAGAAAGGTTAACTATGCATATGGCTTCATTGATAATTTCAAATTTAAATTATTGATTCTTGTTGAGTTTCCATTACTTAATGTTATAGAAACACGTTTTAAAAGCGTAAGTATAAATGTAAGAAACACATGGTTTCATATTTCTTTTAAAATGCGTGGTTTTATATACCTTTTAAAACAATTTTGGTGACGTCATCATAATATGCTGTAAAAATATTAACGTTTAGTTAACTTGTAATGACCTAAAAAAATGAATTTAAGGATAAATAATGAATGAAAGCTTGCGATAAAACAAATTTTTGATTGATTGAAAGGTACAAGTCATGCTAAAAATATTTATCAAAACTTATGGAAATCTCTTTCGTAACTAAGTAACGCGAGACGGTGATCGGAGAAAGTTTTAATGCAGATAGTTATACCCACTAGCTATTTCAGAGTTGCAGATTTATATAAGGTACATACAAGTATAAACATTCGACTTAATTTACAGAGATTTATCATTTGAACAGAATTAAAGAAAAATAAAAAGAAATGGCCGACATCAACAAAAATATGATGAGAGATACTAAATAACATAGTGAATGCAGCATTCCTCCGCCTTCCTCAATTGTGATTTATAAGATTCCGGTACTATTAAGACACTTGATTACACACTAATATTACTACACTGGAATATTAATTTGAAACCCTTGCTCTCAATTTTGACTCATGTGTAAACGAGTACATGATGTTAGAAACGGTGTGAATGAGAACTAGTGCAAATGGCTATATTTTTGAAATTGATAAAAGAATTGTAAATCTTACTTGGTTTCCAAACACTCCAACGGCGCATGCGCGGGACAATTCGTTGCTGGGAAACCATTTTGTAGCAACGAAAGGGGGAATGCCTATAAGTATTAAATTGGAGAGAGAACAAACGAAAGTACTCAACAACACAAAAGGAAACCCGTTTGGTTTCAGTCCACAAAACTGCAAGGCACAACCTGAAATAAAAATTGTCTAAATATTTTCTTCAGCTCATAATATTTTACAAATGAATGCATGCACAATAACCAAATTCAAATGCAATTGCAAGTAAAATGGTAAGTACAGTACAGAACCCGTTATCCGGAAGTCAGAAAACCGGAAAACCAAAAAACTGGAACGAAATTCGATAAATTTTCCCGCTATTTTTAAAATTTTTTTTTTTGCCTTATAAGATTTTAGGATTTTTCTTTCTTTTTGGAAAGATGTTTACCTTACTATCATTTTGGAAATAATCATTAGTGTATTACTTCGTTTTTTCTTCTTTTTAAGATTATTCCCAAATATTATTTTTTTTAGTTGGGTTTAACAATAAAAAAAACGGCTTTTTGTAGCGATTCAGAAAACCGGAAAAATAAGCTATCCGGAATAGCGATGGTCCCGATCGTTCCGGATAATCGGTTCCCTACTGTATTTCAATTTCACTTTTTAAGACTGTTAAGACTTTATAATTATTCTAAAATAGCTTTAATTGTTGTTTTTTTTTGTTTTTTTTGCTCTATTTGAAGCTTTCCAGCTTTTTCAAAAAAAAATTTCCATTTTTTTAAAAAGATTTTTTTTATTTGTTTTGCTACTAAGAATTTTACAGAAAAGATACATTTTCAACACATAAAAGAAATTACTATTACTTAAAACATGACTTCTAGTACACAAAATTTTTTGAAAATTCAACCATAGGTTTGTCTAGTTCTTTATTTTTCATACAAAGCAAATATTTTACTGATGAACACAAGATTGCAGAATACTATAAATAAAAATTACATGCTTCTATTAACTAACGTAATTTGTAATTAAAATTAATCAGACATCATATGCAGTATCATTCAAATGCAGAAAATTCATTTATTATAAGAAGAAGTAGAAAAGAGTTTCAACAAGAAACAAAAAGAAAAAAGAAATATAACAAAGACGACCAAAAGGCCAATAAAAAAAAGCGAGAATTGGAATTTGATATCTGCAAGGAATGTTACGTGGGGTTCAACCAATCAGGTTCGACACACACGCGTGTCGTCTCTTGCAGGTATCCAATTACATCTGATCCGAAAATTGATTCACCGTGATAATGAATCCAATTCTTAAAGTTGTAATGTTAACATGTTAACATACCATGCACAATTATGTGACTAGTGCAAGTTACCAATTATCATCCGGTCTTTCACTTTACAGATTCTAACTGAATTCATTAAACAATTTCACTTCAAACTAGCTACTTTTTATCAATATATAAAAATTTGATATTATAGACAGTTAACTATTGGTGTATAGATTTTAAAAATTCCTAATTTGCGCTGTTGGTCAAACTACCTTCAGAAGGTGTACGAAGTTTTGTTGAGTTTGTCTCTTAAAAAATTTATTATTAAAATATTCTATTATATATAAAATGGTTTAGGAACGATACTTTTCTTTAACAATTCAGGATTGAGTTTTTTTTCTGTCTGCTTGAAGTGAACCCCTTAAAACGTAACAATAAAAATGGTGATGGACATAAGTTTTGAATCTGTATATTTATTCGAATAAATTACTTCAATTTTGGAAGACCTAGTTTTCATAAAGAATAACTCAAATATTCATGAATATACAATTAATGAAAAAGATTTTAATTAAAATAGAATTCATAGTATCTGAATTACTGTGGTTTTTTAAACAAATTTACGCAAAGCAAACAACACAATAAATTTAAATTTGTGGTTAGGAACCACTTTTAATCTTCCCCAAACATAATTTCCCAAAATAATGTTAGAAAAAAAAGCTAAAAGTCCCATTTTTGAAAAATTGAGATTTTAATCTAGTGTTATTTAACTGTAAAACGCTAATTTATTTTATAAACTCTTTAAGTTGCTTAAATATTACCGAATAAAGATACTGATCCTTTAGATGTGGCAAAAAGTTCCAAGTGCATTTGGAACAAGCAGTTGACAAAAAATCTTTGAAAGACTTACTTTTGGCAGCAAATTAAACTAATGCTGTTAAGAGAATAACTAAAACCATTACAGTAAAATTAATTAAAATAATGGTAAATTTTGAAATTCTTAAAAAAGTTATACCCAGTATCAAAACAAGTACCATCTTCTTAATAAGTGCCGAAAAATAGCATGATTTGTGTGTCCAGTTTCAGAGTGTTAGGAAGGAAAAACTAAAATATTACTACATAAACAGATTAAGTATTGTTTCCGATACATAGGAGAAATGATTTAGAAGTTATAAGAGTTTTAATACATATACCCTACCTTCCCTTAAAGTTTATCCAACATTTTTGATACACTCTGTTTTTATAAAAAACTAAAACGTATTGACGTTTCTTAAATGGATCTTCTAGTTTAAAAAATAAGTCTTACGTTAGGGAAATAAAGAACAATACAAAAAGTAATTCTATAAGTAATTAGAATACAATGGGTAGAAGCATCAATAAATTTTTACCTATTGTATTAAAAAGAGATCCTAAAATGACTGTTTTTCTCAAGTCTATGCGGTCAATGATTGATGAAGTTGGAAAAACAAGAACTAAGTAGACAACCATAAACATCATCGATGTCCAATTCACGGCATGATTTGAAACTCCATAATAACAGGTGTTCATATCTGCCATTGCAACATACTGTGTATAGAGCAAACCACACAAAAATGACAGGAAGGAGAACAGAAATAGCATCCAAAAACGTCTTTTGTAGACTTTGATTTCAATTTCAGTTGTGTTGCAATTTTGGTCGAAATTAGCAGCATTGGGATCGATCTTGGATGTAAATTTCGCGACCATCTTAACTATTAATGACTTTCACTTGATGGATCTTCTTCAACACTTATTTAATAAACATGTTATTTTTTCGCTGCTTTCGGACTTAAGCATCTTTTAAGAAAAAAGTTTTCTCTGAAGTTTACGCACCTAAAAGCAAAGAAAATAACTATTAATGAAAACTGGATCAATTTTTCATAAGAATTTATCTTAGCATTTCACACATATTTAAATACACTGGTGTAAAAAATTAAGAGAATTTGCAGACTTGGTCGATTATCTCTAGAACTGCAGGACCGATTTTAATGAAATTTGATATGTAAATACATTGATGCAATACAAAGCAAATAATCATTCAACAATACACACTCGTGATCGTGCGTAACAAGTGTTGGAGCCGAAAGGTATGAAGTTGCCACAGGACAATTCAGGTCAATTGCCACAGGAAATGAACTGCCTTATTTCAAGTATGAAATCACGCTGCAAGGCATTGTATCTCTGTAAGAGGGGACCATACCCCCCATTAACCCTTTTTTTTGTTTTGTTTATTCTGCAACCTCTGTTTCATACCTTCCGACACTCCAACGATTGTTACGCACGATCATGAGTGTGTATTATAATTGATGAATGATTATTTGTTTTGTATTGTATCAATGTATTTACATATCAAATTTCATTAAAATTGGTCCAGTAGTTCTAGAGATAATCGACCAAGAATGCAAAGTCTCTTAATTTCTTACACCAGTAGGGGAGAGTGGGGTCAATTGTAACATTTTTTACTTAACTATTTTTAACTAACAAAAAATCCATGTGGTTATCAGGAAAGTACGACAGACGAGTAAAGTAGACTATCCTCTACAAGGAAAAAAAAATAAATACCTTATTTTAAATGTTATTATATTAGTTATTAACAATTTTTGACAGTCGTGCACTTGTTACAATTGTCCCCACTTACGGGGTCAATTGTAACAGTTCATAAATTCAACTAAAACATAGTTAATTATACATATTATCATAGTTGTGATATATTTTTTTATTGATCAAAATAGTAGTGATATTTTAGGAGTAAAAATAATAATGAGCAGAGACCTAAAGGGTTAAACTTTTAACTTTAAGGGGTTAAAAATTTTAATTTATGCTGTGAAAGGTGACAAATAAAATAATGCACATGCAACATAATATAAATGATATAGGAAACTATTGGTGGTTCTTAAAGAGTTAAGTAATGGTTTGTAAACATAAGATTATTTATTTTCAGCTGTTACAATCGTCCCTTTACTTATTGTTACAATTGTCCCCAAGACGCCATTTCAGCTTCATTTGTTAAAAACAATGCTAGTTAATTAGCAAAACTAATCTTTTTTTTATTGAAATGTTAATTAAGGTGTCCACTTACATATTCGGTTACTAATTTTTATTTGTTTAAACAAAATTACTTTGTTACAATATAATATTCTAATACCAAAAAAAGTACTTGCGTGGCGTGAAAATATCTTTTGTGATCTAACTCTTTCAAAAGTACATAAAAATGATTGCCATCGGGGGTGTACATGTAGATTTATTAAATACACCTTATGCGCCACCTAGGAACCAAATCTAGAACCCGACACTCGAAATTTTTGCTCTGTTACAATCGTACCCTGTTACAATTGACCCCACTCTCCCCTACGCATCTTATTTTTGTAATTTAATTAATGTTGCGACGAAAAAAATCACATTGAATTATTATAGAAAAAAACATTAACACTATTCAGTGCGACAAATATATAAACTTATTTGTGGAACTGTCGAATTCGGATTTAGGAGATATATTTTAAATAGCAATCAGGTGATATTTTGGAATTCGCTCATGAAATTTTCAGGCGGCCTCTCATAAGAGTTTTACAAAATTCCGCGACGGTTTTGGGGGCAAAATTGGGGTAAAAAGGTGCGAAACTTACACATGGATGTTAAGACAAATTATTTAAATATTGTTTCCGATATAATTTTTCACATTGAATGGAATAAACTCAAGCATGAGGCAATGCGACTAACAGATCAATAGTTGCAATTATATTTATGATTTGTAATTGATATTATAATCTGGTAACAAAAAAAAGTTTCTGATTGTAGCTTCTCTCGCTTGAATCAAACGAAATTAAACGCGAGGAGATGGGACGAATAGTATAGTCGGTTTAATAATTTTATGTTTAAAAAGTAGATCCAAACAAGGAAAGTTTCGATTTTAATAAATTTTAACGCTACATCTGATGGAACCAAACTCGAAAAAATAGTTCCATTAGATCGGAAAAGAAGATCGGATCGAAAGAAAAAGGAAAAAAACTTTTTTAAATTGTAATTTTTTCTCTTGTAAGGGATTGCTGCTGTTTCGTTCATTCAATTTAACTTTATATTTTGCTTTGCTGCATTACAAATTTGGAAATTTAAAGTTGCAAAGGAGTGAAACAAAATATTTATTAAATTTGATGGAATAAAGATAATTTTAAAATGTGAGAATTAGCTTGAAAACTCTAATTTTGTTGTTTGTAAGAAAAAAATACAATTTTGGTCACTTTGCAACTACAGCAATGAAAAGAAAAGCCCAATTTTAATTATAAACTTAGCACAAGCTGTTTTTTTTTTTTCAAAATTTCTACTTCGCAATTTTTTGCATTTTAAGTGCTTTTTCTGCAAAATTTCCTAGCTTATTTTGCTTTAAAAATGGCAATCCAATATAGCAGAAAAAGCTATTTATCTCTAGTTTGAGTTCATGTCGAAAGTAACAAGAAAGTGAGAGATGTTGCCAGATATAAATCTTATCATTTATATAGAAATTTTTAAAAACATTAAATACTTAATTCATGAGAGATAAAAACCATTTCTTGTTTAAAAACACATAATGTTAGTTAACGAGTAAAATTGCTATCTATTTATTTTTATTTATAATGCGTCCCACTTCCTGTTAACTTAAAATAAAAGAATTTCAAGCACGTTTTATTATTTTTTCAATTCAGGTAATCACTCATTTCGTTATTATTTAACAAAATGTTCTTATACAAAATTATAATGTATAAAGTTATAATATATTTACAGTTGACTAATAAAATGTTCTTCGTTTTCGTTCTTGTTCTTCGTTCTTTAAAGGGAAAAGCAACGTTAAATGCAAAACAATCACTGTATTAAAGAGCAAGGAATACAAGAAGCGAAATCCTCTAGAAATATTAAAAAAATATTTCAATACTCTTATTATCGCATTAAAATGTACCTATGAACAAAATATTTCTTTAAAATTTAAAATCTTTAAATTGAATTGAAACTTAATTTCGTAAAATAAATGAAATTACTGTTAATTTGTTTTTTCATTTTAAATTATCCCAATACAAAATTTTTAAATTCTAAAAACAGAAGTTTAATAACGAAAATAACTTTTAAAATGCTTTAGGTTCATAAATTAAAATTTCATAATTAATCACTCATAATTACAATCACATTTAAATTTTATGTTTCCATTGTAAGGAGTTTCACAAATCCTGCATCTTTTTGTGAACGAAAGAGCGAAAGATATTTTAAAATCCAAATTTTTAGTTCCTAAGACAATGTATATAAATGTGTGGGAAATATTAACTGTGTGTATAGAATTTGGTCATGTCTTTAATAAGCCGATTTTTAGGGTGAAACGATGATTTAAAGATAATCTATTTCAGTTTTTTGAATTTTACTTTCTCTTGAAAAGCAAAAACAACTACAACATTGTATCATAATATCAGTTTTTCGGACCATAAAACAGTACGAAGCAAACTTCATTCAACAATAAGGTGTTAAATAAGGTGTTAAATTTAATTTAATAATAAGGTGTTAAATTTAATCTTGTTTCCATAGTATTAGGTAATTAAGTTTAAAAAAGATTAATTTTCATGATATACTACCATGCTATTGAAAAAAATATATTTAAACTTGTTTCTGTTCCAATCCATCTATAGTATTAGATACTTAAGTTTAAAAAAGATTAATTTTCATGATATACTACCATGCTATTGAAAAAAAAAATATTTAATCTTGTTTCTGTTCCAATTCATCTATAGTATTAGGTACTTAAGTTTAAGAAAGATTAATTTTCATGATATACTACCGTGCTATTGAAAAAAAAAGAAAAAAGAAACGTAAGTGCTTCTTGTTCGATTTCGAGGAAAGTGGTTTGACAACTTTTTTCTTACCCTTGCCACAGCTATCAACAATAAAATATGAATTTCAAGAAAAGTGGCTAACTTTTTCTCAACCAAATGCTCTCCACAATAAAATAGAATTTCGAAAACAGTGGCTTCACTACTTTTTTTTCATTTTGTTAATGCTCTAATAAACAATAAAATATAAATTTCGAGAAAAGTGGCTGAATTTTTTTTTTACCTAATGCTGTCAACAATAAAATAGAATTTCGAAAACAGTGACCTCTCATGTTTTTTCTTGCACTTTATAATGCTGTCAATGATAAAATAGAAATTTGGAGAAAATTGGCTTAAATTTTTTTATACCCTTGCTAATTTTGTCAACAATAAAATACAATTTCAAGAAAAGTGGCTTAACAGCCATTTTCATACCCTTGCTAATGTTGTCAACAATAAAATAGAATTTCATAAAACTGATTTTAAAAAAATTATTTTTTGAATTTTTCTTTTAGCAATTTGTAGCTTACCATCATGTAAGAAAGCCGAATATTATGTAATATATCTTAATTGTAAAATAGTATTTGTCTTCTAATGTAATTGGTAATAGTACATGTTTAATTGTAATGTTTATGTTAATAGTATATATTTATTGTTATAGATCGTTTAATAGTATCTGTCTACAAGTAATTTAAAGATAATTTTTACAATTTTACTTTGATGCCAATTGACAGAGATCCAATTGATTCAATTGATTGAGAACAATTCTTCAAATTGTTTAATCAATAGTTATTTAATATATTTATTTCAAAATTTATTTTAACAAACTGATTTCCTGATTAAACTACATATTTCATACAGTTTTAGAATATGCATTGGAAACTTACCTAAGAAACGCTAGCATCTATTTCTGTAAAATTTATAAGAATAAGATGAGTATTACTATCGTGATTCTCTTGAAGATTACCTCCCAAATCAGATACATAACTTATGCATTACCATAAAAATTTCCATCGTGACTTTTCAGAGGAAAAATGAACGCACAAAAATAAAAATAATAAAGATTATGACATCACATCTTCAAGTACTTCCTTTGTCGACTCACCTTTTGTGTTTCTCAACTGCTTACATTCTATTATAAATATTTATATTTAATCTATTTTCTGCGAGTTTGACCATAAACTAAAGATTGTTATCTCTTGAGGTTCGAGTGCAAATAAAATCCATAAGGTAATGAAAATAATTTAACAAAAACGCGTTTTCCAAGTACACTAAGAAGAGGAAGATATATTTGTTTGTCCCATGTAAAACAAAAGCTTAAAGAGAATGTTTTTTTTTTTCGAAAAACGCGGGAAAATTTTAGATAATGATGCAAGTGAATCTCAATTTGTTTTGTTTTTGGTGTGACAAAAACTGATTTTCTTTAATCCCCTCTAGAAGTGAAATGGATAAGAACGTACGCTCATTATTATTTTTTTTTTTCATTTTTGTCACATATCTGTTATTATGCTTATGCCACGTTTGTTTCCAGGTTGTTGTCTTTTTTTTCCTTTAAAAAGAGGGAAGAAAAAAAGAAAAAAAAACTTTTGTTTCCAGGATTCCGAGCAACATTTGAGCACTCTACCTTCACGGAAAGTGGTTAAATCTTTATTCGTTGGTAAATTCGATTGGGCAATAAAATAATGATAAGAGCTGAAATTTCTACTACGAGATTTCACTAACACATACATAAGTTTTTTAAGTAAACCTTGATAAAATAAAAATAAAAATTTGTTAGAATTTCATTTTTTACTGTTCAAGTCATAAATTTTTTAACGAATAATTTCACCTTATACAGGAGTACATTACTTGATTATTATTAAGCGCGAAATCACTTATTTTAGGTTTTAATAAAAATACGCAAAATCGCTGATTGTCTATTTTTATATTTATCTGCTTTTGTAATTTTTAAAAAAAGTAAATACACATAAAATTTTTCTCAGCGTTATGCAATTAAGCATTTCCTGCAGGTATCATAAATATTTTTCTGATGTTTAATTTTTTCAGTTCTGATACGAGGTAATGGGCCGATTCCCGGCACATATCCCGCTCTAAACTGTACTGATGGTGTGGTTTGAGCATGAACTGAAAAGTTAAATCGGTTTTATTCCTAAGAGAAGAGCGTAGATTGTCTTTCAATTTTTTTTTTGTTATAAATATATGATTTTGAGTAGAATTCTAATGTTTTGAAAATAAATTTTTCATTTTAATGCCAAATGTTTTCCAACACTGCACCGGCAATATTTTTTATCACTTTTTCATTAAGAAAATTCAAATAAAATATACATTTAGAAATAGAGAATTTGATTGGGACATTTGAAGTACAACGATTGAGCCACATTCGGCGAAAATGCTTCCAAAGTTTTCAAAAATTTTGGATGGTAATTGATCAGATTTTAACTTTTTTATTGTAGTTTAATTTTCTGAAAGATATATTTAAAATATTTATAAAATAAATATTATTAAATACACATTAATAACGCCACGTTAAAGTTATGAATTGAATCAATTGAAAATTCAACAGCTAAATGATTTACAACTTTTAACCGTAAACGATAAACTTCTCAAAAGTTGAAGAAATTTGGAAGGGACTCTGAAAGCTCGGAGCAACCCCAATGATTAATTTATTTTTTTGGTTTACGAAATTTAGATCTCTTCTGTAAATGAAATATTTTTTTAATCTTAAAGAGATATTAAGGTAGCAATATTTAATACTTTAGTACTTTGGAAAGTTAATTACGTTTTGCAAATAATTAATTCTTCAAAAGATTTATAACACTTTAGACTAAGTAATAAACTAAGCTTTAAACTAAGTAATGAAAAGTATGCAATCGTGCATCGATTAAAATAAGTTCATTTAACATTTTTCTGACACATAAAATTATGATCCTCACGTTGATAATGCAAAAAAGTATGTTTTTTTATAGTTAAAATACGTGAGAATAAAATAAAATATAAAAATATTTCTCTCATTATTTTTGATGATTCATCTGTTATATTTCTCAGTTATTTTTTTGACATATTGCACTGAAAGTTACATATTCGCTGTTAACTTTATTACACTAAAATTCCATACTATGTTTCTCCAAGAAAGGTCGATGAATTGAAGTCTCATATTGTCTTTTAGTTGATGTTACAGTCCCAATTTATTTTCTTTTGAAAGAGTTTTGAATATAAATATTAAAATAAAATGAAAAACGTTTAGTACGTTTTTTGAGTATGCTAAAAAGGAACAAGTGAAACCAAATCAAAAACAGAACTCATTTAAAAGAAACGAATTTATCAAAACAAAAACGAAAAACGTCGGGCGCCTTATTTTCATAATAAATTTTTATTCTAGGTAAAAATATTCTATTTACGTCTTTTGAAAGTGTTTTTTTGTTCTATTTTCGCTTTATGATCTGAAAAAAAAGTAGAATTATTTTCTTCCTTTGAGTTCACCTTAAGAACGTAGCTCCTAAACTTTTCATTTAATTTATTATTTTCACTTTCTTTTTTAGTTTAATGTCACTAATGTGGTTCACCTCAGAGTGAGGACAAAGTTTCGATTAGAGATAAGATTTGCTTTCATCATTTAGAAAGTAAATGTCATTTGTATTAAAATTAAATACAGAGCTCCAGTTGAAATCTGATCACCCCAGACGCATAGTGCTTCGAGCTTTCAATGCAATTTGGCAACATGATGTTCAAGTTGCACCTTTTGCAAAACTTAAACACCGTGTTGCCAATTCAAATACCCATGGCATCTATCATGCTGGCAATCCCCATGAAACCGTCGTTGAAGATCACCATAGCCAAATAATTGGCAATTTCCACCACATTTTTGCCGTAATCGATGTGTTTTGGAAAAAAACATTGAAATAAGCCAATTTAGTGATTAATTATTGTTTTGACTGTTCGCGGCAACACATCTTTGCAATAAATTCTCATTTGACAGGTTTTCGTATGTAGGCTTTATTGCTTTCTGCACTGATTGTCTGCACCGCCATATGTGACGCCTCGACGATGCGAAATAGCTAGTCCGATGATCGCGTTTTTCAACTATATCATATAGTTTCCAGACAAAATGGTTTCGCCCACATATAGTATAGTATAGTACCCCATAGTATAAGGTATCAAAATAAAAATAAAATGGATTGTTGGAAATGTCTTATCAGAAAACCTCCTTAATCTCTCGTTTCTCAACTTAATCTTGTAACCACTTTATTTACAGCTAGCCTCCCTGTCATGTGCTATTTCGGGAATCCCCTTTTAAAATCGGTAGTTATAACAAGATTAGATTTCCATTCCTCTCCTCGTTCTGTGTGTAGTACGTATCTGCACGTCAGAAGTACGTACTGTATTAAAAATCACTGTCTGCGTAGTGATTCTTCTTCTTTTTGTAATAGTCTTTAATTATTGAAATTAAAAATCTCCTATGTTTTATTCTTGCCTTTTATTTTACAATAAATAATTGGGGAATTTACAAACTTTTTTCTTACATTTTCAAAGAAATTGGTTCAGTAATGAACTATAAAATCAGTACCTTGAACCACAATAGCGTGCAAAATTTTCTTTAACTTTAATAAGGCCTTAAATTCAACCATGGAACCATTCAGGCGCAAACATATTATAGAGCAATCATGTTTAAGTATAGTTACAATGCTCAAAAATATTGTTATAGTAATACCTAACTACTTCATATTTTCACCTTACAATTTTCACGTACTACTTCATTAAATTTATACCAAATGTAAGGAATATTAAGTACCAAAAACGTTACAAAATTTCTAACAGTGCAGGGTATAATTTAAAAAGTAGTGAATGAACAAAAATCAGATCGTTATTCAATCCTACCATACTTGAATATTCATGTGCTGTATCTTAACATGTTTAAACACGAACAGCTCAATCCTAAATGAAAATGAAACATGTATAAAGTTTGATGATACAACCGTGAAACTGTATAAAAACAAACATTATCTAGAATCCCTGATTTATATTTATATGATAAAAATGATATTATTCTGACAATTTTTCTAACGGGGTAGTTATGTAGATTGTAAAAAAAAGCATCATTTTTTATAAATTTGAATTCTACTTATTTCAAATGTTCGCACCCTCTAAAACTCAAACTTCAAAATAACAATAATACCAGATGAAGTATGTTTGATTACTAAATTCTGGTCAGGTGATTTACATTTTAAGGTCTTGGAGCAATTTAGTTATAAGCAAAATGGACATGTTTTTTTATTATATTGGTTTTTAGTATTGTTTACAGTTAGGCCCTTTTCCCTTCCTGAATTTCCACCAGATAACAAAACGATGCACAGAAAAATTTTTTGCGGACATAACAATTGCATTTTACCAATAAATGCTCCTCAGAAAAAATTGACAAATTTAAGATTTGCTCTTATACATCCTCCGTAACCTCAAGTGTGTGAAAGCAAGAAATGAATTATTATTTTTCATAAAAAATTATTTTTATTTGAATTATGTAATTATAAATTGACGGTCTTTAAAAACATCGTAAACAAATTACAAGTTTCTAAATGCTACTTTCAAAAAAGGAATTGAAAATTTGAATTAGATGTTTCTGGTGAGGTATCCACTTTTGACATGAAGAAAGGCTCTGTCAAGAATCAGGTTTTTCATTGCTGTTTTTCATTCGTCTGTAATCTTTTGTTATGAAATCTATAAAATAAATAAAGTTACAGAAACAGAAATATATAAAAAGTAAAAGTTAATTTTTATTTTATATAATTTTATTTATTTATTTTGTTAAACTTCTGCAACGTTTGATTTATTTTTTAGGTTCACTAAATGGACAACAAAAAAGCCAGAACCTGAAAAAGATAGACTTCTCCAAGAACGTCTTTTAAAGTTAAAAAAACACCTTATAAGCTTTTAAACTATTAAAAAAGCATTTTTATTTTACCAGTTTAATCAAAATAACCACCCTAAGCAAGCCTCTGCATCTGCCATACTTCGTGAAGCAAATTAAACAGCTCATTATGTTAACATTAAAAATAAATAAATAAATATAGTTTTAAGACTATGCCACAATACGATGTCATTATCCGGTAAGATTTTTAAAATGGTGGGAATCTTCGGGGAAAAATATATGTCAGTTGTACTCAAATTACACATACTTATTGTAAAGATGGGTATACTTTTTAAAAAGCATGTTATAAGGACTAGAATCAATTGCTATCTATAAATAAGAAGGCAAAAACAAATCGATAGTGTATTTCTCTTGTGAATTGCTATCGACAGTGATTTCTGAAAAGCGAATTTCAATTAATAGAATATTAATTCTTAAAATAAGGTTTTAACTATACTGATCTATTCATTTTAAAATACTACTAGGTGATTCTACTGAACTTTCTGGGCGAGATACTCGCATATTCATTAATAATTAGTCAAAAGAACATTTTAAAAATTAATATCTAAGCATGAAATATTTGTTCCAGTGATAAATATTATTTATGCCAGATTTTTAAGAAAACTTGAGATGTATAACAATTTCCTATTGCCTCACGCTTGAATTGGGTACTTGCACTTGAATAATAATAAGATATAATCGCGAATACCCACTCATGTGACCAATGACGCCAGCGCCAGCTGATCATTATAAGCAAAATGGTGTGTAAAGTTAAGATAAGTTACTCCACATAAGTAAGAATGTTAGAACATTTTCTAACGTAAACAAATGCCACGTTTCAACAACCAATCAGGATCAAGATACCGACACTATGTCACTTGCAGGTATTCTACTGCTCAATATCATTAGTGAAATTTTAAGAAAACTACAAATAATTTTGAATTCACATTCTGTCATGAAGTTGATAAATTCTTTTCCAATAATTTTCCTAGTAATCTCTCTCTTTTTTGAAAAGTTTTTAAGTAGGTACTCTACCATAAAAATATTACCCATAAGCTGTAATCTCTATCTTAAAATTACAATATTTTCATTGTGTAAAAACAAAAAAAAATTGGTAACTTGCAACTCGAGAAGAAGGGAAGTAAAGTTATTATGTCGAACCATGTGATTAAAATTAATCCGATACCTTTAAGCGATGTCACGCGAACCTAATTGGCTTCTAAATTGACAAATGCCACGATTTACCTACTATGACATTGCTTGTAGGTATCCAATTATTATTGGGAAAAGTGTTCAATGCCTTCTTAAAGAAAGAATATCTATTTATCTCAACTGGATCGGAACTACTAGTTGGTTTCTTGTATGTAGCAATAGAGAGAAAAGCCAGCTTTTAAAACCAGAGAACTGTATAAAGTTATAGTTTGTATTTGGGAGAAAAAGAAAGAACCATGGAATAAACAAACTGAATCCATATTATTGTTACAAACCGAATCTTGCAATACAATTAACGAATACTTATAGTTAATCATTATTCCGATTTGAAAATTACGGTTTCTGTGATTATCGAAAGTTGTTTTATCCAAAACAATACGTTTTTATTTAGATCACTTTTAATAATTTTCCGGTAGAACATTCTAGCGATGAAACTCGATATCACGAAAGTAATTGGATTATTGATTATTTCTATTTAAGGAAGTATGGTTATGAGTATGGTTGAACAGTTAATTAAATTTAATTAATTAATTTTAGTTTTATGTGGGAGAAAGTTTTTTAATTATTTAATGAGAAGTAACTAAAATAAAGATTTTCTTTGTTGGCCTAAGTTCAAATTGACTTTAGATTTTTTATATTACTTATTATTATTATTATTATTATGGTCAAACGTAATATGCAGAATAACGAAGAAAATTATAATTCTTTTCATAAGAAAACAAATAAATAAACTATTACACTTAAGCACAATTTTAAAAAAAAATATTTTGAATTTTAAGTTTTTCCAAAGCATATCGACTTAAAAGTATCAGCTTGGTTCTTTATTTAATTATAAATTCCTTGCTGTGGTGGTTGAGACCAGAAATACGACTGGAGCGATTAGAGAGCCTTGATGGTAAAAAGACATAAGGCCCCAAAGGATTAAGTACTATGCATCTCTTAGAGCTTACTTGATAGAATAGAGGAGATCAGAAGTGTACCACATATAAAACCATATGGATCCTTTAGAATCTAGTGCTGTTGATACAAGCATTGTCAAAATAAGGCCAAATCCCTGAAAAATATTAAAAAAATTATTTCAACGGCTCTCGCACTCTCAGGCTTTAATTTCTTTTATAAGAATGTATTTTTAGCATGATATAAAATAAACAGAATGTTCCTTAACCACCGCTTTTTATATATATATTTTAATCTTTGTCAAGAAATGTGTTCATTAAAAGTTACGAATTAATTATTAAGCGAAGAAGAAATATATTCCAATGAACCACAAACTGTTTGATCGTAAGAAACAGAGACAAATATAGTAGATACATCATCTCCAAATTTTTCAGGTTTTAAAGCAGGTTTTCATAGTTCAATTCATTTTTCTTACGCGTGATTTAAGAGTTTAGGTAGAATTTTTGCTTCTTCGTATCTAATATCGATTTGCTTTATATAATTTGTATATTTTTTTTACTTAATTTTAGAAAATAATAGAAAAGTTTTTTTTTAAATAAAGGCGGTGATTACGGAGCACTTAGCACACATTACCTAAATCTAAACAACACATATGTATCTCGTAAAATTTTACTGTATATTGCCTGCACATTTAGAAATGTTGTTTTAAAATGAGTACTGGTGGTTTAACAGCAATATCTCTTAAAAAAACTTTTAAAGCAGTTCTATGAAAACCATTATTTCATATAAGTTCTTAATACTATAGTTAAAAGTGTGCATTTAAGGACAAAAAAAATTGATTTGACTAAGCAGTTTTTCAAAAATTGAAAAAAAAAATAAACTTGTTAGATACTTAGTTACTTATTTTTTCCAGTTGTTTGAAAAGGATTGAATTTTTCGAAACTAAATAGCAAATCAGAGAACGGATTTGTTTGCTGTGTGAAATGTAGTCAAACGTCTTCAGAGCTGTATTTTTAGCCAAAAGAAAACACCTAAATAAAATAATCTTTAAAAACATCTCAAACTGTAAATAAACATTATATATGTATGTAAATACAGAAAATCAATTATTTATGAAATAAATAAATTTGCAATTTTTATTTTATTAATGCAGTTTTATCTTGAAAATGTAATATGCATTTAATACTGCTAAGCCAGTTTTATTTTCGCTAAACTATGACCGTTTATCACGAAATTAAGAAAAAATTACTATCATAAGTTCCTTAGGTGCTTCGAACTAACTATTATGTTAAGCAACAATAGTTTTTTTTTTTCAGTTTATTTTAATGTGCTGTTACTAAATTCGTAAAAAATGCTTGAAACTGAAAGAAAGAACATGTTTTGAATTTTTTAAGGAAACAAAAGAGCTTGCAACAATTATCGCAGGGATTTTAAATAATTTGAAATGAAAAGGAAAATAACAATGCATCGATAGTAGTGAAATGTTAATAGTTTTTTGGATGGGATATACTACTAAAAACACGTATTACTGAATCTAATAATGTAAAGCTACCGGGAAAGACAAAATATAATTATAAATAAATATATTTTAATTAATTTAGCTTTTTTAATCATGTTGATATAAGGTTTTCAGTTTCGAACCTGATTTTGCAGTGTTGTTCATTCATTACTAATTTAGTGATTTTTTTCACCCCTTACGAAGATCGGATATTCAGCTACTAAATAAATAAACAAGAATTCTTTACATACTGACAGCTTTATATTATTTATAATGTTTAAGCATGAAAAATTAAGTATTATAATAATTTTACCATAGTAGATGCGTTTAATAAACTTGCTGACAGAACCTCTGAAGCAGGATATGTAACTTCTATACCATATTCAAATCCAACAGGTAGAAAACTGGTAAAAAATATTCTAAAAGTGAAATTTATTCGTTAAAATGTAAAGCTGTTTGAGTACAGTGCACACAATGTTGAAGAATTAAAAACGAACAGCAATGTCGGAATATTTTTTTATGTTCTAAATATTTCTTTTCTTGCTTTTTTCTCTTTTGCATTTTTCATTAATTTAAATAAATACTTGGGGGTACACTCCAGTTTGTTAGGTGAACCTCCTGAGCTGCTTTCGCTGCTTCTTTCTGATGGCATCGATTTGTTGGATACTAATTCATTTCAGTCTAGCTTTGTATAAATTGGGTTCCGCAGTGGACTGATCGTAAAGACACGGTTCCTAGTAGAACACCGATTTCAAGCATCACTAGTTGAGGTCAGTTAGCGGGTGGGTGACCACTTTGATCACCCTGCATAGGGATCGAGGGTGCGCGGTATCGTTCCGCGATAAACAGTTCTACCGTAAAGTGCTCGACTTCACGCGCTGGTCATCGAGCTACCAATCCAGGGAGCCATCCCCTCTGCAGAGGATCAAAATTGTGATGGCATGTCTTCGGATCATCCTCAGGAATGTTCCCCCGGCCGTCGCCAATAGCCCATTGTGCAGCTCTAGTGCGACATAAATAAAGTACCTATGTTATATAAATTGGGGTCTTAGAAATATGATCCACATTTGAGGTCTTAGAAATATGATCATTGTTAGGAGATACAACAGTTTTAAGTCTTTATATGAACTCGTATAATACACAAAACTCAAAGTAAAAGGTTAGAAAATTTACTAAAAGCACAGTAAAGATGTATATAAAAAGGGAGACAGTATTCGAAGGATAAAGTATAAATTTAAGTTGTATCGATAAGCATTCGAGATAAGTAGCATAAAATTGGGCCATCCAGAAAATTTATAGGAGTTTAAGGAGTTTAGAGACGCATCTGTGATAGAATAGTGATAGATTCTCATCCCAGAATCACTTATTTTTCTGCAGAATTTCTAGCCAATTTTTGTTCATTTCATTCTTCTGCAGTTTGATTAAAATACCCTTTCATCCTGCTGAAATTTTTCAGCATTATTTAAATTAACCCATTTTAAGTAAAGTATTAAACAATTTATAAAATTTGTGGTATTATTTTCATTAAATTACATTAAGACACAAAAAAAAGTTTCGTGCATGAAAAATACTATTTTATGCATGAAATATTATGGGGCGTATATGCACCATTGGCCAAATCAATGGACGAATCATTTAGTTAAGCACTGGTTTTAATGACATTTATTTTTATTTTATTTACAAAAGTTGCAACTTCAATTCATCATAAGACCATATGATTAATCTCAAATAATGATACATTTTGAAAAAGTCAAATTTGTCAATAATCATTTCAAGTTAAGGAATTATCGTAGTTAAAAAAATTTTTTAACAGAAATGCTTACTCCAATTAAATTGTTAGTATTTTATAGATGTCTTCAAAACTTCTGACAATATCAGAAAAATGGAATTAGTGAAAAATATGCTTCCCAGTGTGAATAAAGAAATATTTATTGAAATGGTGCTTTTTCGCCTCTTTAGTCCAAAATGAGTTATAACAAGCTTTAAACTTTTAAATATTATGCATCTTGCATAAATTGATCGGTACAATTAAAAAAATGTAACACAGATTGTTGTTTTTATGCGAAAAGTTTGCTTTTCTTTTAGACTTATAATTCATTTTATTTCAGCACTTCTTTGGCCGAAAAAACAGAGATTTCTTCTTTTATCCTGCGCGAGTTCTGCGCGAACTCAATAGACAAGCAAGGTTTTGTGGAAACAGCGCTGGACAAATCAAATAAATTTCACCGGTTTTGTGACTACATATAAAAGTTTACGTTTATATTATATAGCCTTACATAAATTTATATTACTTACCCAAGTATTCCTATCATCAAGAACTGCACCCATATCATATTGACAAATAGTAGTAAGCTAAATGCAACATACAGCACCAAACTCAAGATGCATATTCCTGCGTAGGTCTCTCTAAAGCAAGACGCAATTTTTTAATAAAATTGGAGATTACAGAAAATTGTTTCAAGATTCATTGATTAAATTTTATTTAAAAAGTAATTATTTTATTCCACCCAAAACTTACTTGTATTTGTGTGTGTAATCTAATATGCAACCAGCAACAACTGAACCAATTAAACCCGTAAATATGAATACTAGCCCCATCCATCCAACTTCGATACTTTTGTTCTGCAATAACAGAAGTTATTCTTAAAAATAGTTGGACTCAAATTAAAAATTATGCAACTGAAAAACATATTTAAGGCAAATAGTTAACTATATAGGGCCCCTTTCATTTTTGGCGATTTGCAAACAAACGGATATACACTCTCTACCAATAAGTATTTGGACACATATGCAAATGACTATATCTGCGGTCCTGAGGTACGTCACGCCCTCCACCGGTAGATATTGTGTAGGGGACAACATCGGCATTAGTCCCATGCAAGATGCCTACTGCAGTATTTTGGATGACAATGTGCTTCCTACGTTGTGGCAGTTTTACGGGGTGGACCACTATTACTTCCAGGGCGACAATGCCAGCTGTCATGTTGGAAGGGTCACCAAGGCTTGGTATGGTACCAATGGGGTTAATCGAATGGCCTGGCCTGCCCAGAGCCTAGACCTGAACCCTATCGAGAACCTCTGGGACTTGTTAGATCGCCGAATTAAGGGATGTACTACCCGTCCAAAATCGGTAAAGGAACTTACATGTCTTCTCCAAGCCGAGTGGAAGAAAATACCACTAGCTGTCACACAAAGACTTGTGAAAAATATGCTCCGGAGGGTTCACGCTGTAATTGCCTCTCGTGGAGGGTCTACCAACTATTGATTATGTATAAAGTTTGTTTTTCTTTACAATCACCTGTGTCCAAATACTTATTGGTAGATAGTGCATATGTAAATAAACCAAGATACAATCATATAAAAGTAAACAAAAGTTGAGGCAACCCGAAGGTGACATTGAAAGCAAAGACAGCAAAATATATCGTGGTAACCAGAAATGGGCAAATTTTAGCAAAACTGAATGAAAATTATCAACAAACCAAGGAGCAACGATTCTACACTAGAACCCTATTTATTTAACGAAGACGTTTGTTAGAATGTAAAAATAAAATCTCATTAGTTTTCTTTTTTATTTAAAAATGCATTCTTTAGTTCTCTTCTAAAATGTCTTATTATTACTTAGAAACCATAATGGTTTAAGTTAAGAAATCATTTCCCAGAAATATACTTTATTTGAATGAAAATACTTTAAAAACAATTATTGTAAATTCATTGTTTAATTAAAAAGAATACAAAGTTAGAGCGTAACATTTTCGGTCACTTTAAATATTCAATAAAATTTCCCTTCTAAAAGCGGAAGAATTTGGCAAGTACGGCTTTTTTAAATACTTTTCTTCTTATATTTGGTCAAAATTGCTACAGTATCGCAGAGAAAAATTTGGACATAATATTAAAAGATGCCAAAACTGTTTTTAAAGCAATCTGTAAAGCTCCATGGGTTGAAGAAACTCTTAGAAAAATGTTATTAAAACACTTAAAAGTGATAATGAAATACTACGAATAATTTCATTTCAATAAAATACTATAGGAAATGGGATAAATCTTCACCTAACTTACGGGAAAGTAACGCAAGATCAAATCATTCAACGTTGTTGCAAATGCGAAATAGCATCCAGCCATTAGACCTATAAAGATATAATGTTTTAAGAAACAAATTTAAATGAAGTCTTAAAATTCGTACACTATAGCTCTTTATTTCCAATACAGCTTTAATATCTTTTTTTAATTAAAAAGTTTTCTTCAAAGTATTCTAAATATTATATTCTTACACTGGAAAAAACTATCAGATCAGAATAAGCTAAAATTTATTGTGTTTCTGCTTCTATGAGAATACCTAAAACCTCGGTAAATTGTACCGAAGAGCTTTGGTAATTATTTTGGTAAAATTTACAATAAATTATGGTTTTATAATATGTGATAAAATTTGGTAAATGTGGCCATTTTATCATGATACTTTAGAGCATGGTAAGAAAACTAATTTTTTGGTTAAAATTACTTTTCAGTTTTGTATTTTTTACTAAGCATGTAGAAATACGAACTATAATTTTTAATATCAGAACATTTGTTAAACCAATACTATAGGAACGGAAAAATTACCAAACGAATGGTTTAAATACCATATACTCGGTTTTATTTTTCAGAATTATGGGAGTGCTTTTTTTTAATTATCAGAAATGTAAATACCATACAATATAGTAATTTTACCGGAATTTTTTTCTGTCTATGTAGCTTTTCTTCGTAAAATTGCTTCTATTTATTTCTGTATTAAACATTCGACTTAAAAATGGTAAAAATATCTTTAGTGCTTAGCTCAGAAAAAAAACGTATAGATATATTTTGGTTTTTTTAATTTTAAAAAAATTACTTACATTCATTCGACTTAAAAATTACTTAATTTAATTTTAAAATAATTATTATTTTAAAATAATTATTACTTTTAAAATAATTATTACTTAATAATTTTTTTAAGAAATTACTTAAATTACATTCGACTTAAAAATGGCAAAAATATCTTTAGTACTTAGCTCAGAAAAGAAACGTATAGAGGTATGTTTTAGCTTAAGATTAAGATAAAAATTATGCATTAAATATTGATAAATCTTATAAATCTTATTTAGTTAGTAAGTTAGCCAGAAAATTTTATTTATCAGCATGCAATTATAATAACTATAATATTTAGCATTTAAAAATTAGCTATTTGTTTGCTTTTTAAAATGAAACATTTATGTATCTAAGTTCTGCTTACTAAAAAAAAACTTAACAGAAATAAAATAACTGAGATACCTAAAACTAGAATAAAAGAAATGCTATCTTACCATATACAAGAAGAACCAGAATAAAATTCAAATTTTTTAACATCTTCCAAATTATTTTCAATTGAGGTACTGATTTTTCTGACTTCTTTTGGCACTCATTGATGCTGGGTGGAAGTTTTGGCGCATTCTGAAAAGCTATTTTAGAACCAATTATTTTTACAAAACATTAAAAAATTAGTATAAAAAGGATTTAACAAGCAATTGAGAAACATGAAAATATTTGGAATATAGATATTGTATATTAAACCAATTTGAAATCTTTACGTTAATCTGACATGATTCTATTACGAACCATGTAAAAAATCCAGGTGTACAGTGCGCAAAAAAAGCGGACCACCTGGATTAACTTTTGTTCTAATAATCGGATCTTCACATTTTAGGACTCAATCTTAAGGTTTCGAGGGGGGCAAATTCAGATATACTAATAAATTATTGCAGACGATATTTAAAGATACGAAATCAAACACCAAAAGATTCTTTCTCTGAATAAACATACCTTTTTCAAACGGATTCGAATTTCTGACCCCCAAATTAATTCTGAACAGTCGCAATGCGGAAAATATGGTTCCAATAGTTTGGTCAAGGAGAACAATCCCCTTTGTTAATTTTTTTATTTTGCGTATTTTTCTATACTTCGAAAACTTTTTAAGGAATTGAAAATGTTTTGCACAATATTATGAAATTCGTTAATCCAAAAATAATTCTCTCAAAAAGTAACTATGAGTAACTATTTATAATTTTTTATTACGTTATTTAATAAGAATAAAAAATTATGAATTGTAAACTATAAAATTTTTACATCACTTAAAGAATATCATTTTATTTAACAGATTAACCGAATACACAATTTGTGCAAAATCGGCCGAATATTTCCTGACAAAATGAATTTTAAAAATAGAATTTTTAAAAATGCGATTTCTAAGGAACCATTCGACCGATTTATTCAAATTTTGTACTTTACCATTTAAAATTGTATTCTTGCAATGATATAAAAAAACTGTATACCTTAAAAAGTTAAAAATATTTTAATATTATAAAATAAAATAATAAAAAATAATAAATATTTACTCAAAGTTATATTTGCAGTGGAAATATCTTTGGGGAAACGAATTTTATAATTGTCTTCAAAAAATTTTCAATTTTCTTAAATAGTTCTGAAAAGTTTGTGAAATAAGCAGAAAGTAAAACTATCATTAAGGAGTCCAAACTTCGGACCGCTCTTTTGACCACAAAAATGGAACCATATTTCCCAGATTGCAGACACCCCCCTTATATTTGGGGGTCAGAAATCCAAATTCATTGAGAAAAAGATATTTTTATTTAGAGAAAGTACGTTTTTGCGTCTAGTAATATATGTATATATATACTAGCCGCCTAAGGCGGCCAGCTGTCCGCCACGCTAAAGGTTTCCACAAATAAAGTTTTTTAAAACATAGCAGGAAATCTGAAGATTAGTGGACAATTAAAGTGTTCCTGTCCTGCAATTTTGTCTTCATATCCAGTTCTGCTGCAGATGTGTTATAGCTCTTGAGGATGTTTGAAATTATATAGCTACAACGCTTAAGNGCAATTCCTTAAAAATATATATATACGAGTATTATTGTGTAATGCTAATAATATATTTATATTTTTTATAATATTATTATTAGATATTAATTTGTGATCCTAAATGAGTTGTATCTTAAATAATTTTAGAAAAGGATTCTAAAACTTGATCTTTACGGATGGGATAGGATCGCAAAAAACACTTTATCAAGTACAATAGAACTTGTAGTAGTAGATCAATTTTAGTACAAATTTAGTAGGAATAGTTCACTTTTAAATAACATGTCAACGATTATGCTATTTTTTTATATAATCTTTTAAAAGTAAGCTTTCATACTTATTTTATGAAAGATATAAAGATTTTTAATACATATAAGTAAGCAAAATGCACGCACACTTACTTAAAACTATTAATAAAAGGAGAACAGTATTCATAGCAGTAAGGATAGTAGCTACAGTTTCTTTACCAACTTCAATATCTTCTTTCTTCTTGCAGTCACTACTGACTAAGAGAGGTGAGAAAATGAAGCCTATTCCTATTCCTAGCTGTTGGATTAAAAAACTTTAATGACTACGAATCTCAAAGTGGTCATCTTCGAACATCAACTCAGTGTATGTATGAAATGCTACTAGGTAAGTTAAGGGATTCAAATTTATATTCACAAAAGAATATCATGACATGTTCGCTTTCTAAATGGGTACAGTGCGCAAAATAAAAAACGGTCCATCCTGAATACCTTTTGATCAAGCGAGCGGATCTTTGTGTCCTAGGACTCAATCTTAAATGCTCAAAGGGAACCTCAAATATGCTAATTAATTAGCGCAAATGATATTTTAATTTACGATATCAGACACAAAAACATATTTTCTGTGAATAAACATACCTTTCCTTCGACGGATAAGGATTTTTGCCCCCCAAATAGTAGAGGGTAGCCGCAATCTGGGAAATATGGTCTAAGTATTTTGATAGAAAGAGCTCTCCAAAGTTTGAACCCCTTAATGTTAATTTTACTTTTTGCGTATTTCGCCATATCTCGAGAACTTTTTAAGCGAATTGAAAACTTTTTGCACACAATTATAAAATTCCTTTATCTAATGATAATTCTATGAAAAAAGTAACTTTTATTTTAAGTATTTATTATTTTTTATTATATTGTTTAATTCAGTTTCTTTCAGTGATTTAATTATAGTCGAAAAAATTTTGAATTTTAAAGCAAACAACTTTTAACAGCATTTTAACAAATGTAATTTTGCATAGAAAAATACTAAATGTTTTCGAAATCGGTCGAATAGTTCCTGAGAAATCGAATTTTTCTTTTTTTAATTTTGACTTTTTCCATGCAAAATTACATTCCTCAAAATTATGTAAAAAAATTCCATACCTTACAATTAACAAATTTTTCGACTATTATTAAATAAAATAATAAAAAATAATGCATATTTATTAAGAGCTTATTTTTGCCTGAAATTATCTTTGGATAAACGAAATTTTTAATTGTGTGCAACAGTTTTTCAATTCACTTAAAAAGTTCTCGAGATATGGCGAAATGCACAAAAAGTAATGTTCACATGAAGGGGTCTAAACTTTAGACCGTGCTCCTGACTATTGGGACCATATTTTCCAGATTGCAGCTACTCTCTCTATTTTTGGGGTCAGAAATTCAATTTCTTCAATAAAAGATATATTTATTTAGAGAAAGCACGTTTTTCTGTCTGATTTTATAACTTAAATTATCTCCTGCTCTTATTGATTAGCATGTTTGAGTTCACTCCCTTGAACCATTAAGTCTTGAATCGTGCAGATCTGATCATTAGGTGAAAAGTTTTTCCGCGTGGCCCATTTTTAATTTTGCGCATTGTACATATTGAAATTTTGATGAAATGGAAAAATTAATTATTTCAATTCTAGTCTCTGCTGCTTGTTCACTTTGCACACCAGCCCTCTTGGCTTCTTCTTACTCATCATTGAAGATCAAGAGAGAAGAATGGCTTATGTCCCTTTTTTTCTTTATTTTTACAAAAATTACGATTGGATTGCATTTTGATGAGCTCTAAGTTTTGGCAAATCGGTTCTCACCCAGAATTGGCCGTGTTTTGTTATTGGGCCGGACAATGGAATGGAAGTTCCTGCATCCGTTAGTAAATTCTTTATTTTTTCCCTCCAGAATCAGTTTTCATGGACATAAGCTGTCATTCCCCTTTGATCTTCTTAAAGTTTTTTTTTCTTGAAAGTCGAAGTTCTTTCTTGATAATGGTATGAGGTCCCATTGATTTTTTTCCAAAAGTGAATGGATACATTTACCTGCAAGTTGGTATTGTTGGGTTTTTAAGCGATGATGCTGTCTATCGAAAAGCCTTTTAAGCTTATCTAAAAGAAAGGCTTAATAAAAAATGCAGGTTTTTCATTTTTTGGAAGTTTGATTGGCTATATCTACTGGAAGCATCAATAACCTAGGGTTGTGCTGGGTCACGGAACTTTTCTAATATTGTTCCTCACTAATAGTGCATTGCAATTCCTTAAAAATCATTTAAAGAATTGCAATGCTGTTATTTAACCAAGATTTTCAGGGTCGAAAACACCGACAAAGGAATTTTTCACTAACTTTGACACACCATAACTCTAAAAAGTAACAGTGCGTCATGGAAACGTCTGCATATACATAACTAGGGAGGGATAAACTAATAATACAGCAAAGATAAACTTAAGGGTGCTGTTACTTTCCTTAGATAAGCGCCATAAAACATACTAATATTTCCCTTTTAACAAAATTACTTTAAATTTTGAATTTTTTTACAGGGAAGAGAAAAATTTTAGGAACTCAAATTTGCAGAGTATTAATTTATAACCCACTTCACTATAAAATTCAAGCAAATCCAAAAATGCAACTATCAGAATTTCATATTTTTGTCTGATTTTTAAAATAATAGATTTCAAGCACTAACACATTTTTACTCTCACCACTTAGTTGGTATCGATAACAATAATACTAGATAGACGTGTTCATCACTTTAAAAAAAAGTTTTTTTGGTGACTTTGTCTATGTGTTTGAAAAGTGCGATTCAATTGTTCATCATTAATTTTCGACAAAAGCATTCGAGTGGTTTCCTTTCTCAAATGAATATAAAATAAAGTAACGTTCTCGGATAGTTATCGTACAATAAGTAATAGGTCAACCGAGCTGAATTTCAACAAATAGTCTGATTAGTTAAAATACATATACTTTTCTATTGCAATTGTCAAATCTGGATGGCGAAAATTTGGCGAAATTTGTTGTCCATTTATGATAATTTTGAAAAAACAATTGTTTAACTCAATATAATTACTAAAACACTTTTGATGTTTAAAAAAACAGCAGTTGGGAAAAGTAAGCTGGTGCAATTTATTACCTAAATACAGAAATTCTGAAATTAAATGTAACATGAAAACTAATTAATTGATTATGAATGAATTTTCCAATTTCTAAACATAAACCTAATTCAATTTAAAATTGAAATAGTCATCCAATGTAAGTGCTAAAAAAGTTTTATTTTTCATCAGCCGGTTTAAAAATGACGAGAAACAATTCAGCATTCGTTCTACAATTAATAATAAACATATTCATGTTTTTAAGGCTTCTATTATGCATAATATCACAAAGCATCGACACAACATACCTCATAATTTGATATAAACATAACATGACGAAACATTTGCATAACATGCACTGTTTATTTCTTATTTGTTCTTTTATCAAATACTGCCACTATTAATGTCTTATGAGCAAAAGTAAACAAATAAATAAACAAATAAAATATAGTAGAACTCTAATAGCATCAGGAGAAACATTATAGAAATATTACAAATAAGTTAAAAAGTTAATTCATTGATTAAATCTGACTGAAAAGATTAATTTTTCTTTGAAATAAATGATTAGATTAAAATCGGTTTGAAATTTTGAATGGCATAAAACTGCAGCATATAGCTCACATTGTGTATTTCAATATGATGTAGTCATGAATGATATTACTTAAGGACGATCAACTTTGATGTCATGACACTTTTCATGTAGTTTCTAATCGCCCAACGAGCCTATGCGGCCTCTATCAACACCGAAAAGGAGCTATTAATTGATACTTTGAATAGTTAATACTCTATGATTTATTATTTAGTTTCTTAATTAAATGTTTTTTAACTTTTTTATATCAAAGAGAAATATAAAAAAATGGTTTCACTCCTTTGCGTATATAAAAAGCGAAGTGTTTTATTTGAAAGCATAGTAGCAAAAGCTCTCCCAAATGGTTGCAGCGCCACGTTACGGTAACAAGCTTAACCACTAGTTTGATGAGTTTATCCTATTCCATTGTTATTTTTAATTAGATTTATAAAGTTTTCTATAATAGTTTTATTATATGCTTTATTTTAATTCCATAAAATGTTTAAATGTTAATTCCTTATGGATGGCATACGTTAATGAGGAAAAAAAAGCACATTTTATAAAGTAAAATATGACTTATTTAATATATTTCAGTTATTCGCCATCTTTTTTTTGTTCTTAAATTTATTTCAATGTTGAATAAAACATATATTTATACTGATGACAGTCCAAAAAGCGCTATTAATGTAGATTTTTTTCCCTATTTGTTATAAAATGTATTATATGACAGACATTGTAAATAAAACTATAACGGAAACACTTTTTAATTATAATAAATCTAATATCTGAGAAAAATTAACTCGCCTACTCAATTTTTGAGATGCAATGCGCTATTTATAAGCATATGTAGTATCTCTAAAGACCGGGAAAAAAAGGTTAACGTTACCGTTAACATAACATAAACGTGACGCAAAAGTTTTCTAATTATAGAACTAATATCATTTGGAATGGAATACCTGCAAGTGTCATAGTATAGGTATCTTGATCCTGATTGACTGTTGAAACGTGGCATTTGTTTACGTTCTCAACTGTTCTTTCCATTCTATTTTGAGTAAGCCAAGCCCGTTAAGTGTTAATTTTCTTAAGTGGCACATTTTAATTTATTTCACAAAGATTTAAACTCTTTCACGATGTGTTTCTAACTTAACACAAAGACAGGCACAAAGCCATGTAGAAAATAAACAAACAGATTATGCAAAGTTGCTAGGTACACTTAGCAAAAATATATCAAGGTTACAATAAAAAAATAAACAAATAATAAATATAAGTTAAGTAAAATACGTAGAATAGAAATAATTATATTTTAACAAACTCAATGCGCGATACTGCATTCTATTTAATTAACTTTACGTTAATTAACATTCGAACTTGTGTGGGGAGACTTAGCTCGACTTTAACACACCATTTTTTTTATAAACGATCAACTGGCAATGAGGTCATGGCTCCCATGTCTGTGTATCAGTGATCGTCTTCCTCTCAGGTTGCAAATACCCAATTGATTCGAAAATTTTATGCTTTTACATAAATTTATAAAATGGAAAAATTTCAAAACCTTTACATAAGTCCATGTACTTTTATCTCTCCAATAATATTTATTGGAATGAATCAAGAAAAATACAACTTTAAAACTATACACACACACTGTCACACGCAGAGAAGTACTTCATCCATTGATGCTATAAATAGACTTCATCATTCATGATATAATAGTGCAGAAATAAATGAAAATATGACATAGTCACTACATTATGAAACGCAGAATGGCAACTATTCCAAACTAGAATATCAATTAATCGTTTCATTTTACAGTTGGTGCGATATTGCAAGCATTATAAAAATTCTTTGAAGAAATATTAGATTTCTTTTTGACCAGTTGGATGTTTAATTTTGTGGGTTGTAAAAGAATGATAAGATTAAAAATTATTTATTATTTATTTTAAAATTATTTGTGAATTATGATTTATGACAGAAAAGAATGTTCGAACAATATTTGCAACTTACTTGATTTCCAAACACTCCAATCGCGCATGCACGTGACACTTCATTGGATGGAAACCATCTTGATGCTATGAAGGGAGGTATTCCTAAAATAGCTAAATTAGTGAGTGAAGCGGAAAAAGTGCTCACAATCACAAAAGGAAAGGAATTTTGCTTCAATGTCAAAATCTGCAACGCTGCACCTGCAATAAATTTGTATAAAACATTCAAAAAATTCCACAATTAATTAATAAAATATGCTTCATTTGGAAACACATTTTAAATTATATTTTCGAAGTTTGGGAGCAATGTTATCATATCCAGCAAATCTTTTGCAATGTTAAAGTTTAGAGTTGAATTATTTCCTTTAAAGATGCACTATAATGATGTTTTGGACCACACATCAGAAATATTAACATGAATTATTTAGCTGTGTCAATTATTTGCATCTTCTCCCTTCTTATGGTATCAATAAACTTATTTTCATGCACTTTTGCTGACGTTGACAACCAATTGATGCAAGGTTAAAAGGCAAATTTGGTAAAATTCATTCGAATGATCATCTGCTTAGACAAAATTATAAAACTTATTGGTTCTCAAAGTGCGAGATTTCAGCAAACCGGAATATTTATTAGTATACAAATGGATTACTTTCAGTTTTTTACTCCTGCACTACGTGGTTATCGCCATTTGATTTTTTAATCAGGATTTAAATATTAAAACTAGTTTGACTTGGAAAATTAAAAAAGTCACAATAATTTTGTTCTATGCCGAATACTTTTAAGAGTATAACACTAAAATTTTTCTTTGGATTTTTCTAATTATATGAATATGAAAATATTTTTTAAAGCTAATATGAAAAAGAGATAAAATTTAAGAAATATCAGTCATTTAACTTTAAACTAATTACTTCATTTCATATGGAGATAGAAACAAATTATGTATTTCATTTTTTTATTACTAGGAGGCTTAAACCTTGCTCGGTCCGTTCACCCCACTTCTCATTCATCACTGTTTTTTTTTTTTTTTGTTTCTTAAGCGTCAATAATTTTCATACATTTTGTTAATAGGTTAATCGTAACGAAATAGACGATTACCAAGATTTGAAAATAATTAGTCTAAAGAATACAGAATGTGACTCTAAAGGAAGAAACAAATGAGAAGTGATTTTACTCGTTGACGAGACTTATAACAACTCAAATAGGGAACGGTTTCTACCACTCTTTATAAATGTTAAGCCCAATATGAATGATAACATGCAATCTTTCTCTTTCTCTTGCTCCTTTTGATTGACATCTACTTAAGCGTGAGCTCATAAAACAAAAAAATGAAATTCTTGTGAAGGAAACGTAAATTTACTACAACAGTAGATGAATATTAAAAAAAATAAAAGCTCAAAAATACTTAATTTTTTAATAAAGTTTAAGCGAATTGGAATTTTAAAAAACAATCCCGTCAAGTTCATGAATAAAAATGGCTCTTTCAGACCGTCAAATAATTTTAATTCAGTTGTTGCAATTTAGTGGGCTACTGATTGGCCAAACATGGTATTTTTTCCTACAAGTTTAACGGATAATAATTATCTAACTAATTGTAGAATCTTAATTTTTTTTTATTCCGCAGTACCCTCAGTACTCTTTTTAACTGCCCATTATAATACAGAATTTCTAAATCTTATAGTTTTTGCAAATAAGCAAAATGTAACTTTGAAAAATATAGAAATGCGTAAAAAAATATTTAAAAATGCAATAACTTACAATAAATGCAGAATTAAAGAGAAAAACAACTCGTGTTAAGTTCATAAGCAAAGCTGACCCTTTCAGTACGTCAAATGTCAACTGTGTAATTGCGTTCCCATAGTCTGCAGAACAATTGTGTAATATTTTTGCACCAAGTTTAACAGCAACTTAACTATCTGTTATTTTTTAACTATCTGGTTTTAAACTATCTGGTTATTATTTATAACTATTCAAGTTATCTATCTGTTATTTTTTTATTTCATCGCACTCCCTGTGCATTTTTCTACTATATATCATAATTTGAAGCTTCTAAGTCTTACAGATTTTGCGCAGCAACACAAAATGTAGTGTTAAATTTACCACCCAAAACAACTTCGAGTATATCATTTTTAGTAGCAAAAGTATTTTTAGCAGCAAATGCTGCAATTTTATTATTCTGTACCAATACTCATCCAAAAAAATTAGAGACTTTGCTTTTAATCGCTTTGAGACTTTTGCCTTTGAGATTTTTTTTCTACGTTATTGAATGAGTATTTTGACAATTCGAATATGTTACGTATAATCTTTGTTTCACAAAATTAACTATTAATAAGAAATTTTACTTTTATTTAAAGAAATAATTTTTCGTTTAACTGAGGTGTAAGATATTGAAGATCATCTTATCAGTTGTCTCATAAATGCCAAAAGATCAATTAGTTGAATAGGGAGAGTTAGAAACATACGCTTTGTCACGTTCTGCTTGTAAGACTTGGAATTTATTTTCATTATGCTTTAAAATTAGTTGAAAAGTTCGTTCTGGAGGCAGCACTGTTAATTGAGAAAAATTATAAAATAATGTTTTTCTTACATAATTATCATTTATAATGTTTACAACAATGCAATCTGGTGACAAAATTATCAAGCATCCTGGCAAATATTTCAATTGGAATGGTTTGACACACAGCAAGAAATTTGGTTGTTTATTTTTTACGGTCATCAATGCCATCTGTTGAGGAACTATGGCCCAAATTTCGTTTGAAACTTTATGGGAATAAAAATTTGTTTCCTAAGCAGAACTCATGATTTATATCACCTTTAGTTTTTCTTTAATTGATTTTTCAAATTCTCGTTCACTTTTGGGTCACCCGATACACATGAACTTAAGATCAAATACAATGGAAGTAATTTTTGTTATCACATACATTTTACATCAAAAATAAAAGAGCGCAAAAAAATAAATGGACCATCTTGAGTAACTTTTAATTTAATAATCGGACCCTCATGATCTATTCTAATACTCAACTTTAATGGTTTGAGGAGGTGATCTCAAATATGATAATTAATTAGTGCAGACTATATTATAAGTTACAAAATCAGACACAAAAACGTACTTTATTTGAATAGGCCTACCATTTTTTCTACGGATTTGGATTTCTGACCCCGAAAATAAAGATGGGGGGCTGCAATTTGGGAAAATGGTCCCAATAGCTTGGTCAGGATAGCGGTCCAAAGTTTGAACCCCTTAATGGTAATTTTACTTTTGGAGTATTTCGCCATATCTCGAGAACTTTTAAGCGAATTGAAATATTTTTGCACACAATAATGAAATTCTTTATTCAATGATAACAAAGACAAAAATAACCTTCCGCAAACATTAATTTATTTTTATTTTTTTTATTTAATAATAGTTTTAAAAAAATTTGAATTGTAAAGTATAAAATTTTTTACATAATTTTAAAGTGTGTAATTTTATTAAGCAAAAAGTTGAAAAATTTGAGCGAAATTGGTCAAGCAGTTCCTAAGAAACTGAGTTTAAAGGAAGTCGTATTTTTAAAATTCAATTTCTCAGGCACCATTAAACCGATTTCACTCAAAATTTGTATTTTGGCATGTTCAATTGCGCTCTTTGAAATGATGTATAAAATCGCATATCTCACAATTCAAACTTTTTTTCGACAATTCTTATATAAATAATAATAAATATTTGCTAAAAAGTAATTTTTGCATGGAATTATCTTTGATTAACAAATTTTATAATTCTGAACAAAATTTTTTAATTCACTTAAAAATTTCTCAAGATATGGTGAAATACGCTAAAAGTAAAATTACCATTAAAGAGTCCAAATTGTGAACCGCTATCCTAACCAAACTATTAAGACCATATTTCCCAAATTGCGGCTGCCCTCTGTATGTTTGGAGTCAAAAACCCAAATCCGTAAAAAAAATGCATGCTTATTAAAAGAAAATACATTTTTGTGTCTGATTTCGTAACTTAAAGTATTGTCTACACTTATTAATTAACATATTTATTAACATATTTGAGATCACTCTCTCAAATCATTAAGATTGAGTCCTAGAACATGAAGATCGGATCATTAGATCAAAAGTTATTCGCGATAGTCCGCTTATTTTTTTGCGTACAGTACACTATCATCTGAAATCAGCCTTAAAAAAGCACTCTAGCAGTTACTAGTTAATCCTCATAATAATTCTACTGAAACGTTTTATAAAGTAATTCAAGGAATTTTAAACTTACTTAAAGTGTTGAATAAAGAGCCGCAAATAACAGTCCATCTCAAGTCGATTCGATCTATGATTGAAGAAGCGGGGAAAACAAGAATTATGTAAACAACCATATACAGCATTGACGTCCAATTCACGGCATTTTGTGTTACATTGTAGTAGCAAGTATTCATATCAGCCATTACAACATATTGCGGATATAGCATTCCACACAAAAACGACAGAAAACTGAACAAAAACAACATCCAAAAACGTCTTTTGTATACTTTGATTTCAGTCACGTTGTAGTTTGGATCAAAGTTGACAGTAGCGTGATCTGTCGTAGATGCGATCTTAGAAGTCATTGTTACAGTGTTTTTTTACAGTATTTGTGGGTATCTTTTACCGCACATCCATTTAATTTCGATGTTACAGGCCTTTCAATTAATAAAGGTATATTTCCCCAATCAATCAGCCTATGTCAAAAAAAGCAATGTAAATGTATTTTAAAAACTTTTTTAGGTTTCTTTGGAGTTTATTATATTCAATTTTATTTTGTAATAAATACACACATTTCAAATATTTGTCATGAAATACTAGTCAGTTCTATTAAAATACTAGTTTTGTGTACTTAAGAGGTTTATTAATAAAACCGAGCTAAATGAAAATTTCTTCAAAACTGAGTTAAAGCCATATTTGGTACACTTATAGCATATTTATTTTGATATGCTTGTATTTATAGTATATTTTGTATTGGTTTCATTGTGCTTTGGTGTAATAGTACCGATAGATATAGATACATCTGAAAACTACCAAAACATTACAATGCAATAGAAAATCAAATTCAATTTTGTTAATTTTCCCGTTTACTTGAATATTAGAAAATATTAGCTTGCTTGTTTTTCGTATAAATCATACATTTCACTGTGGAACAATTTTGTTTTTCTAATGCATGAGATTTTTTTAACATATCTTGCTAATAGCATCTGTAAGACCTGTCTTACAGATCTCAACAGATTTACAGATTAATCATATCTTGCTTTTCTTTAACCGTTAAACACGTATCGCTGATTTCAAATCTGAAACCGATTTCTCTCTCCGAACTACTGCCTTTTAAATGGCATTTTATTCTATTTTTCGAAGAGTACAAGTGTAACAGCGTTTGATATAACAAGGGATCGCATAAATGTTGCGACAAACTTCTAGTGAAGTTAGAGCACATCATCAGGATTAAAACTGCATAAGAACCCATGCTCGGAAATGTCACCATTAGCCACTATGGGCTCTTCCTTTTACAAACTGTTTTTTCGTGTGCTTCTGAGCAAATCGCAATAGGACGTACGACGATGGGTTTTTACGCGATTTTAATTCTGAAGATGAGACCAAACTTTCCTAGAACCTTGTCACAACCCTTATCTAACCCCTGTTATAGATACTATTTTTAAACGTTTACATTTCGACAAAAAAGTAGACTAAATAAATAGACTTTAGGAAAAAAATACGCAGCTCTAGGCGCAAAACTAATTTCAGATTTGAAATCCCTTTAACCAAATTAAGTAGGTTCAAGTATTTGTATAAATGCTGCAAGAAATTTGTTCTCCTGTGTTATTAATGCTAATATTAAGCTTAATGGAAGACGGCTCCAAGTAATACTGTTAAAAAGTGCAAAATTTAGCGTTAGTTGTGTGTTTTACTTTTTTTTCTATCTCCTAATACTCTATTATTTAATATCAATAGAAAAGTTGTGTTTTAATTGATCATATTTTAATTAAAATAATTATCATAATCATTGTTCGAATATAAGTGTTTAATAACAAAAAAAAATATTTTATACTTTTTGTTTATTGTGTTTTAATTTATTATTTGTTGTGTATAAAGTTCACAAATAAGGAGGCATGTGAAGATGCATGTGGAGATAAGGAATGTGAAACAAATTGAGATGGTTAATTTTAAAACTTTTCATATCTTCAAATATATCTTTCATGGCATTAATAGTGTGTTATTCTATCTTATAATATGTTAGGCAGGGCGTGGCATCAATGAATGTCTCAACTCATTAACTCAATCTGCATTATGTGAAACGCTTTTTTTTTGTCGTATGCCTGTTTAGGCAGTGGGGGAAGTAAGCCTGTGTTTCAGTGGCGCCATCTATGGCCAGGAATTCGATTTCTGCCACGCCATTCACACAACGACAACCCGTTTATATGGCGGGTCACATTCACACACAAAGGAGAAAGTACATAGAACACACAGAGAGAGAAGGAAACATCCATGCTTTACCCGGGATTCGAACCCAGGACCTTTCTGATGCAAGGATAGTTCCTTGCCCCCTACACAGGCCGGTCAGCATATGAAACGCTGCTATGTTAAATACATGGATATTTAAAAACCACCGTTTGTGTGAACAATTTATATTATATTACGAAAAAAAATTGCTCTGCATTCTTTCTTAACGAATTAAAAGAGAATAATTGACAAAGTTAAGAATGAAAAAAGTTTCCTCGGTAATAAATTAAGAGAAATTAAAACATTCCTTCATTTGCTGCAGTACCTCAATTTTGCAAACAATAAACACTTCGTACACTTTATGCAAAAGCATAAAATTCTAATCAGTATTAGTACTTGAACACGACTGTAAAATATGGGCGCATTCAATATTCAATCGTCAAAAGTAATAGACTTAAACATTGTTAAATAGACATAATGATATATTGTTTTTTAGGCAAATTTTTACGCTGAATTGAATAAAATCAAACACGAACTGATAAGACTGATAGTGTAGACGTTTAAAACGTCTTTCTGCATAAAAAGTATAGTTTTATTTTTATACCTATGCATGCGTTTTAAATTGTTATCTGGGAAAGTGATTGATTGTTTCTCTTGTATATGTTTGCATTGAATCAAATGAAACCAAAAACATCGAGAAGACTTATAATTTAGATGTCATAAGAATTAAAATTAAATTTTTATGCATCACAAGAACAATTTTTTATTTTTTTTAAATTACACGTATGGTATTACTATCAATATAAATGAGCATTGTTTCGTATGCACTTTATTACACCAAATTCATTAAAATCAAAATTAAGACAATAGTTCTAATAATTTAAATGAAATTAGGGTTTATATACGAAAACTAATATTTTTAACTTATACCCCTTTACTCATTAGCCCCTAGCAATTTCTAAAATATTAATTCTATTTATTTAGTTTTGATTTTATTGATTATATAGCAAAAAAAAAACAATGCCTCACTTGTTTATATAGCAATATGAGACGTATTTCTTATGCACTTTACTATACTAAAAGTCAAAATTAAGTTGATAGTACTAATAGGTTAGATGCAATGAGGTTTAGGTAACAAAATTAAAATTTTTAACTTATACCTATTTACTCATAAACACCTTAAAAATATGAAATTATTAGTTCGATCTATTTTAGTTTTTATTTTTCGGAATCTATCATAAAAAATTGGAAGAAACAATGCCTCACTTGTTTATATACCACTGAGAGACGCATAAGTACAAAATTGTTCTTCCGCGTAAATGCTTTTATTACGTTTTAAATATTAATGCTGGCAACTTTTTTTTTATTTCATTTGATTTACCATAAATATAAAAACAAAACTAAACTTTTCCTACATGAAACGTTTAATAACTTTTTAACTATTAGTTTTCTCGACTTCAGTTGGTGTCTTCAATTCAGCGTGAAAAAAATACTTGAAAAACAACACTTCGCTTGTCGAGATAGCAACATTTAAGTATATTTCCCTTTTATCATCTCTTATTCTCAAGTATAACCCTTACAGTGGTTACGTAAAATATCCTCAGCAGTAGACGGATCATGGGTTTAAGTCCGTCAAGTCCCCTTGCCGTCAGGCTAACAGCGGGATATTTTCATGGTTTTCCTCACCATGAAATGCAAATGCAAGGTCGATCCATGAAAAAGCTCTCCAGGAAGGTAAATTTCTCCCAGTACTTGATACAGGAGTTCCCTTGTCTTCCGGAATGGTTTAAAAATTGCAAGACTACAGGTTTGAATATTGGTAGACGTAAACTTAAAATGGATACGGCTGTTCAACGATGGTTATAAAATTATAAAAAGCATAATTCTTATTGAAGGAATATAAAGTGCTTCAATAATTTAAGGGCTATTTCATTACATTGTACTAACAGTGATAAAAATGCCATCCTGTAATTACAAAGTACACAATTCTTTTTTACTAAGCTGCCTTTCTATAGTACAATATTTATTCTATGATTTTTATTAGCATAAAATATACTCCATGCTATAGTAATTATCTATAGTAACTATCTATGTTGAATCATCGTTATAACTTTACAGTAACTGTCAAGACATTTGACTCACCTAAGCTTCTATAACGCCTGAAACTGTCTTTATAAGATTGCGCTGCAACCACGTATGGATTGAAAAAAATTCAAAGATTTGAATTGAAATGTCATGCTACTTTATTAGCATTAAATAACAATCGTGTCTGGTCGCTGTATAATGTAAGGAAATTACAATGCATCAGCGGAGAAATCAAGTAAAATTACAGAGACACATTTACTCTTAAATCAGTCAGTTTTAGGTGAGCGATTTCTTTGTTATATTTGGTGGGACAAAATATGCATAGTCATTGGAATAAAATATAGTAAATAAATGTGTCTTTGATCAGATATGTTTAACTAGCTCGTTATGGGTGTAAGAATTAGAGTTTTTTTTTCTAGATTTATGCACATTTGAGATATCTTAAGATCGGAAGGGGGGGGGAAGTAAACAAGTACATCATAAAATCGACATTTTTTATTGTTGTAATAATGAAAAATAGGATGAAATGTTTTATTAAAAATATGCATTATGTGTAATAGATTTACGCTTCTAAGGAGAACAGCTGGTAATATTTAAAGTAGATCTGTATAATATTAGATAAGAAAACCGAGGTGATTATTTACATAATGACAAAAAGACGTAATCATTTAAAAATTTATCGTATTTATCTGGCCTTATTTGTGACTTGATGAAAGAGTTTCTAAATTATTACAATAAAACAAGGTAATATAAATATTATTTGTATTTACTTACATCAAATATTGTATCTAAAAAATAAATAAGATATAATTGGTTAACAAATAACACGGGAGAAAAAGTAGACCATTATGACATTAAGTTAGCTAACCAAAAGGTAATCAGAATAATCATTAAATATAGCACTATACACTATAAAAAATAATATTATTACTAATAAAATTAATACTACACACTGTTAAAAATTACACTATAAAAAAATACCGAACCAAACAGCAGTCAAAAGTACTGTCATTGCGCGTGCAGGTACTTTTTACCGTAATATCCATTTTTCCGGAAAATGTTACGGAAGAAAAAACTGATATACCAATAATCACAATAAATTGACTTTATTTTGACAAATGTAGGTACACTTATGAGGTAAGAATTATAATTTTATGTATAACTTTTGAATCTCGCCCAATCGCGGATTTTTCGAAATATCCTCCTTTAGCAAGAATCACAGCAGCGCATATTTTTGCCATTCTTTCTTTTAGTTTTTGCAATGTTCTAGTTGAGATCTGGTTCCAGAAACTGAGTAAAGATTCCGAAAATTTGTATTGGTTTTCACATCGCATTTTTATCAAGCTCATCCCACAATAGCTCAATAAGATTAATATCGGGCGATTGAGGGGGACAATCCATTTTTTTCGGTATTTTTCTTTTCTTTTGATGCAATGTAGTTTCTACACTATTTAGATGAATGTTTTTATCGTTTTGTTGCTGAAATATAAATCCTTTACCAACGATTCTCTGTCCACGCGGAAAAGCGCAACGTTGCAATATTCTGTGATAATATTTTTAATCCATAATTCCCACTATTCTTACAAGATCTCCAACTTTGTCACCGGTAAAACATCCCTGAAGCATGACTGAATGTCCACCATGCTTTACAGTTGGTAATAAGCATTAAGTTGTCATACGCTCACCAACTAACTGCCTTCGTTTGCTTCCAAACAACTCAAATTTTGACTCACCAATAAACAAAACATTTGATCACTGTTTTAAAGACCAGTTAACATGTTTTTAGCCTATAGCAGTCGTTTAACTATGTTCTTTTTTTTCAAAAAAGGTTTTCCAGCAGCCACACAACCTTTTAAACCATAGTCACGAAGTTTCAACGTTGTACAAACGTTACTGACACAGTTTTCTGCCTAGTAGCATTCAATTCCTTACGGATTTCTGGTGCTTTAAGAATCCTCTGCCGCTTACTTTGAATGCAGATAAACTTATCCTCACGTTTGGACGTTATTACAGGTCCCTCTGATCGTTGGAAGCTCTTATTTTGGCCAGTTTCTCTTTCCTTTGCAAAGTTCTGACAACAGTAGTCTGGGAAACATTAATTTCAAATAGGTCGAGCAATTCCCACAGAGGACAAAGGGAAAAATATTTTGCTCTTAATTAATGCATGTTTGAGCCAAAAATAGATTTAAGGACAGGATGTGAATTCAAAAGTGTGAGAAAGTGTTTCGATTAGATTAATAAAATAAAATAAAAAAAAACTAGCATAAGAAGATTAATTGAAGCTTTCTGTGTTACATCCCCCCTCATCGAAAAAGTTTAATTACAATCCAAAAATTTTAAAAAATTATCCATTTGCAAAATCTTCACTACGGTAAAAGTACCAATAAGAATGCATGGACCGGTCATCATTTTCTGCATATTTATATGCATATAGCATGACTAATAAGATTTTATAGCACAACTAATAATGTTTGGACTGAAATTCCATGTTCTTGAATGTATGTATGTATGCTTAGACTGAAATAAATTTTAAAATTCAGAAATTTAGAAGAATTTATTGACATAAATTTTTCTGATGACCAGTTACGGCTTCAGAAAATTGATATGCTTATTATGAAAATACTGAGTACATTTATGACAACATTGTGAAGTAAATGTAAAAGATCAACAAGTTGTTCAAAAATACTGTCTGCAGTTGTGAAATAGTAGTAAGAAGAAAAGATAAATAAAATGCCACTGAGAATATGGTTTTTGAAAATGCATATTTACAGTAAAAATGTTATAGATTAGAAGATATTGTATTGCCTTCCTAAATTTACTTATTTTAATGCAAAATTTCAAAAATCAAAAATAAATTTACATAATATTTTTTTTCTTTGAAAAGGATGTTCATGAATTAGTTTAATGAACCCTAACATGTATGTACATGTTTTACAAAATGTGTCATTTTCAGCATAGGGCTAACATAGACTCCAGCTTAATAGAAGTTTCATTTTAATGTTTGCCAAATTAATTTAAAATAGACGTCTTGATAACGTCTCTAAATTAGTACATAAGCTGATGGTCCCGATTATAATCCATTTCAAACTTGAATAATATTTACATTGAAACAAATTATAAAAGCTGTTAATGAAACTTCATAAACTCATTATGCTATATAAACTTATATTGCATATTCGAATAATTTGCAGTGTTGGGCGAGTTTTATGAAACACACCGAATCGTCAAAATAGTTGTCGTACAAAAAGTTTTATTTATTTAAACACCAAACAGTTTAGACCTCTCCCCCCTGTTCTTGATTTTATTTAAGCAAACAATTTAGAGTTATATAAAGTGCTTTAATGACAAACTGTTATTTGTAATAGAACATATTTTATAGTTCTACACAAGTTGTATTTTCAAAAAATATTTTTCATTTCAATAAACTTTATATGAAATGTGCATTGGGATATTGAGAAGTTGATTGGGGCAATATAGTTAAACTGATGCAGTGGGAATAATCTCTAAGTTTCGAAGGATTATGCCCGGATAGTAATAGTTGTAATTTTTTTTTATTATTTACTGTCTTAGTTTTCCTTAATGGAAATTTGGAAACTGAAACGTTTGAAAAATCGACAGTCAAGCAAATGTTGCAACTTGAAAATTGAAGAATTTCACATTCCGCTGGCTCCGTAACAGCAGCAATTTTATTCCAATTAAACTGCAGTCAGATGGGAATCTTACAAATGAAATTCCTTGTCATCATAACGGTCCTATCTTCGTTCAATCCGACAAACTTTAATGTTAGTCTTGTTAACGCCTTTAAATAAAAATTATTTCTCCAAGGTTTCTTTATTCTTTTTCAGTCTTTTGTACTCTGTCGTGATGAAACCTAATGGGAATAAATTTAAATATATTACAAGAGTCAACTTGAACAAAAAAAAATTTAAACATTCGGTTTCAATATTATTTGCATAGATAGATTAATATCAAGGTAAGTCACTCATTAAGGAATGTCGTTGCCAAAGTTTTGGTTGAATCTGGGTGTATATCTGGTTTTCATTTGATATTTTTATGTCAGCATTCATTAAGTCTGAACTTCGAAGGAATAATACTTAAGGACGTTCCACTGCAACGTCACCACAATTAAGTTTTTAAAGTTTCTTCTCGCCTTCATCGAAGGGAGGTATCTAACACTGAAAGAAAATGGTTAGTTCATAACGGTTTTATCTTTGTAGAACTGTTATGAGCAAGCCATAATTACCTTATATGTTATATGTGGGTATTTAAGCTAATTACAGAGCTGTATACGTTGTTACTTTTACGTGCTATGAAAAAATTTCTTATCACTACCACTAATGTGCATGTTCTAGCAATACAGAAGAAACTTTTCTCAACGGTTTGAACCTACCTTATATGTCAGATACAATTTTGTTAAAAGATATACTATGTAAATTAATTTGTAAACTCACTAACATGTAAATTGGTATTTCTAGCAACACCAAGGTACAAATTATTAATCCCCTTTACACCTTGTTTTTTAAATCGCTGAACAAAAGCAGTTCTAAATTAATTACTAAAAAGCACTTAAAAAATGCAACATTATTTTGTAAAATTTTTATTTTGCATTGACTTAAACATATCAATCGAGGAAAACTTAATTCTTTATCATTTAAAATTTTTCACGTAACTCCAGCACTATTATGTCACCCTTCCGAATTAAATCAGTAACCCAAATGCTACCTTGAATTTCAACATTGGCAATCTGTAAAATTTAGCGGTCAACTCTCATAGTATTAGTTTAGTTTCTTGCGAGTGTAGAAAGCATTAGGAGCACAGGTACGCATTACAGACGAATTATACATCAAAGAGCTCGAGTCAAAGGTTTTGTTTGTGGTTAAATTTATCGAGTTGAAATTTACAGAAATAAAAAGCAAAAATTCAAATTTAATAATTTTTTTTAAAATTACAATTTAAATAAGTATTTATTCGCATTTTGATACTTACTTGAAATGATGCAACACAGTAAAAGAACGATGCAAAATGACGCATTTGACCAAATGGGTCCCTTAGTGTCCAAAATTCTCGAAACTACTTCAGTAATGAGAATGCCGAAGCCCTAAGAATAAGTAATATATTTACTATTAAAATATAAGATAGGAAATAAGATTACATACCAAAATATAATACCTACCATACTTGAAGCATTAAGTAACATTGCNTACTTGTACTTTTTACTCGTTACTTTTTAAAATAAGAACTTTTTACTTTTTACTCGTTACTTTTTTTAAAAATACCTGTACTTTTACTCGTTACTTTTTAAAAGTAACGTTGCCATATTTGGTTATAGGTACGCATTACAGACGAATTATTCATCAAAGAGCTCAAGTCAAAGATTTTGCTTATTTATTTATCGAGTTGAAATTTTATAGAAGTAAGAAGGAAAATTTCAAAATTAATAAAAAAGTTTTAATTATAATTTAAATAAGAATTTATTCGCATTTTGATACTTACTTGATATGATGCAACACAGTAAAAGAACGATGCAAAATGAAGCATTTGACCAAATTGGTCCCTTAGTGTCCAAAATTCTCGAAACTACTTCGGTAATAAGAATGCCGAATGCCTAAGAATAAGTAATATGTGTTCTATTAAAATATAAGATAGCAAATTAGATTACATACCAAAATAGAATTACCTACCATACTTGATGCATTAAGTAACATCGCAGATATAATCTCAGATTCAGGAAAAGTAACTTCAATACCGAATTCAAATCCAACTGGCAAGAAACTCGTCATAAATAAGCTAGAAAATATGTAACTCAATTTGTATTGAACAATTCAAAAAATCTTTATAAATAAACGCCAAGCGAAATTAACTAAAGAATTCAAATATATTCAAAAGTTTGTAAAAGCTCAACAATATATCTGCATATTTTTAAACCTTTCACTATTTCTTTACAAATTATTCCGTTACCTTTGAAACGTTTTTTACGATAATTTTTAAGAGCTAGTTTTGATTTACTTTATTTTTGTTCATATTTATATTCACTCTTTTACTAATTTAATGTAATTTTATATATTACCTTTTACGCTATGACGGGTCTTATTATGGTAGTATGCCCTTTTTATAGGGTAAGACGAAATTCTAAAGGCCTATTACTTAGCTATTACCTTCAGAAAAAAAAGAACATTGTATATTTTTAATAGAATAGGCCAAATATAAACGTTAAACTAGATCACTTGCTTATTACTGTTGAGAAACACAGCTGCCCAGAACAGCAGCTCCACCTACTCCCACAACAGATCAGTTTTAGTGCTTATACAGGGCTGCCATTTTCATCTGTTTTTCATTTTGTTTATATTTCTAAAATGCTTTCTTAAACATGTTTCCTCTAATCTGTAATTTAATATATCTAAGATAAACCTCACATATCAATCGATCATTTATTTTCACATTGTGGCTGCCAAGGGCAACAAACGCAGTAAGTATCCAATTATAATTCTCTTATGCCATCGCTCATTTGTATTGTTTGATTTATAATGAAAATTTTAATCAAATTCAGACAAACAATTAGCATGCTCTTTTTTCTTCGAAAACTGCACAATGCTATTTCATAAAGCATGTGATATCTTGACCATGACAAAAATAAACAGCACTGATCAACTGGCAACTGATTGATCATTGATGCATGTCTAGAAAGCAGGTAAGTAATGTAAAGTCAATTTTTGGTTAAAAAAAATTATTATGAAACGGTAATTCTCTCTTTTTAAACTATTTCATCTTTTAAATATTTTGATATTATGTAATTATTGCATTGAATAACAGATTAATGATGAACTAAAGCAACTATTCAATGCAGCGCTAGATTCGAGGTTCTATGTCTCTAAAGTTTTAAAAAAGCCTCTTGAACAAGCAAGCTCACTTGATAATTTACTCGTTGTTATTTTTTATCTTCTTATAACTTTCGAAATAATTTCTAAATTTCAAAAACTTTTCTTGCTTGTGTTATTTCATGTCAGCAGTTATATTGAAAAAAGTATTTTAGAAAGTTGCAATTCTTACCCAAGAATGCCAGTAATTAAAAATTGAACCCACAGCTTATCCACTAACAATAGAGCGCTGAATAAGATGTAGAGTAGAAACGTCAGTATGCAAATTCCCATGTAAATTTCTCTGGAAAAAAATTGCATTATAAAATTAAAAAATGCGGGATGATTTTGCAAGGGAACGTAAAAATAACACATTTATTTAATTAATGTATATCTTTTTACTAATTTAAAGTATTTAGTACTAGATAACATTTTAAATAAAACTAGAAACATATACACTGAGTGGCCAAATTATTATGACCACCTCAGAGTTTTACGCAAATGAGTTATTGCGTCACAACGTTGCCGCTAGAGGGCAAGATAACCATAACAGGGGAATGCTGGACAAGTGAGTCATCAGTTATACTGTGTTGCTTGCTCAGATATGGGAAGGAAAAGTGATTTAACTGATTTAAATCGCATGGTTAGGCATATTCATTTCCCCTCTTCTCGAGTTGAAAGTACCCAATTGTCCAGTCTCACATATCACCCGACTTTGGCTCCATTTTGAGGGCTATCTTTTAACACTCGTGGTAGGAATGCCACCATGTAATTTTGACAATTGTCAGACGACGTGAACAGAACCTGAGCTGATATCCTTCGCTGAAAACTTCTGCACCCCAAGCAAAGAGAGGACGTTTAGCCACGACAGGACTAGTATACAACTTGCTGCGTATACACACCGGTTTTTCACTGGCTGTCAAGATTGAACATAAGACCCTAACCAACAACTTTACCGTCTGTGCCAACAAAGAACTAATCCAGTCTCATATTATCGGTGCTTTGAATCACTACAAATGACCAATCACCATCTGAGTGAGTCTATGCCATGAAAAGAAGAGAAAATATAACCTAACAAGATATTCGAATAAAGATCAAAAAGCATAAAAATTTTGACCATCTGTAATCACTCTGATCACACATCAAAATGGTCATTTTGACAACTCTTTGTATATACAAAATGCTGTGTGTTGCAGAATGCGAAGGAAAGTCATTGCCCTTTTATCATCTTTTTTAAAGAAATGAAAAACTTATAAAGAGATTTAACATCATAAATCCGAAAAGAAGTCAATGCCGATTTGAATAGTCCAGATGCAGCTAACATTCATAAATGTTCATGTTTAATTTACAGGGTTGATTTAAACGTAAAAACAAATATGTAAAAAAATCAAATCTTTTGAAACAAATTTACTCATTATAGTCTCATCTGTAATAAATAGTTTTTAAATTTTATTTTTAAATCCTATTAAATAAATCCTATAAAATTGAAAATTTTCCTTTATCTTTAAGTTAAAGTGTAATATAAAAATTCCGTTTAAACTCATAACTCAAAAGGAACTCAGTTTAAATTTTTATTTTCATAATAATAAATTTCAGTTCGGTAAATATTGTAATTCTCTTATTTTCCGAACGATGTACAAAAATTTAGTGAGTACAGATCAAGATGTTGAAAAATATCTTACTTATATTTATGTGTGACGTCGAGTAACCAACCAGCGAAGATTGATCCCACTAAACCTGTTGCTATAAAGAGTAAACCCATCCATCCGATTTCCACACTACAATTCTAAGAAAAGACAAGAGAACGAAATATCTTTATAATATTTTTTTTAATTTGAAATGTTAGTCAATTTAAACTAATAAGCTTTTTTTTCATGGAAATTATTTCATAGATATTTAAAACATAAAGGAAAACAATGCTAATGATTATATTTTTTAATATTTAACAATATTTTATAAGTTCTTTAAGTATTTAGAAGGAAAAACTTTTTGCTTACTGGAAAATAATGAAGCATCATATCATTCAATGTAGTAGCAAAAGCAAAATATGATCCAGCCATAAGACCTGTAAAAGTTTTGCAATACTCTTATCTGCTAAAGGTTTTAGTAAGAAAAATCAAATAATTTATTTAGGATAAAAATCAAGAACTGATATAAAAACTCTTTAGTTTAACTGGCCTACAAGTTTCGATGCTACACAGTTTCATTATCATTTCATCATGCTTGGAAAAAATGCAACATCGAAATTTGCATGCAATAATATTTGTGAATTTTCTATGAATATACAATAATATTTTGATGCAATTTATTTTTATCTGCTTTATATATAGATTTACATTAAAAATTATGTTTTTATGTAGCATTTAAGCTTCTATGCTTCGTTATTTTAGATTTTATTTTACATTTATATTATATTTTGTCTTATAAAATTACATTCCTTAAAATAATGTAAAAATTTGTACCTTACAATTCAAAACAATTTTTATTATTAAACAAAATATCAAAAAACGATAAATAATTATTCAAATTATTTTTTGTGGGAAATCAGTTGTGAATAAAACAAATTTATGATTGCGCTCAAATATTTTCAATTCCCTTAAAAAGTTTTTGAGATATGGCGAAATAAGCAAAAAGTAAATTTAACATTATGGCGTCCAAACTTTCAACCTATCTCCTGACCAAATTATTTGGACCATATTTTCCTGATTGTGGTTACTCCAATACTTTGCGGCTCAAAAACTATAATCCATCAAAACAATATCCATGTTTATTCAGAGAAAATACTTTTTCGTGTCTGATTTTGAAATTTAAAACGTCACCTACCCTGATTAATTAGCATATTTGATGTCATCTCATCAAACCATTAAGATTGAGTCATAATACGTGGAAATCTGATCATTAGAGTAAAAGTTATTCAAGGTATTTCATTTATTTCTTTGTCAACTGTACAACTGTGTACTGTTAGAAATTTTTTTGGGGAAGACGATTAAATAACAATTGTATTGTTATTTAACCATAAATTCTTATTTAAAATAATTATATTAAAATAATTATTATAATGATTTTATAGTTATTTAAAATTATTAAATAACGATTTATCTAATAGTTATTTTATCATATTAAAAAACAGAAAAATTACCATAAATTACATGACATTCAAACTGTTAACTGTGAGAAAAATCATTCATTAACTGCTTACACGTAATGCGGTTAAAAAACCAGAATTTTATCTCGCCAACTAGGTCCGCCTAATTAAGCCATTCTTTGTTACTGGGTATATATAGCTGAGAGGGCTAATCTGTCAATCTTATGTCCAAGAGAACGGGGGTTCGGGTACCAGCGTTGACACCACAATATTCCCTTCAACACATGAAGATTTCCCAGTGTCCTGTCCTCCCCAAAATTTTATCCAATACTATTGGAATAAAATACTTTTATTCACAAATAGATGGCAGCACCATAAAACTGCGTAACACAAGAAAATCCAACATTACCCATCTCGTACGATAGGAGAAAAAAAAACAGCACAATTAAATTTTATGCACAATTAAATTTTTTTTCTTTTTTTCTTTGTGATTTTGAAAAATTGATTTGATTGATTGACTGTGATAGCTTTTTTTACAATTGAGAATTTTAATATAATATTTCAATCAAAAGTAATGACCAAAAAAAAGTTTTTTTTATAAAATTCAATACTTACCATACACTACTAAAACTAGAATGAAATGTAAATTTTTCAGCATTCTAAAAATAACTTTCAACATCGACTGCGAAGCTTCTGACTTCTTTTCCATTTCGTTGAGACTCGGCGGATGTTTTGGTGAATTTTGAAAAGCTACAAGAATGATAGTTAATTATTGAATTTAATGATTAAAATTAAAAATGATGCATTTAAAAGCAAACAGTAATTGTTCCCATTAATAAATATGAATTATATAAGTTGTCGAATGAAGGCTTACTTGTTATAGCCAGAATTAATACCACAGCATTGACCGCAGTAAGCAAAATAGCCTCATTCCGTTTACCAAATTCTATTTCTTCTTTCTTTGTACAATCACTGCTGACCAGAAGGGGAGATAATATAAAGCCTATACCAACTCCAAGCTGAGGAACAAAAAAGTAAAGTATATTAAATTCAATTTTAACTTCTAAACAATTTTCTCAACCTCTTAAGAGTTCGTGATAAAATTATATTGCAGAACTTGAGAGAAATCCAGAATGTTAGAGTATTTAACATTAGAAAGGTGAACAGATTTTTTTTCAGGTTTTAACTCTGCGAATATTTTCATTCATTACTTTTCTTTACATATGCGGCTGGGTGGCGCAGTAGGTTTGTCGTCTTCCTTCTGAGCCCAAGACTGCGAATTTGATCCCCGGCCCAGACACCGGATTTTCGGGATACAGAAAATCCTCAGCGGCCGTGTCGTATGATTATGCGGCATGTAAAAGATCCCTGGAGTGCCTTATTGGTTCTTGGCATTTCCGGCAAAATTAAATTCCTAGTGCACTTTAGTATCCAAATAGAGTCTCAGTGCTGCCATCTAGTGCGGCAGAAACTAGACGTCCAAATTAACATGACCAACGGTATCTCACCCTATCACTATCACTGTGGTGGTCCTGAAAGAGTGGATACCACCTCTGGAGAACGCACTAGGTCTGCTCATCGGTAAGACCGATTGTGCAGCTCATTGGAAATGAAATAAAAAACTTTTTTTTATATTCATCAAAAATAATTAAATATTATTAAACACTTTATCCGAACATTTGGCTGAAGTTTGAAAAAAAAAAACAATTTTATCGTTTTATTTTTTTCTAAAGTATTAATCACTGAATTACATAAAATTTCTAAAGTTTACTAATCTCTAGTGGAAAGTTTTAAGTTATATCAGAACTTATTCACATAATATTTTCCTTTTTTAATACATTATACATTGTGTAATGACAAAAAGTTTACAAAGCTATTATTGTGCAGTATAAATTTCCTTTTAGAATATTCAAAGAGAAAAATTTTTTATTACTAATATCCGCTTCCTTCATTAAGAGATAACATTTTAGTTTCTATTACACTCATGTAAGAAATTAAGAGAATTTGGTCGATTATCTCTAGAACTACTGGACCGATTTTAATGAAATTTGATTGAAACAGCGGTTGCGGAATAAACAGAAAAAAAGGGTTAACAGAGGGTATGACTCCCTCAAACAGGTGGAGCAATATCATACCTTCTGAATCCAACGAGTGTTACGCACGATCATGCGTACGTATCACAATTGTTGATTGAGTATTTGTTTTGTATTGTATCAATGTATGTACATATCGGATTCGGATGAAAATCAATCCAGTAGTTCTAGAGATAATCCAGCAAGTCTACAAATTCCTTGATTTCTTACACAATTGTAGTTCATGTGCTGCACAACTAAAATGTAACTCTAATAATGTAAACTCTTGTGATTAATTTCGTAGAAATTCAAATGCAACTATGAAAATGTTAATTAAAAATATATCTGAATCATAAACATTTAAAAAAAATTTAAAAAAAATTCAATTGTTTAAATCTTCGTTCCTCACCTGATTACCAAAAACTCCAAATGCGCATGCGCGAGATAATTCATTGCTTGGAAACCATCTTGATGCAATAAAAGGTGGGATACCCAAGACAGCTACTTCAGACAAAGATGCAAAAAAAGAACTGACTAAGACGAATGGAAATCCATTTGGTTTTAAAGTTGCCAACTGTACAGTACTACCTGTGGTAAAATAAGAAGCATAAAATTGAGTGATAGTATTAAAAAGTATAAATTCAAACTATTATGTATTGCACCTTTTTCAAAGAATCGCTCAGATTTTTGAAAAAAATCACTCAAGGTTTTGTTTTATCTAAAAGTAACTAAGAATTTTTTTCTTCCCTCTTTATTTTCTTCTATATTTTGATTGTTTGACTTGTTTAAAAAAGAATCTTTTAAATTGTCTGAAAAAGGTTTGAATACACACTTTGATTGATATCGATACACTATAAAAAACTTCGGATAAAATTATAATAAAAAATACCAGCACTCAGAGTATCGGTACTTTTTACCGTAAAATTTATTTTTACCGGGACATGTTACGGAGCAAAAAAAAATCAGATATACCATAATTTTCACAGTAATTATAGTACTAATTTTTACCAGTTTTTACCAACACTTACTCACTCTATTTAAATAAATATTACTATACAATTTATGGTAATTTTCCAGTACAAACTTTGAATAAATTTTTTAACTACTTATTTCTTATTTTTCTTGTTTTTTAAAACGAAAAAACTAAGAATTTCAACAAGAAATAATACTTCAGTACCTACAGTTAATTAAGTATTTTCTGGAATAATACATTTTGCTGTAATTTACAAGTAAGTTTATGCTTCACAAGCAAAATAATACATTTCAAAGAAGAATTTTTTTTAGCAATTTTCCAATCATTTTACTATACTTGATATTTATACGACTTCTTGATGAATGCTTTATAAACTTCAAATGAATTGATGAAGTTTACTTTATAGCATGAACTTTATAGCATTTAAATACAAAATTGAAAATGCTCCTTGAGTTTCAAAGGGGTAAACAACATTTATTTACTTTTTATTGAAGAAGTCAAGCGAAGTAAAATGGGAGAAATTTAAGTTTAGCTCTTAAATTTGTCACGACGCAAGTTTTTATGTCTCATTGTTTATTTTTTATTATTTTTTGTCGCAACTCAAATGACGAAACTTGCGAATAATAAACAATGATAAATTCATTCATGCAATTGAATCAAGATGTGTGGATTGCTTTGCTATTCAAAAAGTAATGATGCATGGCTATATTTTAAGTATGATGGTACGTGGATGGACGAACCGTGATTGCAAATGCGTTGCTTCATAATTTTAGCACTTACTGTATTCCTCTTTTTTTTATCTATAGAATAAATGAACAATTTCATGTACGAGCCAACTATTTTAGATTCTTGACGAGTTATCCATTACATTGTTTGATTGCACTAATTTATTGGTAAATTGTAGAATGCAAAAATACATTTCCTAATTACGAAACAATGACAATTATCGGGATAATACTAACCTAGGGATAGCTTTTTAGTTATGTTTTGCGCGCAATTTCAGAATCTATAAATTTCTATAGTTTTGCACACCAATTTGTAGAAGAGAAGAAAAAAAAATATCGATGAAACAGAAAATGAATAAACTTTATATTTAACTTTTACAAAAATAATCTATTATTGTTGTATTGCAATTTAATTTTGTTGCAAAATGCTCAAGAATTACCCTTGTATTTTTAAAATCCATATTAAACTCAAAGTTATAAAAACCTGCATATTTGTGGTTGCAATTAAATATTAAAATGGATAAAAAAAGCCGTTATCTAAACTAAAGAATTACTGTTGAGAACGGCCAGATGAAAAAAGGAATTAAAATCGTGAAAACTAGTTTATTTGTCTGATAAATCTAAAAGGCTTCCTGTTCCTAATGGAAAGAAGTTCCTAACTCCCTATTCATCCAATTAATAAAATTATTTCAAATTTATTTAAAATTACAATAGATAAGATAATTCCACCTTTGCTCTGATTAATGTTTTGAAAACTAACTTAAAGACGAAATCTGACACGAACTTGATTATATATCCTATTATCGTATTTATATTTTTCTTTCTTTATTTTTAACTTAGAATGTACCCCAATACAGAGGCTCCCCATTTTTTCTGTCATGGAACCCTAAAAGATCGAGCTTCTTTCGCCGGAACTCCGACTTTATGTATAAACCATATCAGGACAATTGTGAACGTATGAACCAATAAAAGGCATTTCAAAAATATTTATAAAGAGGAGCACAATTTTTTCATCATTTCATAGCTAAATTCAGTTTTATGACCGACAGTTGATTTTGCAGTCCTGGAGCTGAATCTATTCTAGTAAGTAATTTATTTATAATGTACATGCATGAGCTAAAAATGATTAAAATAAGACGAATTATGGTATTCAATGAAATGAAAACTATAAAGGATGATAGTTGGAAAATAAAAGGAAAGGCCAAACGTTGAAAATGTTGTGTCTTTCTCAACGAATTTAATTATTTCCTTTTGATTTGAAAAGCGCGATTAGAAATAAATCAATTTCCCTAAAATGCAAATCCGTTTCATTTTGTTATTAGAAAAATTATATTTTTCAAAAAAAATTGTCATTTCTACATCATAGGTATTTTTCTTGTCTAATTTCGCAGTAAATGATATGTATTATGTAAATATTAAGTAAATGATTGATTAATAATTGGATATAAATATAATTACAGGTTACAAAAATATTTTTAAAATAACTTTAAGAAAATTTAACACTCTCGGAATCCCTTTGACTCTTTCACAGAACCCTCTGCTTCCGCAGAACACTGTTTGGGAACCGCTGCCCTAACAAATTCTCTTTACTGGAAAAAATAACACCGCATTGTGTAGAGTTCTCTATAGAGTCTATGGTAAAGGTTTTCTGATAAAAACTCTACCATAGACTTTACTAAAAAATTGCTAATAAAGTAGTTTTTATGTGCTGAAAAAATAGTTTATCATATATAGAGTAATTCATCTTTCAAAATTAGCAGGCATATCTAATTTTGCTTTTAATCAAAGAAGTACTATATATTCCACAACTTATTATAAAATGTTTAATTTTGAAGAACCTCGCAAACGCATACAGCTAAATTTATAGGAAAAAATCTATTATATTACTAATTGTGTTAAAAAGTGCTCCAAGGATTACTGTCCATCGTAAATCGATGTAGTTGATGATCACAGAAGCTGGTAACACTCCCACCAAGTAAACAACCATAAACATCATCGATGTCCAGTTGACCGCGTCTTGAGACACACCGTAATAACAGCAATTAAGGTCTGCCATACCAACATACTGGGTATAGAGTACGCCGCAAAGAAAAGACGTGGTACTGAAGAGAAAAAGCATCCAGAATCGTCTTTTATAACATTTGATTTCAGTTGTATTGCAAGTTCCATTCTCCATGGTTGAGACTGAGCTCTCACTTCTTGTGCTCGCGTCAATGGCCATTGTGACTGCTATTTTTACAATTCATTCCTTTATTACTTCAACTAATGTATTTTTGTAGTCTCATTTTGTTTAGAAAGTAACTTTTCACAAAAATAATCTTCAAGTTTCTTCATTATTTACTTTCATCGAACATCAGCTACCTAAAATTTTAAAACAAAAATATACACTTAGAAATTTTACGGAAAAAATTGGTTAAATAACAATTTATTAGCTATTTTATCATATTCTAGCAAAACAGTCAAATGACCATAAATAATGTGGTATTGAAACCGTTAACTGTAAAAAAAAAACCGTTTAATAACGGTTTTAACCTGATACGGTAAAACAACCAGAATTTCATCTCACCAACTAAAATCACCTTTTGAAGCCACTTAGTTCGTTGCAGATGGGTGCATGCTTAGCCGAGAGGTCTAAATTGTCAATCCATAACCGACAGAAGGTTCCAGTCCCAGCGTTGATATTTCCCAAATTTACAATACTTTCCCCATTACCTTCAACATATGAAGAGTTTCCAGTGTCCTCTGCACTCTCCAGTTTGTGATTATGGATTATTAGAATATGATTCCCTTCATTTCCCCCATTACCATCAACATATGAAGAGTTTCCAGTGTCCTCTGCACTCTCCAGTTTGTGATTATGAATTATTAGAATATGATTCCCTTCATTTCCCCCATTACCTTCAACATATGAAGAGTTTCCAGTGTCCTCTGTACTCTCCAGTTTGTGATTATGGATTATTAGAATATGATTCCCTTCATTTCCCTCATTCCCTTCAACATATGAAGAGTTTCCAGTGTCCTCTGCACTCTCCAGTTTGTGATTATGGATTATAAGAATATGATTCTCTTCATTTCCCCCATTACCTTCAACATATGAAGAGTTTCCAGTGTCCTCTGCACTCTCCAGTTAGTGATTATGGATTATTAGAATATGATTCCCTTCATTTCCCCCATTACCTTCAACATATGAAGAGTTTCCAGTGTCCTCTGCACTCTCCAGTTTGTGATTATGGATTATTAGAATACGATACCTTGATGGCTAAGACCATAAAACTGCTAAACCATCTCCAATGTCCAGTTAAATTTCGTTTATTTCAGTTCAGCCATGCTAGTTGTAAATAGTTAAAAAAACCGTATAGTTTTATATTCAGGGATATTTTTAACCCTATTAGTTGTAAATAGTTTCAAAACCGTAAAGTTAAAATACGAACTTTACAGTAAACTTTACTGTTAATTTACGGACGGACTGCTGCCGATTATTTTATCGTAATTTTGGAATGAAAATTCTAACTCTGTAGTTAAATCGCAAATAATGTTCCCAGTTTATTCAAATTATAGAAAATTACTCATCAATTATTGTAATTTTTTTTATTTACTTAATTAACGTTTTTTCTACAATTTTATAAATTTAATCTATCGTTTTTTGTTTGATTTATTATCATGACAATCAATATACTTTTTACCCCGTAATAAAGCAAAAACATTTACGCACAAAAAGTGCTCAAAGTATTATGATATCATGCAGTGTGATATTATTCAAAAACTCAGAGTTAATTTTAAAAAATTGATGTTTTTATTTTTCATAGTTTGATACTCGGTGTTCTATAAGAATGCTAACATTATTGTAGTTCTTATGAATGCAATCAACTGGCTACCCACATTTTGAGAAGCAAATTAATATTTAAGCGAGGAAGGAACAAAGTGCTGTAGAAAAACATCAAAACTAGTATGAATGTCTGGTGAAACTTTGAGATAGTAATCAACACCCTCCACCTCCTCTCTGGTTTCTAACAATCAATCAAGTTTTGGTTACTTTATCTGTGATTCGTTAGAATTTGATTGCATTTTTATTTCCTGCATTAAATATTATGTTGTGTTTAATTTTTTTTCAGTTCGTTTCCTAAGAAAAATTTTTAAAATTCGTAAAATAAAAGTTAGTTGTTGCAAAGCAACTTAAATACTGATTTTAATTGCTTTAAATTATGTAACAATTAATAAATTAATTATATATTGAATTGCATATGTGTAAATTTAAGTAATTTGTATATAGTGGTTACAATATATTAATATGTAATTATTTTCGTAAGAAGTTTTTTTTTTGCAAAATTGTTGTTAAAATATTTAATAGTATTATATAGGGTGTACGAAAATTACATCAACAAATTCAGAGGGGTAATAGAAGGTATCGTGAAGATGGAAACTTATTAATTTAGGATAGAGTCTCAAATCTGTAAAATATGTAGAGTCGAAAGGAAAAATTGCGAAAACCCAATGCAGGTTACGACACCGCTTTGAAAACAGCTACAAAAGAAACTACAGACTTGCTAACTACGAAATATTTATTTGATTAATTTTTGTAAGAGTTGTTCGAATTGGCACTGTCTGATGTCATTGCAACGTTGATGTCTGCAACGAAGTAAAAACAATTCTCGGACTCGATAGAAGATGCCAGATGTGTTTCTGATGTCTGCTGAAGCGACGAGAGTCTTCGTTATGTGTCCATAGGCGTCGCATAAAGTAGTGATTTAATGTGACCTCATGGGAAAAATTCCCACAAATTGAGATCCGGCGAACGTGGTGGCAGTGTAACCAGCTCTGCGTGTCCAATCCATTTCCTCGGACATGCGTTTTATCCAATTTTCATCCTCTCGATGTGGATAGTGATCCCATGTTCCACGGTGACTTTTCATCCTCTTGTTGTCTTTCATCACCCCTCTTAATTTGAGGATTACATTTTATAATTTTATATTTTATAACCGTCGTTGAACAGCCGGCCCAATTTTTGGGTTTACGACTACTAATGATCAATTCCGTAGCCTTGTAATTTTGAACCCAATCCAGAAGACAAGGGAACTCCTGGATCAAGTATTGGGAGAAATTTGCCTTTGTGGAGGACTTTTTGATGGAACTAACCCGCATTTGCGTTATATGGAGAGGAAGACCACGAGAACCTCCCACTGTTAGTCCGATAGCAAGTGAACTCTAAACCATGATCCGTCTACCACTGAGGATATTTCAAGTCAGCTTTGTGGTCGGTGCAAGCCGGATGCGAAATTCGTATTGACCAGTCATCACCGGGATCGAACCCCGGTTCACCTCATTTGAAGGCGAACGCTCTATCCTCTGAACCATCGCGGCTCAGGATTACATTTTAGAACTAGCCTGTATGTTTTTTCTTGATGGACTTTAAAGAGGATGAATTTTTAAGTCACAGTACTACAGTTGACCTTTTGAGATAACGCTTATTTAAAGAATAAAGTCCAGCAATGAAGTTTCACAAACACATATGTTCCTTGAAGGGCCCTTTTTTTACTCCAATGATTGTTTTCCAGTCATTTTCCTCTTTGCACAGTTTCTGTATTAGTACACTTGCTTTCTGAATCTTTTGCAAACTCTTGGATATCATCTTTGATTTAATTTTGGCTCAAGATAGACTTTGTATATATTTTCTTAGTTTAATGCAAAGGATTACCGCAAAAAAAATTTGTACGTAATTCTTTGCGTGAAGAAAAATTTTAATTAAAAAAGATTCGCCAGAAAAGCCAAGTAAATTGGTCATCAGATGCAGATCAGCAATGAATGATTTGCTTTATCTTTATATTTGCTTTGCGATTTGCTTTTCCTAATTATTATACAATTTGACAAATGAAAACCAAGTTGTTTAAAAGATAAAGACTAACATAATTTCAGAGGTTTATTGACAAAAAAAGTTTGTTTGAAATAAAACTAGACCCAAAATGATAAAAAAAATAATATAGTGAAGGAATCCTGGGGTGCCTTCTGTGCATTCAACAACTGTTAAAAAAGATTCGCCAAAATGATAAAAAAAAATAATATAGTGAAGGAATCCTGGGGTGCCTTCTGTGCATTCAACAACTGTTTTCTAAATTTAATTCAACATTGATTTTAATTTACAAAATATTGAAGAGAAACTTCTGATTGATTCTGACTGATTGAAGTGAAACTTCTGATGAACAAAATGATAAAAAAAATAATATAGTGAAGGAATCCTGGGGTGCCTTCTGTGCATTCAACAACTGTTTTCTAAATTTAATTCACCGTTGATTTTAATTTACAAAATATTGAAGTGAAACTTCTAATGCGACTTCCAACAAGGTTGCGTTAAACGTTTAACGCTACCATGGCAACGAGCGGCCTCTGATCCTCGCAGGAGATTTTAATGTGAATTTCTCGTTATCTGAAGCTGAAACATTATCAACCTCCTTAAAGGCAAACTTGGATTGGAAATGATAAATGGTAGGAATGATCCAACAGGTGAAACTACCATTGATGCAGTTTTTGCAAGAAATATTGAAAAAATAGAACTCAAACATTTCGTATCTTACTTTAGTTATCATAATCCAATTGTAAATGTTATAGATTTGGATATTTCTCCACTCGAAAATGATTATTAAAAGATGCGATCAATTGTGAATTGTAAGCATTGTTAATAAAGTTTGTCTTAAAGAAACAATATGATTTCACTAAAAATCAATTTCTACCCCTTCCTATCTTCATTTCCACATTACGAAGTTTCACTTCTTCCGCACGGAGAGACTCCACGCACTGTTTTCTTTTTTTTTAGCTTTTTTCTCAATCAAAATATTTTGCAGCCTTTATAACTCGTAGTTACATGCTTAACTATTAACTCCGCGTCTAAAATATATCACAGATTGTGCTTATTTTATTTATATGGCATATTAATACAAAACTACTACGAGGTACACGTGAATAAAACGATTGGCCATCATATGTATTGGGTTGGTTGGAATAGTGAGAGTATTTTCTGTCTCAATGGACTAAAATAGTGAAAACTGGACTAAAAATATCTAAAACTCAAACATTTATATGAAAAAATCCCTAATTTTGTTTATTGGTTTGAGGCAACTTGCTTAAAAGTTACCATTTCTTGAAAGCAATACGAGGGTTGCTATTTATATTTCTGGCCTTGACTTACATCGACTCAAACAAAGGCATTTCTGACGGAGCGGAAGATCGAACTGATGGGTCATCCGCCGTACAGCCCTGATTTGGCACCCAATGACTTCTTCTTATTCCCACACATCAAAAATAAATTACGTGGACAACGATTTTCGACCCCCGAAGAAGCGGTTGATGCATTCAAAACGCATGTTTTGGAGTTACCTCAATCGGACTGGAAAAAGTGCTTTGAAAATTGGTTCAAACGCATGCAAAAGTTTATGGATCATCATGGAGAATATTTTGAAAAACAATAAAATCAATTTCGATCCTACATATTTGTTTTTTCATTATTAGGCCGGAAATATAAATAGCTACCCTCGTATGTATACAAAGTTTCAGGACTGTAAGTTAATATCTTTTGCCGCATCAACGGCATCGAATTTCGAATATTATACTGCTGTATTTGGATTATATTAAAATTAAGCTAAAGTGATATACATTCTTCATTTATGTATTTAATATTCAATTCAATTACATATATGTATTAACCTTTAAGGTAAGAAAGCATTTTAGACAACATTTCATTTTTTGATTGCCTATAAGAGTGTCTGAAATTCCTGCCTAAACAAGTCGGATATCATTTTCAGCATTTTCGATGTTTTTTTTTTTTTTTTTACGTTAAATCAAATGAAAGCAATTTGATAAAACTAATACCTTAAAGGTAAAAAACAAATTTATGTACAAAACTCAAATCAACGGAAATAATATTTCAGATAGATTTAGTAAAAGTATAAAGTATAAAAAAAATTAAATTTTGATTACCTATAAATAAACGTGTCTGAAATTCCTGTCAAAGCAAATCATATATCATTTCCTATGTATTTTTTTACGCTGAATCTAACGAAACCAAAGGAAATTTGATAAAACTAATAACTCAAAAGTTAAAAGGTTTTATGTACAAAATTAAAATCGGCAGATATTCGGCTGATATAATATTTCAGATAGATTTAGTAAGTATAAAGTATAAAAAAGTACAATTTTGATTGCCTATAAACGTGTCTGAAATTCCTGTCTAAACAAGTCAGATATCATTTCCTATGTATTTTTTAACACGTTGAACTGAATGAAACCAAAAGAAGTTTGTCAAAACTAATAGTTCCAAAGGAAAAAAGTTTTATGTATAAAAATTTCAGTTCTGCACTTATACCTATCTACATCTCTCAGATTGATATGTAGACAAACAAAGTACTGAATCCTATACATTTTTAAGTTAATTTTAAAGAGATCAAAACCCAGTCGAAAGGACTTATAATTTAAAAGCTGTAAGAGTTATAAAGGTTTCATACATTAAAGTATAACATTTATATACCTATTTATGCGGCTGGCATTACTATCAAGACAAGAGACTTTGCTTTATGTATATTTACGTTAAGTTCAATAAATCTAAAATTAAATTGGTAGAACTATTATTCGTCAAAACTGAAAGTGTGTTTAGATCAAAACAGAAAAGGGAAAAAAAACTTTTCAGAAAATCATCTTAATAAGCTTGTTTTCGAAAAGATAAAGATTAATTAAGATTGAATCATGACTACCAAAATTTTTTATGAGTTATAACAGATATATAGAATTGCGTTTCTACCCAATAAAAAGTTAATAGTGATGAATAGTTTACAATTTAGAACAATAAAAGCTTATCTTACCGTCTAAAATCAAACTCCGATATTAATTTTGAAGTTATAATGAGTTTGTGCACAAAAAAGTACAAGTGAAAAATCATATTTGTTATACTTCAAACTACCCTATCTTTTTAACCATTAGTCATATCGACTTACTTTTTACCTTATTCTACTCAGCAGTAATTTTTGCGTTAGGATTACAATGTGTCTCTTGTTTACATTTTAATAAAAGATGGATAGGTAGGTAGAGATAAACGCAAAACTGCTCCTTATGCTATATATATATACTTTAATAACTTTTGAACTATTTGTCCTATCGACCGACTTTTAATTCGTCTCATTTAATACAGTTAAGAAAATTGCTTCTTTCGTTAAGTATTTCTGACTAGAAAATAAGTATTATCAAAATTTATATTTTTTTATAATTCATACTAACTAAATTCTTTATAACACCTTAGTTCTATCAACTTTATTTTGGTGTTAATTGTTACAGCATGAAAAAAAGAAATGCCTAGTAAACAATTTTTCACCAGTCGTCTACATAATAAAATTTAAGAATTCCCCGGGCCGTGATAGACTGGTTGGCAGGACGCTGGACTGACGCCTGTGGGAGCGGGAGTTCGAATCCAGCTGGTGCATCAAATAGTGACCGGTTCACGTTAAATCTGTCCGGTCACAAAATCCTCCATGTTCCCATAACAAATTATACCTCTGGGGGTACTGAATTGCAGATTGATCATTCTCAGGTTCAGGTCAAAATTACGATTGGTGGATGTATGAATGTGTCCACCCTATAAGCGGGTGTGACATATGAGTGTGGCAGAAGTCGAATTCTTGGTCATAGATGGCGCCACTGGAAAACAAGAACAATCCCACCCCTTGACTTAATGACCTACGACAATAACAACAAATAATCCCCCTTTTGAATCCGCCTCCCCCAATTCAGGATAGCGACTTAAGCTCAGCTCGGAGAAGGGGGTAAGCTTCAATTATCAGTATTTTCCAACAACTTTCACTAAGAAAAAAAAATATTATCAAAACTACAAGAATATTGTAAAATTTACCGTTCTAGCTCTAAGGAAACACCAAAATCTCGTATATTTTCCGAAGCGCTTTGGTAATGATTTTGGTAAAATTAACTGTAAAATATAGTTTTATTATAAGTTGTAAAATTTGGTATATTTGTCACGATATCTTAGAGCATGGTATAAAAACCATCCATTCGGTTAAACTTTCGTTTCAGTTTCGTATTTCTTTTTTCTAAATGTATAGTAATAAGAACTACAATTTTGAAAAACAGGATTTCCGGTAAAACGTTACCATATGAACGTTAAAATTATCAAACGAATGGTTCAAATAACCTATATTTTGTTTTTTAGAACTAAAATTATGTTGTTTTTAACCGGAAATGTCATTAACTTACAGTACGGTAACTTTAACGGGTTTTTTTTACATGTAGGAATTGGTCAACTAGCAGCTTAAAAATAAGTTTTACTCCAAACATATTAAGAAAGAAAATTAAAATCTTTTTTTAAAGTTATAATTACAAGAATGACCTTTTTAATAGTTTTTAAGAATAAAAAATTGTTACCTGCTATCTGCTGATGAAACAAAGTTTAACTTTCCAGAAAAATACTGAGACATTTTCTCTTAGTCATATAATACGAGAAATAAAATAAATGAGATTCAGACGTAAGAAATCTTTTATTGTATTCTAGGCACTTATGGTAAATAACTGAATAAATAATGAGCCCTTCACACAATACAATATAAAAAATCATAGTTCTACAAACTAACTGTTAAGAGACAGTAAAGAAACTTGCTTCGACAAAAATGACCTTTTATTTCAGTAGAGTAAGATGAGAAGACTATTATAATACAATGGTTATTACACCTTACGTATATCTATCTGCAAGCTCTAGACAATAATTCAACAGTTTGATCTAATAATGAAATATTTATGTGTCTCTCCAATGAGGGAATTTCGAAGATGCGAAATGACTAGTAATTACGTGATTTACATATCATTGTTTCATTCTTACAAGAAAAGTAATCGAAATTTTGCTCACCAATCGAGTGGAAATTTTATATAAATTGATTTTTAAGATTAGGACATATTCTGTGAGAAAATGCTATAGTATCTTAAAGGTAGCCATAATATCTTAAAGGTTAGATTTTAAAGGTTGGGGCATACTCTGTGAGAAAATGCTAATATCTTCCACTATCGTTATGTTAGTGCCACTTATTTTATTAATTTTATAACCGTGGTTGAACAGCCGACTCAATTCTGAGTTAACGACTATCGATGTTCGATTCCGTAACCTTTTAATTTTGAACCCAATCCAGAAGACAAAAGAACTCCTGGATGAAGTATTGGGAAAAATTAGCCTTCTTGGAGGACTTTTTGATAGAACTAACCCGAATTTGCCTTACATGGTGAGGAAAACCACGAATGTCTCCCATGGCTAGCCTGACGGCAAGGGGACTTTAGCCCATTATTCCTCTACAATTGAGGATATTTTACGTCAGGCCTGTGATCGGTGTGAGCCGTGTGCGGAACTCGTTTAGACCAGCCATCGCTGTGATTTGAACACGGGTTACCTCATTCTGAGGCAAATGCTCTGTTCCCTGAGCACTACGACTCAACGCTACTTTTTTTGCAAGAATACATGATATTCCGTAATCACTTTTTTTAATTAGAATTTTTAGAATCCTGACCCAAATAATAAAGTCGGCCGAAAATGTGCGCACTAGGGGTAGCAAATAAATATAATAATAATAATAGAAATATCTACTATAGAAATCTAAAGAATCAATTTTGACGAAGATGGGACGAAAGAAATTAAAACCTGATTGATTGTTCAAATAAACTGTTGACAATGAAAAAAGTTTTATTATAAGCATTTTCATGGCAACCAAACTGGTTTTAAAGGTTTTAAACGAACCTTTTTCGCTGGTGATCAACAATGCTTTAATAAAATATTTTTGCTTTGTCCTCATCTTCCTCTTTTATTTAAAACAAATTAGTCTTAGTTTTTAAATTGCGATACACACACACGCAATTGCGATAATATACGCTTAATTGAATTAATTGCTCACCGTATAAATATTTTTAATTCACATAGCAATATCGGTATTTTCTTCGTATAACAAAACCCTATTCAAATCATTTTTCTGTTTGCAATTAATTTATTTTAATAACTTGTAATTTGCAACAGTTATGACGTCATGTTAAGTATTCTTATAAGAAAAATTACTAAGAATAAAATAACCTTTAAAACCAGCTTATTCCTTTCACTTCATAACAATTATGTTTGGTAGCATATGACAAGGTGACAACGTAATTATTGAATACAATAACTTTTATGGTTTAAAAACCTAATGACATTAAATAGATAATGCAATTCATTCACCTATCAATATCTTATGATTAATATTTCATGATTCGCCAAATTTGATAACATTAAGTAAGCAAGACTTCGTTTTTTTTTTCCTCGTTTTTTTCTTTCTTCTTTTTTTTTCTTTTTATAAAAAGTACTTTGTTGCCGTTGTCCTCTTATTCGTAACTGAGTTGTTTCATTGTAAAAAAAAATAATGTTACTTTAACCTTTATATTAAGGAGTAACATCTGTGCGGTTTTGAAAAGAAAAATTTATGTTTTTCAAAGTGAATGGATTGCATATTGTATTAAAACAAATTTATTTGATTCGCATTTATCCAAGGAATTTTTAAAATAGTTCTTGAAATAAATGTGGAGGTGTTTAGTTAAATATAATCATAAAAATCTAATTATATCATAAAAATTTAAATATAATCTTTGGAATTTTTCTAAGAGACTCTATATATATTTCTTCAATATTCATTCGACTAACGTGATAAATTATCAGCTTATTGATACCCTTTATTTTGCAGGTAAACATTTTTTAAGAATTATTTTTGCGAAAATTGAAAATAATTTATTAAAAATGAACTTAAAATTTAGTTATACCTCTTAAATCTTCAATAACTGTGAAAAACATTTGAAACAATTTTATTTGCAATGAAGATTAAATTTGTTTAGCATATTCTGTTGAAGTTTCAATTAAATCGATTATAAATGATAAGAATTTTCGAGTTCACGGTTTTAGAAGATGTTTTGAAATAACGTTATTTGAAGATTAATGATACGTATTTATTTATTTATTTATAAATTTATTTATTTTTCGTAATGTTATGCGAATTACAGAAAACGTGCTATTTCTTTATATTACTTAGCCAAAACTACACAATTTTTTTTTTATTTTAATGCAAAAATTTTAATTGCTTTTTTTTAGTAAGACCCAAAATGAACTTACCTAATTTTATTTCTAACTTTTCAGCAAATAGTTTGAATGCCGAATGATAAAAAGGGTATAAAACTGGACTTGGCTGCAATTTATACTCACATAATAACACAGGTCACTCGTGAAAATGTCTGGCGCGTCTATTTTGGGTAAAATATATGCAATTCACAAAGATATAAATATAGAAAATGTAACTCATATGCATATAATTACGTCTTGTCAGAGTTTTTATTTCAATTACGTACAATAGAAAGAAGAACAATCATGCTATTAATCTTTTATTTCAGACTTATATAGGTATTATATATACTTCCAAATTTAATATTTGTTTATTGTTTTCTTTACTCTTATGTATGTTACATTTTATGAAAGGTCACTCAGAATTTTTGCATTATATGTAGATAATAAACAAAAGCATTACACGTGTGTTTCTTTTTTCGTATTAAAATGCCTCTTTTATGTTTTCTTTTGTCGTGTAGTGGACTGATCGTTAAGACGTGGTTCCCAGCAGATCACTGAAGTCAAGCATCACTGACTGCGGTCAGTGTGCGGGTGGGTGACCACTTGGATCAGTCTGCGTAGGGATTGAAAGTGTGCAATATTGGTCCTCGTTAAACTGTTTTGCCGAAAAGTGCTCGACTTCACGTCCAGGTCGTCGGGCTACCGAAGCAGTGGTGCCATCCCTTCCGCTGAGAATCAAAATTGTGATGGCATGTCTTTGGATCATCCTCAGAGATGTTTCCCAGACCGTCGCCAATAGCTTATTGTGCAGCTCTAGTGCGACGTTAATGGGCTACAACAGCAACAATGTTAAATGTAATTTTTAAATTTGTTAAAATTGGATTGTAATCATTTGAATTAAATGCCGGATCAAAGCCTCAGAAATATTTAAGAAAAGATATTGTATAGTTAGATTAAAATTGTACGTGGTAAGATTCATACTCGTATCAAGTATCTGGTTCGTGATGCTCCAAATGATCTCCGGGGCCCATACCGTAAGATTCAGTTCGGTTCATGATGGTCCGATTTCCCGACTCCGTTTGTCCGACGGGTACGTTTGCTCGACCGCTCATTTTCCTAATTGATACGTTTGCAAGACAGGTTCGTTTGCCCAACTCATTTGTTGGAAAAAAACGAATAAAAATGTTTAAAAAAATCGAGAAAAAAATTCTAACAAGTAAAAGGAACTTTTGAAAAGTTATAAAACAAAAGAATAAAAAACTAAATCGAAACCAAAAAAAAAAAAAGAATTAAAAAAATAAAGGAATAAAAAATCAAATGAATAAGAAAATTGGTAAATAATTAAAAATTTAAAAAAAAGAAGAAGAAGAAGAGACTAGCCTTTTAGCACTACCCAGTTTTAACTATAATTCTAAAATATTCGAAGTCCTTTAAAAAGAAGAGGAAAAATGCACAACATGAACAATTACTATGTAAACAGTCATTAAATATCGCTTGCACTTTCTCATCATAAGAAGTTCAGCCTTATTTAAAAGGTTAAACAGTTACCAACGGAGACCTTATCTTGCACTCATTTTTCCTGTATGTCGGACCCGTCGGGCAAATGTAACGGTCTGGAAAATAAATTGTCAGAAGTTGTCGGAAAGTGTACCTGTCGCGAAAAAATGACCACATCGGTTCGTACGTCCTATTGAATAAAATATTGCAATAAAATGTTCGCGATGAACCCGTTAGCTTATCCTATAATAGCTTAAAGAATCTACACAAATACTCAGCTAAGTTCATAGTATAGCACCGAAACATGCAACAATAATTGAAAGAGGCATATTTTTAAATATATATGTTCTGGAAAATGTACTAGGTTTGCTTTAATTCGATAAATTAAAATTTTATTTTGCAAGGGAAATTTGACAAAATTCCCAGTTATCTTTAAGTTGACTATTTATTCAAGAAGAGTATTGGTTCAAAATTTAGCAGCAAAGAATTATTATTCATAATTTCTTTAAAGTGTGCAGTAAATATTTTTTTAAACTAAAATTTATGCCTAATAAGAAAAAAGGAAATTAACTCATAAAAATATAATGGAATGATTTTTATATGTCTCAATTAATAATTATCATATTGAGCAAATTTGCTGGAAATTTAGCAAAATATTAAGCTGAATATTGCTTACATTCAAGCTGAAATTTAGTGTTGCAGAATTAAGTTTAAAAGTGATCAACTTGCACAATAATATAGCTCAATTTGACACCTAAATAAAGCTGAAGCTAACAAGCACAATAAAATTATTCAACCTGTGCCAATATTTCTATCACGTTTATAAGAAAAGAAATTATAAATACACTATCCAACTTTTCTAAGCAAAAAATATATAAAATGTGCAAATATATTTTCTGCATGCTGATATGTTTTTTCTTTTTTTTTTTTTTTTAAAGTAGCATATTTCTCATGTAAGTCTGTTTTATTAAGATTTAGCAAAAATAATATGATAAACAACACAAAAGAATAAACATAGGTTTTATTGTTAATAAGCATTCTTAAGACTTCTGTTAGTTTGGTTGTGTAAAAAAAAAGAAATATTTTACTATAAATAATTAATTATCATGCTTTTAAATTTGTCTTTTTTGCTAGTTAATTATATTTGCGTTTAAGCCGATGATTAGAACTAATTTGCATTTTAAAACACTGATTCAAGAATGTTTTGTACAGTCGATAAAAAGAAATAACTTGTAAGTCAATGAAAGCATCTAAATTTTACCTAGATGCAAAAAAATATGACGCATTTTACAAATCTATACACGAAAAGTGTATAATAACTCTATAATCATTAAAACTATAAAAATGTACTTAAACAATTGCAAGACTAAATATTTGACAAATGAATTATTGAAATGACATAGTTGAGAGAAATCCTCATAAAAAACAGTATATAAACATAAATATATTTGCTATATTAATTTAAATTTTAAGTTTCAATCTTTGGTTTATTTTCAAGAGGAGGAGCTGATGCAGTACTTCTTTTGTAATTTCTAGTCAGAAAACCTGCAAAATAAATTTGAAAAATGTTTTTTAAATAACTATAAACTATAAATATTAGTAACTTTGTTTCTTTAGCACAAAAACTCCTATTTATGTATCAGAAATATTTTTTGATACAGTTGTTACCCTGACAAAGCGTTTATATTTGCTTTCTAAAAGGTTGAAAGGTTAATTTGATAAAAAAAATTTCTGCCTTTATAAATGAACATTTATTAAGGCAGACATTTATTAAGACATTCACATACTTTGCGGTGATAAACATGATAAAACCCTTCGAGCAGACATGTTAATTTAACAAAATTTTGCCTTATGAATCAGTGGAACAAAATAGGACATTCAGTGCAAATTTTAATATTATTTTAATGCTCTTAACTTTTCAGTTTTAAATATGGGGTTTTATAAATGATTACTATGAATAGCTAAATATCTAGACATTTTAAAAATAAACAGAAAACTTCTAGCAGCATTTGAAATTTTTTTACATAATTAGCGTTTCAAAGTGTTGGTTGTTTTACAATTAAAAATAAATCCTTCAGACAGCGCAAATGATAACCAGAACGTAAAAATAAATAAATTGAACTAATAAAAGGGCACAATAGTTGTACTTTTTAAATTACGATTATTGAATACGTGTAAGTAATAATAGCAATCATTCATACTAAAAAAGATTGTTGCATATTAGTTAGTAAGTCTGTTGCATATTAATAAGAGTCAAAATATTTTAGATTATTTTATTATACAACATATATTTTATTATACAAAATACGAGTTTTTATTATACAAAAATTAAATAAATTATATAAATTTTTGTATGATTTTAAAGTATGTAATTTTAATCAATCAAATGCGAAATTTGAACGAAATCCGTTATATAGTTTCTAAGTTATCCTTTTTTTTAAAAACTTGTACATTTTAAATTGGATTTCCTTTATTTTCATACTATGAATTCTTAGAAAAACCAATGGGAACTTATATATCTTTTAACCTAATGTACCGATGAACTTGAAATTACTTGCAAAGACAGCTTAAAATTTAAAAAAGTTGACTAATCTTAGTAGAGAGTGAGCTAATGTAAATATGGAGCTGATGTGGATAGCTGGAATATTTCTTCTATTTATTACTCAAAATATTTTGATAAATTTTAGCAGGTTAAGTTAACTGTGTTATATTTTTATATCTAGCTGCATGACGACATACTTAATTTTTTAAGCAGCAAATTAAAAAAAGCTATATATTTATAGCGAGAAAATAAATTCTTAATTTACTTTTTAATCGCGACTTTGAACTATTTGTATACAATGCTTTCAATAATAGAAGACTTTATGTAACAAGTTACGAATGCCTATTGCGTGTTTTAATATTTACTTTGGAATTGCCTTTGCTTAGCAAACTGATCATATGTTTAAACGAACAAATTACTCCACATGTCTAGCGAGTATAAACTGTAAAAAAAAATCTCGAAACCTTTCTGAATATATGGGGCAGCAACGGTGCATATCATTTTCAAAAACTTTTCTACATATTTCGGAAACCTCTTGTGGGGCTTGATTGCCAGTAATGTCAACCGTCATCTATCAAAAGATATCTCAAGTCGAATTAACATATTTTATATACAAATGAATTGGAATTTAATAGTTGTAGTGGTATCTATGTCCTACTACTCCGCCACCAGAATTTTATCTGCAGTATAATTCGATGAATGGATACTGTGATGCCACAATTGGCATTACATATTTATTTCCTATCTTTTAAAATATCTTTGATTACTTAAGCTGATTTTTATTAATAGAAGAATTATATTTAAAATAAATCACAAACTTAATCTTTTTAAACGAACATAAAATATTTATTTCTTCTCTTTTAGATCAATGCAACGGATACTTTTTATTTCATTACTAATCGAAAACAAAAATCTATTTATAACTTTTATTCTAAATTTTCTAACCGAAAATATGTTTCAGTTGCATGGTTGTAATAATTCTCATAAATTTGTTGGCGACTCATGATCGCCAAGGTATTCTTTTAAACCCAATATTGATATGCTGGTTGGCTATGTTATAATTTAATAAATCGCCAATTTTGGATCTTCTACCTATGCTTCTGTGTCCGTTGGGAACAAATTACATGTACTTTTTAATTTTGTTTTCGATTAGTAATGAAATAAAAAGTACGTTGCATTGATCTAAAAGAGAAGAAATAAATATTTTATGTTCGTTTAAAAAGATTAAGTTTGTGATTTATTTTAAATATAATTCTTCTATTAATAAAAATCAGCTTAAGTAATCTAAGATATTTTAAAAGATAGGCAATAAATATGTAATGCCAATTGTGGCATCACATATACCACTACTTGATTCATGGCTGTTTTGCGAGAGGCCGGGAAAGATGCATTGAGTGAGAGCTGCATTAATATCACAGCTGTGAGTGTGGTTGCTCCTGTGTTGCTATAAGCAGCCGAGTGTGTATGGGTCCCCGTTGTGTGTGATCGAGACTGAGTAGCAACGACGCGAGAAGACAATGTCGTAGTTACAAATAGCAAGTCAACAACTGTTCACTGCGAATCAACCAACGAACTAGGTGTGTTTAAATCGAAGTGGGAGTTTCTGTCGAGGCAGGCGTGTTCAGATTACGCCCCCCGTGTCACACTTGGGGGGAGAGGCTACCAACAATGTCAACCGTCATCTATCAGAAAATACCTCCTGATAAATTGGAGTTAACACTCTAAAACTGAATCGGTGTCAATGCGATTCCGCTTCCTACTTTCGAAAATAAAATAAATGTTTCTCAATTGATCGAAAACATGATATTAAATAAAGTATCTCTACGATTTTTTTAAACATTTTTGTTGAGTCGAAATTAGTTTCTTAAATTTTTTACACTGTGCATATTTTAAGGTTACTGCAGATATGTCAATATTGAGTTTTCTGTGGCATTTCTGCAAGTTAATTAGTAACACATCTCTAATTTGAGTATTTAATTATTAAATTAGATTAATTTCGTTAACTTTTAATTAATTATAAAATTTTTTAACTATTAGTCTCTTATTTATTAAAACTGATTAATTTTTGCACATTGATAAATTTCAGAAAAACTCTTAACATTTTAAGTTTGTTTTTTCTTTTTAATCAAAATTTTTAAGATTACTGTCAATATTGAGTTTTCTGTGGTGATTCTGCGAGTTAATTAGTAACACATCACTAATTTGTATATTTCATTATTAAATTAGAGTAGTTTTGTTAATTTTTTAATTAACTATAAAATTTTATAGCTTTTAGTCCTTTATTTATTAAAATTGATTAATTTTTGCACGTTGAAAAAATTTAGAATTATTCTTAACATTTTAAGTTTGTTTTTTCTTTTTAATCAAAATTTTTAATATCTATGAAATTTTATTATTTTGTGAAAAATATGTAAGAAATAAACTCTAAAAATTCTTTTTATTGACTAAAAAGTTAGCATAATAACATAATAAACAAAAATAATAAAACAATTTTTTTAAATGAAGTCTAAGAGTAGACCTTTATTGTATGAATCGCCTTCAAAAAAGCTTTTTGCATTGTTGATATCTAGTTCAGCTATTAATTATAAATTTTGTTTCTTAAGTTTAAACCTTAATTAAAATATGCATTTTTAAGATTATTTATGTAATATTGCGTATAATTTTTTTACACAATTTATGTATTTTTGGATAAAAATTAGTTTCTTTGTTTTTTTTTTATGAGTAATAATATAGTAAATGAATAATTTCATAACTTGTTTATACTGACCCCCTATTGTGGAGCTAGGATGGGCACAAAGAGTTTATTTATAGACTTCATAAAATATCCAAATTATTTTATGCACCAGAGAAATTGAAGATCAATTTAAATAAAAAAAGTACTAGATATGTTGCAAATAAGGAAAAATAATTTTTTGGCACATTTATGAAAATAATCCATACTAGCTCCCAATTTCTCGATTAATGAAAAACAAATTTCCTTATTACTGAATTTTAGAACTTTCTAAACGATTCAGATATTAATATGCAGTCTCAATAAGATTTAAAAATATCTGTTTATTAAAAACTAATAGTAAGAAAATTAAAATTAAAAATAATTAAAATTAAAAATAATTAAAATTAAAAATTAACAATTATTAAATACAATTAAAATTGAAAAATAATAAATATTAAAGTAATTATAATAGTACACTATATTAAAAAACAAATATTTTTAACTTAAAAATCAGATTTTTAATTCCACATAATTTAAGTAAATGAAAGTTGAATTTCTTTTTGCTGAAAAAACGTTTTCATCAATTTAATTTAACTAACCATTAATACAAAACTTTCTCATACATAAGACAACCTAAAACTGAATTAATAAACAAAATTAACATTGTCCAATATAAAAGAATAAATTTCAAAATAATACTTACATGTTATAACAGAACAAAGTAGAAGAAGACAAGCAAGTACAATGTTTGATGGGATAGGACCGTAGGCATTTAATAATAATGTGACTGTCTGAACAATAACTAACGAAAATCCCTGAAAAAAACATTTACTTAAATCGTTTGCTTTTATAATTTATTAAACATTTTCATAACATATTATTTTCCATTAAATTGTGCATTTTTTATAAATTACATATTATCAGGCATTCGAAAATGACGACATGCTTCATAAAAACAAATGTTTTTGAAAGTTAAACTTATTTAAATTTCTAACAATTAGATACTTTTATTTATTCCGAAATTTAGTGACACCTTCATATTTCTTAAGAACATAACATATTTCAAAAAATCAGACGTTTTCAAAGTTTGTTATTGTCATTTTTTTTAAAAACACAACACATTTCATAAAGTTGGAGGTTTTATGAAGTTTAAATATTCGTATTTCTTAATATTTTTTATATGTCTTCAAAAGTTTTCGAAATGTATTGCTAACATTGCAGGAGGCGAATCACTTTAACCTTTTTTACTATGACATCGTGATTAATAATACGAAAATATTGTTGTTATCATTTATCAGTAAAAAAATGAAAGAAAAAACTGGGGAAAGATTTAAAGTTACGGCATTAAAATTAAAATTAATTTTAAAACATTTAAATTTTATTAGCTTGAAAAAGTTTTAATTGCAACTATAATATGATTCATAAATAAATAATAAGTTTCACAGTGAGAAAAAAGCATGGTCAGAACTACCAGAATATGGTAAAAGTTACCGTGTTTCTGGCTCTATAGGAGCACACATAAGCTCAGTAATTTTTAATAAAGTGCATTGATAAGAATTTTAGTAAAATTAACAATAAATTACGGTTTTGTAATATATGATTAAATTCGGCAAATGTATAAAAATTCGATAATTTAATCATGATACTTTAGAGCGTGACATAAAGAACACTTATTCGGTTAAATTTACTTTTCAGTTTTGTATTTTTTACTCAGTGTGTGATAATAAGACCTATAATATTAAAAAACAAAATTTCCGGTCAGCCGTTGTTACATGAATGAAGGAAATCACCAATTGAATGGTTTAAATACCTATTTTTTTCGTTTTTAATACCAGAATTATATTTTGTTCTTTTACCAAAAATGTTATTGGTATACAATATGGTAATTTAACCAGAATTTTTTCTCCGTGAAGGCTTAAATACTTATACGATATTCAATTGGTAAAGAAAAATTCGAAGTGAAAATTAGCATCTTTTTTGCACGTTAAACAAGTTTTTATGAGAAAAGAAAAACAGATTATAAGAAACTTAGCAACGCGTTATTTTGAGCGAACATTTCTTTAAAAAAAATTTATAAAATAAATTTTAATGTTGGGAAAATAAACGAAAATATTGCAAGGCACTTACTTGTTCACTGAGCAGCCACTTCATAATGACTACCTGACATTTTTATGCGAACGTAATAGGTGCCATTAATGTACTATAGTGTAAGGCATGAATGCTTTAGGATAGAGACGGGTAAGTACTATTTTTTAAGTCTCAGTTACAAACTGATACTTATATAACTGGGGATCAGCTACAAATATACAGGATACTTTTACTTTCAGATACATGTAAATTCTAATTTGCATGAGGGATAAAAAAAGTACTATGAATTAAAAATTCTCTTGTTATTTTAACATTGTTTTCGATTATTGATTTAAATCGAGTACAAAATTACAAATATTCAGTTAAAATAAATTATATAATTGATATGTGTTTATTAACGTTGTTTTTAGTAAAGCTATAATAAATCAACAAAAAATTTTCCATAGTGGTTAACTTTTTAAGGGGCTACCGGATAAGAATTGTGCATTTTAAGAATACCCAAAATATAACGTAATTAATAGTTAACACTCAATATGAGAACAATTAATACATTCTTTTGCCCAAACTTTACGGAATATAACTGTTTTAAGAGCATTCTTTTAACTTTTAACTCGTTTTAAAAATCTTATCAAAAAATAAATAAAAAAAAATTAAGAAAATGGTTTTAAAAGACTGGATAAAATGTTTTTGGAAAAAAAATTTCAAAAAACCTTTTTTCTTAAAACTTTTTCGAAACAATTTTTTTTCACAAAATTTTACTTAATTAAATAAAAACTATTAGAAAAACATTTATTCTAATACTGCATTTTTAATACGTTTTACACACAAGACGATAAGGAAAAAAATTTGTTCCAAAAAAGGTTTTAAGTGGCAGTTATGTGGGCAATTACAGATAACTTACTTGACAAGATAAATATTGTAAATTTGAAGAAATCATTTCAGATGCAGGAAATGTTATTTCTACAGCATATTCTAATCCTACTGGTAAAAATCCAGCTACACAAAACCTAGAAAGGAAAAGTATTTAATAAATTATTCTTCAAAACTAACGAAACATTTTTTTCAAAATTTCCCTCTCCTATTACTCTCTTTCAAAATTAACAAATCTGAAATCTTTCGAATCAAACTAAAAAAATTTCTTTGTCTTTTTTATTGCTTAAAAATTATCTGTAAAAGCTAATGAGAACATATTTCATGTTACACTAGTTTTATTTATTCTTTATTTTAAAAAATTGTCAAAATTAAGGGGATTTGTTTGATTGAATAGAGTAAATACTAATTAAGTATTATTAGATTTAAGTACAGAATAAGTGAGAAAAAAAAATATTTGAATATAAATAAAGAGTACAAGATGAGTGTGAATTTTTTGCTTTTCTCAAAAATAAAAATATCATTTTTTTTTTACTCAAATGTCTTAAAAGTCAATTATATGAATTACGGCGTCAAAAGAATTGAAGTTGAGTCGCAGTCCTTTTAAAGTTGTCAACATAAACTCACGAAATTGAGGTCGACGTATGTGAAAAAATCATGTACAGTGCGCAAAATAAAAAATGGATTTACCTAAATAACTTTTGATCTTTTAATCAGATCTTCATTTCTGGAGTGACCTCAAAAATTATAATTATTTGGTGCATACGATATTTTAAGTAACAAAATTAGATACAAAAACGTACTTCCGCTGAATGAACATACCTTCCTATTAATGGATTCGAATTCTTGACCCTCAAATTATGGGGGGTAGCCATAATATCGGAAATATGTCGAATAATTCCTGAGAAATTGAATTTTAAAAATACGATTTCCTTAAAATTCGTTTTCTTAGGAGTTATTCGATCGATTTCGCTTAAATTTTGTATTTTGCTTGGCAAAATTGCATTCTTTAAAAAGACCTAACTCTTCAAACTTTTTTTTAATTATTATTAAAATTATTACTATTGTTAATTATTAACTAATATTTTTAACTATTATAATAAAAAGTAGCAAATGTTTATCAAAAGTTATTTATGCAGTAAAGTATTTTTGAGCAAACGAATTTTATAACTGCGTGCAAAAATTTTTCAATTCGTTTAAAAAGTTCTTGAGACGTACAAAAATGCTTAAAAAAAATAAAATAAATATAAAGAGGTCCAAATTTTGGACCGACTCTCCAGTTAAAACTATTTGGACCAGATTGAAGATTTGGACCAGATCTATATTTTAGGTGTCAGAAATCCAAATCCGTCGAAAAGAAGGCATTGTTTACTCCAAGAAAGAACGGTAAAGGTGTCAGATTTCGAATCTTAAAACATCGTCTGCACTAATTAGTTAGCATATTTGAGGTCACCCCCTTGAGATATTGAGTTTGAGTTTTAAACCGTGAGTATCCGATCATTAGATACTCACGATTCGATTAGATTAAAAGTTATTCTTGGTGGTCATTTTTTTATTTTGCGCGCTGTACATTCTTTAACATTCTAGTATATTAAATTGAAAAATTCAAAACACTTTTTCTCAAAAGTATACTTCAAACTAGTATCAAAAGTTTCTCAAGCTCAATTAATCAATTAAAAAATTGATTAATTTCTTATTCAATGAAAACTGTTTGAAATGTTTTAGGAAAAAAGTGGTAAATAATGTCCAAAGTATTAAAACAAATAACTTTAACTGTTGGGTTTAAATTTTAAATCTTGAATGATAGAAACTTTTTTTCTTGAAAAAGTTCTTTATTGTAAAAAAAAACATCAAAAAAAGGGAACTATAATATGATTACTCCAAACTATCATTCTTAGTAATTTTGATTCAGAATTAAGAAGTAATTTATATCAACCATGCTTCCGACCATATGATATTACTCTGGACTTAATATTTAAAAATTGAAGCTAAAATGTATTAATTTTCACAGTAATGCATTTCAACTTGTCAGCTTTCTAAAGTTGCAACAAATTAGCGTGATAAAATAATTCAACCAGTACCAAAAATTATATTAGTTTGTTATCAAAATTGACATCCACGATTACAAGATGTAAATAAAAATTCAGAATATTCAATAATATTCTAGATTCTATTTTAGACTAAGCAATATTTATTTATTTTACGTGTTTTTTTCCCCTTAATTCTAGAGAGTGTTGAAAAATAATTTGTTCATTTAAACTCTTAATTTTTCTTTCTCTTTCAACAGTTCCTACAATTACAAGCATAGCAAGACTTTTTTATTGAATAAAAAGTTAGCAGTTAAACTTCAAAACACTTTCCCTCTTTTTTTAGGAAATTTAAATATTTCTTAAGATAATACTTTTTACATATTTCTTAAGATGTTATGTTTAAGATTATGCATTAAATGAAAAAAAAAAGCGAATATTTATCCTCAGAAAGTTTTCAATCGCTTATTCGAGGTATTCTGCGGATGAAATTATTATTTTTGTTTTTTGTAATTATTTATATGAAAGGCATTCTGTAATGCCAGTCCATAATATACGAGGTGTCCAAAAAATATGGGAATGGTCAAATATCTCAATACGCATGAGAGAGAAAATTATAAGCTGGTGAAAATGTTTAAAAAAGATGCACTCATTGCTATAAAACTCAGCCTCCTAATATCACCTTTCGGGGAAAAGGTGGTCAAAATCTTAGATAGAGCCCCCCCCCACCCTCCTTTTTTTATTGCAGATTTGGATTCTCCAGAAAAAAAGCTCTCCAAATAGATAATCAGTTTTTTCATCTTGGTTCCCTGTTTTGGCACTACAATCACGACATGAAAATGACTATCAACGTCTAAAATAGAAATAACTTAAGAAATACATTATTTGGTTAGAAAAAAACTTTATGGGCTTTAATATGCAAATGTAAATAAAAATATCTTAATCAAGTAATATCTTACCAATTCAGTTCCTTGGGATTATTTATTCCATTCGAAAAATATGAGTTAGATTAAAACATATACGTATTTGAAATTTTGAGAAACTTGCATTATAATGACATCATACTCGATGCCCTGCCGCACGATTCTCTGGTCGAATTAATGTATTACATATTTTTATCTGGTGAGTAGTTCACAAGATATTCAACCGTTTTCATACTTTTCAAACTACAAAAAAATAATTTCATTTGAATTTGTAAATTAATTTTTAAATAAAAAAATTACGTGCCAATCAATATCAAGACTAATTAGAATAAACAAAATCTTGAATTAAAATAGACGTTTTTTACTTTCTAATTAACAAAATGAATTCGTTTTTGATGACTTTAATTCCGCTATTGCTGTGGTTGCTCTCAGTATTGATTGGCCATTTTGTAATCATGTTTTACTGTTTTTTACTCATTTATATATTTTTTGTGTACTCATAAGTAGTCATTTTTTAGCTTAACTTCTTACAATGATTCTAAATGTATATATATATTAAAAGCAGTCATTACAGAACACCTTATTTACATGAAATGATACAAGAAACTATGTGGATAAAAATGAACACATAGTTACCCGAAACCAGCTGCAAGAATGTATTGGACCCATAATGTTTTGAGGTAGAGAGTCGTACTGAACAGAATATGAAATACCAAACTTGCCATACACAGAGCAACAGCTGTTTCCCTAAATGGTGCGAAAAACAATACTTATTTTTTAGTAGTTATTAACATGCTTTAAGTTTTCATTTGATAGATTGAATACAGAAACACAGATTATCATTGCGAGCTCTAATCTAGTTTCTTAGACGCTCTAAAGACAACTTTTATTCATTTGTTTTAAAATAAAGAGGTTAATACATTCATATGTCACTCTCTGTAATAATGAACAATGAGCTTTACAAAGTTACAAATGGTTAGCATTCTAAAAGTAATAATTAAAAATCATATTTTGAATTATTAATTTTAAAACTAAGAACCTTAAAAATTAATATTTTTCAAAAATAGTTTCAATATTTTTTCTTTGTCTTAATTATAATCTACTTCAAATATTACATCTATATTGTTAGAATTTTCATTCTGAAATTACGGTGAAATAACCAGTTGCAGTCTTTCCATCCCATCAACCGTAACAACATCGCGGTTAGGAACATTTTTTTTACCTTAAAGAGTTTTAAACCATTTAAGACTGGTATGATTTAAAAACAGTTAAACCAAAACTATACAGTTTTGTAACCTTCTACAACTAGCATGACTTCAAAACTATAAAAACGAAATTTAAGTGGATCGTTGGTGTTATGTTATGTTGTGTAACTGACATTGGAATTAGGTTATGGTTTAGCTGTATTTTATCAAGTGAACCGTAGAAAGTGGTTTTATTAGTTTACTTAGTGGTGCCATCTATCATGAAAGATGAGAAATACTAGACTTTTAGTCTTAAGCAGCTCTTTATGCTGCTATTTAAGAGTGAATCAGAGTTTCATATTCTAACAATCCAGAGTCACCAATTGGGGAGTGCAAGACAATTGAATCTCTTCATCAGTAGAAATATTGTGTTGTCAACTCTGGGATTCGAACCCACATTCAGTCTGTCATGAAATTGACAGATTAGCCTTTACGTCTGTTGAATGTTCTCAGCTGCAAGGAACTAAGTGGCATCATAAAAATAGGCCTAATTAGGGCAGAAAATTTTAGATTGTTTAACTATATTATTTGAAACAGTCAATAAATGATTTTTTCTTACAATTAACAATTTGAATACCATTTTTTATGATTATTTGACGGTTGAATATGGTAAAAAATAACAATAAGTTGCTATGTAACCATTTCTCCTAGAAATTTTCAACTGTGTATAATGAGGAAAGATACTCGGAACTTTTCAAAAATCAACATTGCATCTTCTTTGCAATTTTCTAAAACTTACAATATTTAAAATTCATGACAGGAGAATTGCATATGTAGGAAAAGAATTTTGAATATTTAAACTATACATTTAAGACAAAACAAAGAAAACTGCAACAGTGTGTACTGAAAAATAAAATTATGAGTTGAAAACTATTCTAAATGCAAACTATATTTACTTAAACTTATGTGAATAGTCCATAAAACAGCCAGCACATAATGCCCCAACGACGCCGATGAATGCACAAGTTGTAGCAACTCCTGCAATCGCTACTTCCTCATCCTGGAATGAAGAAGGAAAAAACTGCTTTAAATTCAAGTCAAAATATAACATATAATATACTGCTATTTGTATACTTATGTAATTTTTGTTATGTCTTTACGAAGTAAAAAGCAGCAATCTTTCATATTTATGAACAATTTTAAATTCTAAATGAGAGATTTTAGATGACATTATGAGGTATTTCACAGGACTTCTGATGTTACAACTGTGTTGTGAACCCGACAGTTCGACAAATTATATAATATGACATATTTCTATATTAGTTATTTATATTGGCCTTCAAGAGTTAATTCAGTGTTTCATATCTAAAAACTAATAAAGACGGGAGCAACAAATTTGGTGAAAGAGTTCACTTAACAGAAATTTACCCAAAACACATTTGGCAGAAACGCCCCTTCTCAAAGATTACAGTATATCACACTTTCATAAAGAAAATAGTCATGGAAACACAGCAAAAATGTATTTTATTAAGTAATGTGTCCTCCCCTAACTGATATCTATGATATGGGAATAGATTTTCTATGGCGACAATTAATTTGTTGGTCACCGAAATAGATAGCAAAGACCGGACACTGAGTAGCCCTTGTTCCAGCTTATACGGCGACCGTGGAAGAGGACTCATAGTAGAAACTTGTATATCAAGGTTAATCCAAAACCTTTTCTATTGAATTTGGCTGACCAATCTGTTCGGAAAATATCTTCACCATTACAGGAAATCCGTGATATGAAATCGGCGTGGCAGTGCGCTATCGTTCACTTAAATGAAATCAGAGCCAACTTTACCCCTGAAAGAGCTAAAGAACATATTTCTATATTCATACTAGTAACAGTGTTTTTTTCAACAGCATGGATGATCTTGCGGTCATCCAACACGAGGTCTTCTTTAGCCATCTAACTTCCACTTTCATAGTGTCCGAAATCTTGGACATCGGAGGGCAAGTAGCGAAACCCTGATACATAGTTTAATATGGAGAGAGCAGATCCTTTACCTGCCCGAGAAACTGATCATTATGGAAGCGAAAGGTTGATAGTTGTCAGGCGCTAACTCGAACAAAAGTGTCTGCTCGGAGTTCTCCTCTACGTTATATGAACTGAAACAAAGGAACCCCAGTCGCTTAACCAAATATTTTTATGTCGGGTGAACATGTCTCAAAACCAGTTTAAACTAAGAATGCATTTTCCGAACTATAATTTGCGTCAATCATTTTGCGCAATACTATTACAAAACTATTTTTCCATATTATGGGTATTTAATAAATCTGTAAAAATAAAGTTGCAAAAAATACTGTGTTTTAATAAATACTGTGTTTAATAAAGTTGCAAAAAATACTGCGATAAAGTAGCTGTGAGCTCCACAGGAAAAAAAAAAATATTTTTCACAGAAAAAAAACTGCTTAAGTAAAATGACAGATTTTTTTGTTTTTCACCGTTATCCGTGAAATGTAAAAAAATTCCCGTTTTTAGTACGAACTTTCTCTGTATATTTGACGGTTTAAAGCTGTTTTGTTGACAAAACGGTTTTTCTCTGTTTTTCACCTCAACCACAAATAAATGAAAACCATCAATTAAAATTTTTGTTTTTGCCATTCACTTCAGTTTCCAGATTTGATATAACTTTTTCAAATCATTTTAACAATTGTTTACTACACTTGCTCTTACTTTACAGTATATTTTATAATTATTTTATAATTAAAATTATTTTATAATTATTTCATAATTAAAATTATTTTATAATTATTTTATAATTAAAATTATTTTATAATTATTTTATAGTTATAATTATTTCATAATTATTATTTTATGGTTTTGAATATCGTATAAATAAAACTGCGCATCGATTTTATTGTCGAAATGATACTCTGCCAAAGTATTATGTTATAATATGATTTTTGTCAGACTATTTTATAATGGTGGTATATTTTTAAATATTTTTATACTTAAACAGAATTTCAATAAGACTAAGATAGAGCCAGTTTTAGATTTATCTTAAGTAGAGCTTCGATAGCTCAGGAGACAGATCACTCGCCTTCCTATGAGGCGACACATTTTGCAGCATTGACCAGTAGTACTGACCACAGTGTTGACATAGATATTTCAAACATTTTTTTTGTTAAAATAGCACAGTCTTTTTGCTAAAATAACAGAGTTTGTTTATTAAAATAACCAAGTTTGTTGGTTAAAATAACAGTACTTAATTGCTTAAACATGTGACCGTCTTTAAATGACAGATAAAACAGTTTATTTTACAGAAAAATTCTAAGAACCTCATCAGACAGTTTTTTTTCTCCATAAATTTAACAGATTTTTTTACAGTGCACATAACAAAATGAATAATTTAAACGTGATAATATATTAGAACAATTCAAATGAAAATATTATTTTCAGATCATTTTTGTTATTATAATTACACATGTAAAAAAACGAACATTTCAACTTCAATAAAACAATAATCACTTACTGGAAAAAACCTGATCATTAAGTGATTGGCGTTTGTGGTGAAATTGAAAAATGATCCAGTCATAAAACCTGCATATAGGAAAAATAAATTATAGTATTTGCAACCATTTATGAATAAAAAATAATAGGAAATAGTAATGGCTGACAATAATGGGAAACCATCTGTATCGAAACATCATTGGTTCACATATTACAACTAATATTTGATGGTAAAATGTTTTTTCATTGAAAACAATATCATATGTATTTTGATAAATTTGTTTGTTTGTTTTAACAAACATGGGCACGCTACTTTGCTGTTAAACAGCATTTTTATTACCGTTATTCTTACTTCTTTGCTCCTTTTTTTTTCGCTTACTATTTTTTCAAAAAAATTTCCGCGTAGAATTTAGCTAGCGACCAAAGCAAAAAATTAATATTATTATTATTATGGATTTCTTCTGTCTATTTATAAAAAAATACAAATTAGAAAAAATATAACAGAAATTCATTAAATTGAGAAAAAAAATGGAGTGCTTAAATAAAAGTGCTCCTTGTTTATTTATAAAATAATGAAAATAAAAAAAAAGTGTGATTGAAACTTTTTTTTAAAAAAAATTAGTTTTTCACATTATTTTAGCTTTTATTAAAAAAAAGTAATTTCTTTATTATCTCAAAACTTTCCAAACGCTTAAAAATAAAAAAAGTAAATATGAAAGAAAAAATGTTTCACTCAAATTGCAGACAGAAACATACAGGATTTTCTCGTATTAATATGCTGGTGTATATTATTTATTTTTCGAAACTTCGGATCGTGATGAAGAATAATATAGTTCAGTTTTGCTAAACGGGTTAAGCTGAACCATATCCGTACCCGTAAAAAAATTTATGCAATATTATTAATATTATTCGACAGAGAACCAATTTTTCTGAGAGTTTAAACAACTTTCTTAAATGGTTGTCTTTGATAAAATACAGCGAAACCTCTAAGAAAGAACAACTTTATGTAGCGACCTCCTCTATTGGCGACCACTTTTGGAAAGTACGAAATTTTTTCTATAGACTTCGGGCTGAAAACAACTTTTACGAGACACCATAAAAACCTCTCCCAGCTAATGGACAAGGCTCAGCACCAAATACGGGAAAAAGTTAAATGAGAAAACACAAAGAAATATCAAAACAAAAATTATTAACAAAGCATATTAGTAGATTAATACGTATTCAAAATATTGGCGTGGGGCTCTTATTTATAGAGATCATTTTATCGACATCTAAGAGATATCGGATACCTTATGCTGCAGTTATAGTGCGCTAAAGACAATGCTTTCAATGCTCTATTTTTAGAGTGGAAAGTTAAATTAAAAAGAAAGTTATTAGAGAAATCATCTCAAGCAAACAAACCTCTTTTCATTTTTAAAGCCTACTAATTTTCATGATATAAAATTAAGTGCAAACTTAAAAAACATAATTATATATTTAAAATAGTTCCAATATTTTTAATATGTAAATTTGTTTTTACACATGTCAGTTGGAATAATTTTTATTGAGATTTAGCTCATTGAAGCTGTTTCGTGGCGCCAACATGAGTNAATGTCATTCTTCCCATTTAATATTATCAAAATAATTGGTAGTCTTTCTTTTCTCAACATGTTCACGGCAGCATATAAATTATGTTTATATGTTTGGGGTTCCACCAAAAACGCTCGATCATTTAATGTTCCGTGGCCGTAAAAAATTGGGAACCGCTGTTATAAATATTGACCATTCATCTTGTATCAAAATTTTAAAAAAATGAGAAATTTTGAAACTTTGAAATGTATTATTTTAAAATTTTGGATTCATCAGATTTTTTCAATGAATTACTAAAGTTTTCGAGAGAGAAAAAAAGCAATAAAAAAATGATAAGCACTGATTTAAAATTGATTCTCCTGTCTTATTTGGAGATATCAACATAGTATATGAAAAAATATAGATTATTTTGTAAACTTTATAATTTTATTAATATTCCTTATTATTCTGAATGGATGATTTATTATTAGTGTTCAATTCTGAATGCATTTACAGCATGAATGGTTTATTATCATTTTTCAACTCCAAATATATTTATAAAATGAATTGTTTGTTATTATTGCTGAAATTTGAAAACATTTATAAAACGAGTTGCTTATTTTTATTGTTAAAGTTTGAATGTTTGATAAAATGTATGTTTTATTAGTATTTTTCATCTCTGAATGCATTTATAGAAGGAATATCATTAAAAGAAAGCAATATATTGGTAAAAAAAAACAGAAATTTCTTTTCTTAAAAGATGATTGTTAGTTTTTCTATGAATACATGTTTCAAACTTGTATAATCTTTAATGCTTTTTCTTAGATAATTTTTTGCACAATGATGTTTCTCACAGATCCTTATATAATAATACATTTCATTTCTTATTTTTATTTTTTTATTGATAAAAGTTAAATTAAATATTTGATATATCTAATAATATTTAGAAATAAAAGCTTATATGAAAATAATAAAAAGATTACACAGAAGAACAAATTTTTAGCCTCATTTATAAGTACTTGATCTTGCCTAATTCGGATATAGGAATTTTAAGTTTGAAATTAGTTTTGCCCCTAAAGCTACAGATTTTTAAAAATGAGATTTTCAGTCTATTTTTTTATTTAAATCTACATGTTTTAAAGCTTTATTTATAATGCACAGGAATCCATGCTTAGAAATGTCGTTGTACGCAGGTAGGAGTACTTCCCTATTATGATCTGTTTAGAAGCACACAAAGTAACAAATGATATTTTCGGGCATGAGGTCCTATGCACTTTTAAACCTTTATTAATGATCTGCCTTAACTTCCCTAGAAGTTTGTTGCAACATTTATGCGATCCCCTGTTGTATATAACTTTTTAAACTCGTGCATTTTAACAAAAAAAGGACTAAAAATGTCATTTGCAACTGCAACTTGGAAAGAGAAATCGATTGCATTGTCGAGCAATCGCAATCGAGCAATCAGTTGCAAATCGAGCAATCAGTGACGTAAAAATTTACAAGATCCATGAAAAAATCGCATGCAACAGGGGGAAAAATCATTCTCCTGTGTTATCCTTGCTGGATGGAAAATTACATATAAACCCCACATTCAATAGTTAAATGAGACATACATGCATTTTGGTTCAACAAAAATAACAACTAATTTGTCCTGAATTCTACAATTGGCACTATTGTTGTTACTATAAGTGCTGAACCAATACACATAAAAATGTATTTGGTGACGCGTAAGTCTTTCTGTTTCTTGGCACTTAAAACAGTATTGGTCGTGATGCCTAAATTAGGGGAGAGTGGGGTCAATTGTAACAGGGTACGATTGTAACAGAGCAAAAATTTCGAGTATCGGGTTCTAGATTTGGTTCCCAGGTGGCGCACAAGGTGTATTTAATAAATCTACATGTACACCCCTGCTGGCAACCATTTTTATGTACTTTTGAAAGAGTTACATCACAAAAGATATTTTCACGCTACGTAAGTACTTTTTTTGGTATTAGAATATTATATTGTAACAAAGTAATTTTGTTTAAACAAATAAAAATTATTAACCGAATATGTAAGTGGACACCTTAATTAACATTTCAAAAAAAAAAAAGATTAGTTTTGCTAATTAACTAGCATTGTTTTTAACAAATGAAGCTGAAATGGCGTCTTGGGGACGATTGTAACAATAAGTAAAGGGACGATTGTAACAGCTGAAAATAAATAATCTTATGTTTACAAACCATTACTTAACTCTTTAAGAACCACCAATAGTTTCCTATATCATTTATATTATGTTGCATGTGCATTATTTTATTTGTCACCTTTCACAGCATAAATTAAAATTTTTAACCCCTTAAAGTTAAAAGTTTAACCCTTTAGGTCTCTGCTCATTATTATTTTTACTCCTAAAATATCACTACTATTTTGATCAAATAAAAAATATATCACAACTATGATAATATGTATAATTAACTATGTTTTAGTTGAATTTATGAACTGTTACAATTGATCCCGTAAGTGGGGACAATTGTAACAAGTGCACGACTGTCAAAAATTGTTAATAACTAATATAATAACATTTAAAATAAGGTATTTATTTTTTTTTCTAGTAGAGGATAGTCTACTTTTCTCGTCTGTCAATTAATACAAATAATATATTGGATTTTTTGTTAGTTAAAAATAGTTAAGTAAAAAATGTTACAATTGACCCCAATTACTAAGAAATTCAATTATTAAAAAATCTCTATCACAGCTTATTTTTCTAACCCATTTTTCGTAGCATTTCGCTAAGATTGTATAAGAATATTTAAAGCCTGCAGAAATGTTTCTTCTGACTCTTAATATTAATAGAGCGTTATGAGTGTAATAAAACAAGAACGAAAGCTGAATAACGCTATAAACGTTTCTTAACTCTTCAATTTTTCTATGAAAGAAATAAAACACTCGCACTATTATATTTCTTATGTCAACGTCCCAATATTTGTCCTTAAAACTCAATCAATTTTCTTTCCAGAATCTAATGCTGAACAAACATTTTTAAGATAACTATTGTTCTGGCAATGAGTTCAAAAGTTATATCTTTTTTGTAACTCCTTCTCTAATTGTTCAGTTGTTTCAAATATGATATGTATACAGAATAAAATTTATCGAAAAAGTTAAGCAATTTCATTAAAGTTTATACTAGTCAAAAAGTTTCCACGGCGTCTCCTTGTCTTTTGCTTCTTATACAAATGCAAATGAGTCAATAGAAATTATCTAAACGATTCCAGATTCAATATCATGCTAACTAGATAATTCATTATCTAAAATCAAGCAATATATCTTGCAATGGCCTCACTTTATCTGTCACGGTTGATATAATTCTGGTAAACCAATTAAAATAACTACGCGCTTTTAAAACCAATCATAAATGATTATCGATTTCCCTTCCTAAGATTTAGTGAAATCTTACTTTGACGTTATTTAATCTGTCACAGCAAAAGTGAGGTCATTGGAATGTCTATGTTGCTTTCAAAACCAATATTATGCCTAACTACCTAATTCACAACCTAACTACCTAATTCACAACCTAAGAATTTATGAAATATTTTCTATGGCGTCACCTTGCTTGTCGCAGCTTATACTAATCCTAATGAACTAAAGGGAATAAGACTTCCAAAATTAATATCGAATCGAACTAACGAAAATCCAGTAATAGATCTTGCTATATGACATCACCTTGACTATCGCAGCTTATACAAATCCTACTGTTCAGGCAGCTTCCAATATCATGCCTTGAAGCTCAGAAGAACAAATAATAATAACCCGTTCACCCGAATACTATCTCAAGTAATTACAGGTTGTTTCGTTATGATTATCCTCAATATATATCTTAGGAATCCTTGTAGAAGAAAAAACATGCATATTATAGGTGATAAAATTAATATGCAAGCTAGTAAAGAACATAAACACTATCAATTTCTAATGAATGATTACTGAAAAGTAGATACCACCAGAAACATCAAAACCTGTTGTTGGTTTCCGATTTTATAATTTATTACCCACTTATTTATATGTCTTTACGATGAAAAAAGCAACTACCATTCCGAGAAAGACCTTCAAGAAATCAAACTGGTTTTGGAACATTAAGTCCAGTCTTTTTCAATGCTGATTTGTTAGATTTTGATATTGTTTATAGTTTTTCTATAAAACCATTATAGTTTTTCTAAATAGTTTCATTTTATAGTTTTTCTAAAAAGCAGCTTTGAAACCTTTTTTTTTTTCGAATAACAAATATTTGCTCCCAAATTCTTTATATGTCAAGCAACTCATTTATCATAACAATTTTCATAGATTTCTAGAAAAGGAATCAAGATGATCTTTTCCATTTCAAATCCATCTTCTGACCTAATTTATGGTATTAATAAATCGTAGTTTCATGTATTTGGTTGAGTTGATTCACATTTCGATATAAAACTCCATATTTTTATATAAAGTTTCATATAGTTTAATAAAGCTTTATATTTTTATGTAACGCTTCATATTTTTATGCATAGCTTCTGGATATTCATATAAGTTTTTTCTTGTTTTTATGTAAGGATTTTATATATTCAGATGAATTGTTTCATGTTTTTATGTGCCTCATGTATTTGGATATACTTTTTAACTCATTTTCATTTGTTGCTTTATGCTTTCGTATGTAATTTCACTTTTTTCCTTTATATTTTTAATATGTTGTTAGTTTTGACGTACATATTAAATTTTCTGTGTTTCTATGAAATATACAAAAAGCATAACTTATCTATTTGATGTATTTTGAGTTTCATTACAAGTCAAACTTGCAAATACAATCCGCATAGATATATCCTAAATTTTTCAGAATTATATCTTAATAAAAAAAATTTTAAAAAAAATTAATAAATAAATTTTCAAAAAAATCAGTTTCTAATCATTATTTAAAGAACCTTCTCAATGCATTTTTATTCCGGAAGAGGAAAATGAATACGAAACAATAAATGCAAATACCAGTTTTAGTTTTACCAGCACTTTGTAATCTTATCAAGAAACTAAAATTTCAATGAAAAAAACTTTATCAAGCATAGTAAATTATCAGGTCGTCAAGGATGAAATTTGTAGTGTGGTTATAATAAATTTAATTAATTGACATTTGATTAAAATTTTATCATTTTTTCGAATGTAGAAGTGTTGCAAATTTCACCAACTTAAATAAATTACCATGAGCTCTAAGAATATTCATTTCTTAAAAAATTTACTTTATTGAAAATGAAACATCTTAAATTCGTACATCATCTTAACTATGTAGTATGTAGTAGAAGCAAGCCTCTTAACTATGTAGTAGAAATATCTTAAACTATGTAGTATAAGTTCTTACGCAAAACTACGGTATCGTAGATCACATGAAGCATTAACAGTGTATTTGGCTAGAGTATTAGTTGACTTAAGTGCTGATTGAACTGTGATGAATCAATAAAACAAACTCCAAAGCATAATATTAACCAAACAAATCTGATGGTGAATGTTCAGTGCTCTAGCCTAGGCGTAATCCATTATGATTTTACAAAACATGGCTCATTGGTCACAAAAACTTAAACAGATAGAGATTGGCGAAAAGATATCCTCTTGTCTTATTGCTTGATATTGTCAAATCACACACTGCACAAATGACAATGGTAAAATTACAAGAATTGGAACATCATCATCCTCCATGCAACACTGGACCTAGACCTCAGTGACTACCACATCGTTCTAAATTTGAATACTTTTTAATCGAAAAGCAAAAAACTGCCTTTCTGAATACATTGATTATCGTCAGGCAGGATTTTTCACACCGACCAGGGCAACCTGGTAGGACCAGGTTAATTTTACCGCTTGCGAGGTAAAAATGTAAAGAGATGACATAGTTTGATGACTGAAATAGTTCCTAATGTCTGAAAATATGAACCAACTATGTCTTTTTCTGCAAATTTTACAAATTTCATGCTTGAAGACGTAATATTTTAATATGGAGAAAACTCAGCTCATTACTATATTTAAAGAATTGATAGTTATACTTACTAAAATACAATATGATTAGCAGTACAGCATTTAAAATTGTTAGGACGTAAGCAACATTTCTTTTGCCCGATTCAATTTCTTGCGGGTTACTACAGTCAGTGCTGACTAATAAGGGTGTGAACATCAATCCAAATGACACACCAATCTGAAAATGAAATTTATTAAAAAAACAAGAAAGAATCATTCAGAAAAACACACAAAAATCGGCAGTAGTAAGAAATTCGACATAAATAACAATTGACGAAGAATTTCCTTTTTGTTTTAGTTTTTTCTTTTAAAATAATCAATAAAAACCAATAATTATATTATTTCATGACGCATTAAATTTCACAATAAATCTATATAATTATAGATTTTAATGGAATCAAAAATATGAAATTATTTAAAAGGATTATATTTCTAAGCTATATTTTGCAAAATTTATAAGATTTTCTGTTGCTACACTATCTGAACAAAATCTAATTCAAGTCTACAAGACGTATAATTTTGGAGTTAATAAGTTGTCCTATAAAAGATTTATTAGGATTAAAGTATATATTTAAGTAATGAATTTAGAACTACAAATTGCTACTTACTTCATTACCTAAAACTCCAAAAGCACATGCCCGAGATATCTCGTTCGCGGGGAACCACCTTGCAGCCAAGAAGGGACTCATTCCAATAATGAACACACTGGCTAAAGCATCGAAGAAGCAGCTCAACATTACAAATGGAAACCCATCTGGCTTCAGTGCCAGAAACTGAAGTGAAACAGCTGAAAAAATTGTCAAATCCATATATTAAATCCATTGATTTAAATTTAACTTTTATTTCTAAATCTTACCATTGGATTGTTCAAAAAGTAATTTCATTTTTTTTTTTAATTTCAAATGAAAAACGGTTTTTTGATAGTCTTATATTTTATTGAATGATATATTGTCCATTCTGGTTTAAAATTTTTGCCATCTTTCTGGCAGTAGCAGGATTCCACGCTACTAAAATACTTGCTGCTCACTGGCTTAAAAATTCATCGAGATAGTTCTTGATCTCCATCGCTTTGAGCCAGTTCACCTGTTTTACTCCATAATCTCAAGTCAATGACAAACCATTTCCCGTACCAATGATGACGCGCTTCAAAAATGGATGGTTTTCTTGACTTTTGAGTAGCAAATTACAGACGCCAACACGACGACACAAATTTCTTTTCGTACGAACATTAGAATCACATACGCCGAGCTTTAAGATTAAGCCTAGGCGTTTAAAATGATCATGAACGGTCGAATTCGAAATTTAATCTAATCTCTCAAATCTAATCTTAATCTAATCTTAATAGTTTAAATTTAATCTCTGCGATCTTACTAGTTGTTGTTTGCTGGTTTGCATCAATTAAAACCTTTATTGCGTCTTCATCAACTTCTGGCTTCCAGAGCGTGGTGCATCTTCAGCATCACAATTACTGGATAGAAATTTTGCAAACAAATTTCGGCACTGGCGAGCTGTCAATACATCTTCTCTATACGCATCATATAATTTTCTCATGCTTGAACAGCCTTTTCACCTTTTCAATAGTAAAGGAGTAAAATATGCCGAACTTTCCATATTTGAAAGGGCACCAAAAAAAAGTTATTGCGTAGAATGAATCGATTTCTCTCAATCAAGCTATGCTATATCATCTGCTAAATCATACCAAGATTATGTGACTTAAGTATTGGACACAATTAAGTGAAAATACACAAATAAGTCTGCTGTTGGGAAAAAGCGAAAGTACTTTCTGAACAATCAAATATAATAACTCATTGCTAACCAGCACCTAACTACTTGCATTTTATTAGACATTTTAAAATATTTTTGAAATATATAAAAGGTTCATAAAAGATCTATATCATAGCAGTTAATTAAAAGAAGAAAAGATGAAGTTTTAGCAGAATTGTTTTTTGAAGTAAAAACTGTTGTTTAGAGTTTTAAAGAAAAAAAATTTGTGCTGTCCACATTTCCGTTCATCTTTATAATTGACCGAATTTTGAGAGACACAATTGCAGACTTAATAGGGGATATAAGATGGAGACTCAATACCTCCCTAGAAAATCTAGATTTTGCAAATGACATTGCGCTAATGTCATCAAAGTAAAATTGACCTTGAAAATAAAGCACACTTAATTAATGAATACGCAAATAAAGTGGAGTTACATCTAAATCAAAAGAAATTCCAAACTATGTTGCCAATGCATAATCTTTAAAGAAAACCAAAAATTGATGATGATGAAATCAAAAATGTATAAGAATTCACATGCCGTCTCGGTTCTGTCCTTGGCAACAGTGGAGAACTACATGTGGAAATTAAAGACAGAGCCATCCGAGCAAGAGCACGTTTTAAAAACCTTGAAAAATTTTGGAGGTCAGCAAGCATTCAATACATAACAAAAATAAATATTTATAAATCCATAGGTTCAAGCAATTTTATTATTATTATGAAACATGATGACTTAAATCAAACATCCAAAAACTCAAGTTTTTCTAAAATAACTGCCTCAGAAAAATCTTCTAAATCTCTTAATCTGCCAAAAAAAAATGAAACAATATTAGAAAGACCAAACCTCTCTATGAACGAAGAAAAAATCTACAATAAAAGTCGAAATCGACAGGTTTTTGATGGCAGGATAAAAAAGATATGAAGCAAATTCTGGCCCATCTTGTATAAACTGAAGCTATTGGAGGAGCAATATCATCACTGCTAGTTTAAAAGGGTAAATACATTTGAAAATTTCTTGAAAACTGCCACAGATGGTAATTTTATTCTAGGATCTTCCCGAACAATTATTCAATTACTTTTTAATTAATTTCGTCAATGGTAAATTTATAAATAAAAATGTAAAAGTCACAAATAAACAAATATGATAATTTTAAGTGGTGAGCTTCTACTGCTTTAGTCCTTCATATAATTAATTGAAGGGCAGGGGGCCATGCTTTTCTTAGTAATGGCAATTTTTCATTAAAATGTTGCTTACGATAGTTACCAGACAGATACTTTAGAAATTGCTCTAGATAACAGCACAATGCACAATAACATGTTATTGGTATTTTTTTTAAATAAGGTAGTACTCAAAAATGCTCTTCTGAACATTTTTTTTTGTCGTATGCCTGCTTAGGCAATGAGGGTGCGATTGCTTCTGTTTTTCAGTGGCACCATCTATGGCCAGGAATTTGACTTCTGCCACGCCATTCACACAGCCACAACCCGTTTATAGGGCGGGTCACATTCACACACAAAGGAGAAAGGACGTGGAACACATAGAGAGAGAGAAAGAAACATCCATGCCTTTCCCGGGATTCGAACGCAGGATCTTTCTGATGCAAGGACAGTTACTGAACAAATTAAAAATAAGATTTAGCCTTATACTCTTAAAGCCCGACATGTTTACGAGATAATGTTTTGCCTTTAAACACAAAGTAAAACTTATCCAATTGTAGACAACAAAGCACTTGAAATATATAAGCAAATAATTTGTATTTGGGATTATCAAAATAAATCCTTCAAAATAATTTTATGACAAATTCATGAAAGTTAAGCTAAACAAGTTTTACATTAAAAAAGCATATTTACATCCATTTAAAAAAAATTAGCACTAACAATATGAACTACTATTTTGTGAGCGCTTATTTATCAGAATTTTCGATTCTCATGTCAAGACATTTTTTAGCAGTTTAAGACACCCTATATAAGTTTCATACAAACATTCTAAGTAAATTCTAGATGAAATTAAATAAACACCCTATTAGTTCACTGAGAAATCTTCTGTAAATATGTCACATAAAATAATCTGAAATGCTTTGAATAAATATTAATCTAATTAAATGAAATGCAAATTAAAGATCTTAATGGAAAAGGGTTCAAAGTGATATTTTAATGAGTCTGAGTAAAATAACTTTACAAATTAAAGTGTGCTCCTTTTTTTAGCTTAACTAATTCTTTGCATTTTTGGCATACTTTGAAAAATAGTACTCGCGAAATATTAAAGTATATTTTGTCACCAACTCTTTAAATAAGAAATGATTTACTATGGTTGATTTTTATTGGTAGGCAGTGTCCCTTCCGTTCAAGTACTACCTTTTGGAATATAATTTTCATGTGTATCGTTGGTAAAATAAAAACCAAACGATCTAAATAATGTTCGATAATGATAGGATTTTCATGTTCTAGATCACACATTACAAGGTGCTCATTTAATGTATCTTACTTAATTAGTGTAGGCATATAATATAAAATTACTCTTTTTTTAAACTAAAACGTTTTGTTTTTTTTGATAAATTAAGTTTTTTTATATGTAAACGAAAACTACATTCGAAATTTCACCGTTTATTAAAAAAAATGTCAAAATGTATGAGAAAGTATGTATTTATGAAATGTATTTTTACTTCTGGTTCGATTAACAAAAATCCCAAATGCTAATTTACAAACCAACTCTTATGGAGATTTTCCTCCGGACTATAGTTGGCCCATATTTTCGAATAGTAGAATTCTAAGTATTATTTCGATTGCTTTTGTTTCTTTTAAAATGTGTTACCTGAACTAAAAAAAATCTAATAGTGAAGATTTTTTTTTTAAAAAAAAGTGCCGACCAGGTTGTTAAAGGTCACTGGATTGAAAAATTGAATCAGGAACATTCATTTTAATTGCTCAGTCGTGACATGGCGTTGCCAATCTTGATGTCGTGATAGGCCACCCAACTTTCTAGAAAAGAAAAAAAAAACTTTTTCAAGGAAATCATTAATTGTCTGATGCACAGGGAATTTTCTTCCACGCAAGAAACCCTTTATACCTTCATCCACTGAAACCTTCGAAATTTAAAGACTTTGAAAATCAATTTAATATTTTGCAGTTAAAAGACTTAAATAAGATCGTTCCCGAAAAATCTCAACTTTTTTAATATTGTCACTTTGAACCTAATTCCTCTAAGCTCTTCAAATGAATTAAAAACAAGTATAGATGAAAATAATTTACATGTAGTATTGAGAATTGAACCACAGATCAAGGTCCATCGAAGATCTAATATATTCATTAGCAACGAAACAGGAATTATTAAAACAATGTATGTTAGCATCGTGATCTGAGAAGTCCAGTTCACTGCAATTTGACTAACGCCATAGTAACACCCCGTTACATTTGCTTCTGCTATGTGTTGAGGATATAACATACTACCTAGAGTGGCTAACACAAAATACAGCATTAGCATATAAAAACGTCTTCTGTAAGATTTCACTTCCATGCTATAGTCTATTTCGCCTTCATTGCAATTGTATTCATTGTATTCTTCTTTAACATTGCGCAACTCTATGGTTGCTATAGAAGTCACGCCGTTAGACGTTTCTCTCGGACTATCTGGAGAGTCATAGTTCAGAGCAGTTTTTGAAAGAAGGGTAACTGCCATGCTTGTAAATCTTGATTACTGTGTATAAAGAGATTGGATGATTTCAACAAATATTATATGGATGATGTGAACACGAAGCAGCTACGAGCAAACAGTTGAGGCATGCAAAGTCCAGGTAAGTATTTCTTTAAAACCTGTGGGGAAAAACACAATTTTAGATATTATATAGATAAGTTAATTAATAATTAAAAATGCAAAATCTGAGAAGGATATTCAGGTTGATTTAAAAACAAATACGCACAACAAAAATTGCATAAAATATATTTTAAGTTGTATAGGAGATTGCTATAGTTAAGTATGCTTTTGTATATATTGTCCTTGAAAGGAATGCAATGTATTTGTAAATAAATATTGTATTCCGTTCAAGAAAACAAATGTTTTGATTTGGTTTGGTTTGGTTGTAACGTCACACTAAGGTTACTTTAATAATATATAATATGCAATTATAATACTGATGACCGTCTAAGATTCATTTTTAATTATAATCCGAATGCATCATATGAACTACTGCAATTTTAGATCTCAGAGCAGTTAGTGATCACTATGTCCTTCGCTCCAACCTTCCCAGTTGCTTAACTGTGTGCTCTGAAGCTGCTGAGGACATGACATTAGAATAGATTCTGAGTTAAGACATGGTCAGATAAAGTTTTGTCTGATCAGATACCTAATCTTTAGCACGAGCAATGGAATTAATAAGCTAAGACTAAACCTACTACACCGACTCAGATATGTAAGCAGATGTATTGGAATGGATGCACTCACTTTAACTTTTTTTAATATTGATATTCGGGCAATAGTTTAAGATATGAAGAATTAAAAAAAAACTCTCCTCCAACTTTGCGAGCTACTAGGATACATCAAATAAAGGATTTTCACCAACTTATTGTAAAAACATGCTTAACTAATTAATGTAACGCTGTGTTTAAGAAATCATTATCATGTCACGTATAAGAAATATGCAATAATTAATATTATGTTTTATTAATAATTAATAATATTTTTAGAAAATTAGTGTAATAATGTGTTTTGTGAGTTACAGTGGCACTAAGCTGTCATTTTAGAGTACATGGGCAAGAAAATTTATACTTAAGAAATGAACTATTTCTGACTAGTATTTTTTATCATAAAAGTAAATTTGTAGAACTGTTAACATTTTTGTTTTGAAAAACGTTAGAGCCCTATAAAATGTATTTTTGGTGTTAAATTTATTTCCTTGGTCGAACAAAAAACCTAAATACCTTGTGCAATTTACTAAAAGTTTGGCCGAGTTGAGTTTAGTTATATTAGCTGGAATTATAAAACTTGCATCGAACGTAGACAACATTGTGTATGCTCATCAAACGATGAATTGTTTTCAAAGAGGGAAGAGTAAAAAAAGATTCCTTTGGTACCTCGAGCTGTAACGAGTTCACCTTAATCCTTCACTCTACACTTTATAAAAGTGAGTAATAATTATTATTTTCTTACGTAGGATTGGTCAAGTAATTTATGAAAAATGCAGGAGGAAAAAACAGTTACAATTTTTTCAGAGGGGAAAACATTTGCATGTCTGCGAAACTACGCTTACAATGTTATAAATCCACTGACATTCAAGGACCAGATTTGAGCAAAATCAGTCGAATAGCTTTTGAGTAATCGAATTTTAACTATCGAACTTTTTTGAAATTCAATTTCTCCGGAACTTTTCGACTGACTTCGCTCACATTTTGCATTTTGCTATGTAAAATTATATTCTTTAAAATGAGGCAAAAAATTGTATTCCATACACTTTAAAATTTTTTGGCCATTATTAAATAAAATAATAAAAACTAATGAATATTTTCTAAAAGTTATTTCTTACGTTAAATTATCATGGATAAGCGAATTTTATAATTGGGTGCAAAAAATTTTCAATTCACGAGATGTAGCTAAATATCCGAAAAATATAATTAATATTAAGAGGTTCAAACTTTGGATAACTCTCCTGACAGAACTATTGGGACCGTATTGATTGCGGCTACCCCCTATATTTTGCGGGTCGGAAATCCAAATACGTCAAAAAAAATGTTATGTTTATTCATAGAATGTACGTTTTTTTATGTCTGATTTTGAAATTTAGAATATCGTCTGCACTTATTAATTAGCTTATAAGTGCAGACGATAATTGGTCATCGATCATCGATAGACGGTCATCCTCTTAAGCCATCAAGATTGAGTTCTAGAACGTGAAGATCCAATCATTAGATCAAAATTTAATCAAAGTGGTCCGTTTTTCTTTCTTTTTGCGCACTGTGCATGTAAACAAAATTTTTGCAATATATGAAATGCAAAATCAACAAAATCAGTTAGAAACTGAAATATAAGAATGAAGCTACAATTTGCAGTACAAGAACAGAGCTTGCAGAAGAAGAGATTCAGAACAGCAATTATCCCTCTAACTGAAATGGCAGCATTAGCCAAGTTTGTACAGCAAGCTAGTAAGCTAAAGGAAAAGAATTGCTGCGGAAACAGCAATTCTTTTCCTTGACTAAGACATGCAGATGTGCAAAGCAATTTTCAATGGAAAATTAATTTCAAGGACGGGAAAGAAAATCCTATTCAAACTTTACAGATACACAAAGGGGAAAAGTGAAGGGATAAGAAGCCAAAAACTTAGATTAGAAATTTACTAAAAAGAGTTATCTTGATTATCTTGATCCCTTTAATACCAGTGAAAATATACGCCACAAATTATTCCAAACCGGTTTGAATTTGTAACAGTTATACATGACTGCTAAGGTTAAAATTTGTTTATTTTTCACCGTTTCCTAGAGTACTAAGTATGAAAAGGGCGCAAAATGTCAAAATGAAAAACTCCAACAGTAAACAGATATAAATAGCTGATTGAAAGCGAGATTTCAAAATACATTTTTCGTTCTGAAAATACCAATAACCACAATAAATCTACAAAAGAATTAAAAATAATGAAAACTCTTAGTACTTAAAATTTTAATTCTAATTATTAGTCAAAAACATTCGAATACTATATTTTTTTATTTATATTTAGCCATTAATGTAATTAGCTCTACGCACTAGCAACGATAAAGAGTATAAAATAACTAAACGGTATTTTCCTTTAAATAAATATAGTTATATAAGCTACAATTTTTCCAAACATGGTATACTTACAATAAAATGAGTTTATTTATTTTCAGGTAAGTGCCCATTAAGTTTGAAATATTTTAACTAAATATCAGTTTAAAGTACTAAATACCTAGACATCATTGCTGACATTAAAAGTCATTGTGTTTTTTCTTGTTTTTCAGTAAAAACGACCTCCTGGTTATTTTGAAAATCTTATCGTCAGATCGCCCTAAACCCTTCAATTTCTGAATAACAAAATTAATTACTCACCGAGATGAATCATACATAAAAAAAGTAGTTATTTTATTTTATTGCATATTTATGGCATTATATCTTTTATCATACAGATGAATGACAAATCTCATAAACTCATAAAATACTTGTAAATTTTATTCATGAAAATTTTGTAATAAAAACAATACTTCAATGAGAAAAACAACTACATGTACAGTTAGCAAAAAAAAGGACCACTCTGAATAACTTTTGATCTAATGATCGGATCTTTACGTTCTAGAACTCATTCTTAATAGTTCGAGGAGTGACTTCAAATATGTTAATTATTTAGTGCAGATAATATTTCAAGTTACGAAATAAGACTCAAAAATGTACTTTCTATGAATAAATAAAAAAAAATTTACGAATTCTGATTTCTGACACCCAAATTATTGGGGTAGCCGCAATCTGGGAAATACGGTCCTAATAGTTCTGTCAGAAGAGTGGTCCAAAGTTTGAACATCTTAATGTTAATTTTACTTTTTGCGTATTTTACGATATCTCGAGAATTTAAGTGAATTGAAAATTTTTGCTCACAGTTATAAAATTCGTTTACTCAAAGATGCAAGTATTTGAAACGTGAAATACGCAAATAGTAAATTTAACATTAAGGGGTCAAAACTTTGGAGCGCTCTCCTGACCAAACTATTGGGACCATATTTCCCTGATTGTGGCTACCCCCTATATTTTGGGGTCAAAAATCCAAATCCACCATAAAAATGTATGTTTATTCAGAGAAAGAACGTTTTTGGGTTTGATTTCGTAGCATAAAATTTATGTAATGTAAATGTCTCCACTAATAGATGTACGTAAATGTCTTCACTAAATAATTAGCATATTTGAAATCACCCCTTTGAACCATTAAGATTGAATCCTGGAATGAGAAGATCCGATTATTAGACCAAAAAATCAGGGTGGTCCGGGTTTTTTTTTTTTTTTTTTTTTTTTTTTTTTTTTTTTTTTTTTTTTTTTTTTTGCGCACTGTGCATTGTAGCCATAAATCTATTGAAAAAAATTATAAATATGGAACAAAAGCAGCTTTGAATCTGTTTTAGTTTAATGAGTAATACTGTTCTTAAAAAAATTAATCGGGAAAAATATACGAATTATAGTAACTGTTTCAAAAACATACGACTAAAAATAATTCCTTTCTGAAGTAAGCAATTAGAGGCTTAAATCATTTAAACTAAATATATGTAATTCAGAATTAGAAAGTAAATTCTGAATATTTTTTCAATCTCTGTAACTCAATTAATATTTCTCAATTCAGTTTTGTTCAGTGAAAAGAAAATATTTTTTTAAAGACTGTATTATGAGTTCATGCGTATATGATTTATAAATATTTACTACCAGTACTCCAATTTTTCCACTGCTTTTCAGTTACGAATTAATTAAATTTCCATTTGAGAACTAATTAAAATTAACCATTAAAAAAATTTAATTAACAAATGTAGTTACTATGTGTTAAAGATACCATAAAAAGTATAACTTATTTTGATGTATTCTAATACTAACACCGCAATAATTAAGCTGAGCACGATTGTTATTAAATTAATTTATTATTCAAAGATATTAACTTAATAACATGACAGTTTGCAAAGATTTTTTTGTTAAAAAAATAAATAAATTATGTATTTTTTCTCAGAATTAATCTTTTTTTATGTTTGCTATCCAAATATCTTTGAAAAAAATAAGTCATTACTTCGACGGCCATCCTATGCATGTTACGCATTCGTCATATTTCCTGAGCTTTGACCGTCTATAATTAGACTTATATCATCATAAAATTCCCTGGGCTTTAGTTTGCCCAGCGATCATCAATATAGCATTAGTAGTTTCGATTAAAATAATTAACTCGAATTTTTAAGATCCACTACAAGAAACGAGGTTATTAAATATTTCACTTATTTGGAATACTTATTCGTTATCCATTCTTATCAGCATTATATCATTGCTCGGATGACGTGGTAGACGTCTGAGCTGATACACTCTCTCTTGGAGTTCCTACCACTACAAATAATATTTAACTTGAAGCATATGCACCTTTTAACCAGAACATGTTTAGCGCGTATCTTTTTGGTTGCATATTTTGGCATATTTGGTAGTATTCAAAATTGAATTCATGATTACAGAAATGTAAGACAGCTTTCAACAGAAATGTAAGACTTGCTAGTTAATGCACGCCGATAACAGAAAAGTGATGATTACTATGGATTCTGTGCTCTGAGTTTCATTTCTGATCCAGAACTTCTCACTGCATACTTCAAAGGTCAGATGTATACCTAATCTGTTCCACTAATTAGTCCAATTAGTACTATAATCCCATCATCGAATTAGGACACCTTAATTTTGGTATCATTTGATTCATCGTAAAAAAAATACACAGAATACAAAACCTCACTTGAAAAACAGCAATGTTTTTTTTTTCCTTTTGACCCTTCTTCCACCTCGATAAATTCAAGATGGTAGCAGAAGATGATGAAAATATTAAGAAAATTTTTTCTTGTAGTAAGAGAAAACGGAACCTGGAGAATTCGTTACAACCATAAATTACAATCAAAATACAAAGAACCTGACGAAATAAAAATGATGAAAATTTCTCAAATAAGGTGGCTAGGACATGTATTTTGATACAGCAATGAAAAACCTGTTAAAAAAATATCCTTCGAAACACCAGAGGGAAAAATAAAAAGAGGAAGACCTAGGTCAAAATGATTAGATAGAGTAGAGAAGTAGTTAAAGGACTTGGGAGTTAATAGTTGGAGAAATATAGCATCGAGCTAAATGGGGGTAAACTGATTGAGACGGCCTTGACCAGTAACCTGGCTGTAGTGCCTAAGAAGAAGTTTTCAACCTCCTATCGGAGGTTGAGAAATTCTGGTCTTCCTATTAGGCTGAAATCACAAATTTTAAAACAATTTTCAGTTCTCCCCTAACTAGTTACGTAGTTAATCTGCCTTTTTTTTTAAGACAGAAACTAGCCTAATATCAATTTAGATTGGAAAATAAATTTGTTCACTCAATTCTTAATTTACAGTCCGTAAAAATAATTTAAAACTCCATGTAGTGTATGTTTTTATACTATTTTAGTGCACAAAAATAATTTTTTATTGTTATTAAGCAGTCTTTCTTCAATATTTTTTGCTCATGAACATCTACACATTTAGAAAGTTAATTATTTCTTAGCTTATTATAAAGCAGGTTTATACATTTAGGTTATACATTTATTTAGGTTATACATTTATTTATACATTATATCAGGTTATACATTTATTTATTTATCAATTTACAGTAATATTATAAGTTCATTAAAATTATTTTAAAAATTTACTAATTTATCCTAATTAGTAAGATAAAACGTAAAAATATTTTTAAACACAATATTTAAGCATACCTTAGTATTATCCTTCCAAGCTTCAACAACATATCTTTTCATTTCTTTTTATTTTTTCCTATTTGTTTGAGAATGCAATATTCCGCTACGATGAGTACAGCAGTAACGGTAACTTTCCAACTGTACAGTGAACATTCGATTTTTCAACAAATAGTTTTGAGGTAAGTGTGACAACAAACACAGTCACAAAAAAAATTGTTATTGCAATTTTACAACCCTATAACGGGGATATAAAACACGTACCTTTTCGAATCATAACCGCAGAACAGCATCCAATAAAAGTGTTACAAAATGTTAGCCGATACTCTGATTTTAAGTTGAGAATTCAACTCTCGAAATAAAATTACTGTAAAAATATTCAATAGGGTCATAACTCTTTTATGAAAGCTTGTTTTTATGTTGCCGTTTATAAAATATTTGTGAAAAACAATTTTAAAGAAGAAATATTTTGTATTTGCACTACCTATACAAACTCGTTTTAAAAATTTGCCTAGACTATTAGGTGCGATTCAAACCATGATATCGTGCGACGTTTTCAGACGTTTCTGAAACTTTAATGCGGTGTCAAAGTAGCGATGCAAAATAAGCTATCTTAAATAAGATAAGCTATCTTAAGTAACGTGTTATTATGCAAAATAAGCTATCTTAAATAAGATAAGCTATCTTAAGTAACGTGTTATGATGCAAAATAAGTTATCTTAAATAAGATAAGCTATCTTAAGTAACGTGTTATGATTCAAAATAAGCTATCTGAAATAAGATAAGCTATCTTTAGTAACGTGTTATGACTCAAAATAAGCTATCTTAAATAAGATAAGCTATCTTAAGTAACGTGTTATGATTCAAATAAGCTATCTTAAGTAACGTGTTATGATTCAAAATAAGCTATCTTAAATAAGATAAGCTATCTTAAGTAACGTGTTATGATGCAAAATAAGCTATCTTAAATAAAATTACACTATACTACGGTACAAATAAGAGCTTTAATCAGGTTGTGGCAATTGCGGTTCAAAATACTGTTATTATGGTTCAATGCTGAACTGATTTTCCTGTGAATATGTGGTGCAATTTACCCCTAATTAAAGCCAAATAATAAAAGATCATACTGATCCAGTAAAATTACCAAATTTAGTATCACCGTAATAAATTTTGTAGAAAACAGTTTTAAAGAAGTATTTGCTGATTACACCAGTTAGGAAAACTCTTGACGAAAAATTTACCTGGAATACCAGAAATTTTAGCACACCTCAATCACAATATCATGCAAATTTTCAGCAAACTTAATACAGTATGAAGTATCACATTATCGTAAAGATTAAACCATTTCAGATTTCAAAAATTTTATTTACTCCATTCTGTTAAAAAATTAATCTTTCTCATAGTTTTCTAAGCTTTATAAACTAAACTGTCGGCGCTTCTGTTCTTTTTTTCTTCAAATATTTGAAAGGAATAAATAACATCAGTTATGTTTTCCCACTTGCAGTTCTGTTTAATCAAAACCTTGATTTATTGTACATTCTTTAACAATTAATTATTCGTCTTCGATCAACTACAGGACTGTAAGGCAAGCTTAGACAAAAATGAAAGTGAAATTATGTCACCAAATTAATAGTTAAATTTTTTTTGTTTATAGTTGCGCATTTAAAACGCGTTTTTATAAATAGAAAATATAAATATAAATAAAAAGCAATATAAAAGTAAAAATAAATAAATTATAAAAGTTAATAAGGAAATAATAATTTTTGGAACTAAAGTGCAAAATTAATGGGGAAAATAGCTTCAATGTAGTAAACGTGGACAGTCATGAGTTTACCACGAACAATAGCCTTATTTTTTTATCAGAGCCGAATAATTATCCTTATTTTGATCTCCATATTTTATTTTTTTCTTTTACTCCTTACTTAGAACGGATATTCAACTGTTCAGAATCAACTAATAATAATTTCTCTACCAATCTACCATTACCATGATTTATTATACTAAAATTTATAATTTCTCGAACATTAGAGGGCAGAAAATGGGTATTTTGCATAAAAAAATTAAACCTTAGGAAATGTAGGACAGTTAATTTCCCTTTATTGTCGAGGAAGAAATCATTTATGTCGGGGCAGCGAAGTTAAATTTATCTGGGCAATCATCTTATTGAATTAATTCAACACTCTTATGTCTCTGAAAAAGTTACTATAATAAAGTATGTAGGTGAGTTCTTGGAGAATCAGTTGGATTTTTCAATTGTGTAGTTGGTCCTCATTTTATTTTAATTAGGCATTGGAGATCATGCATAGCCATGTTGAGTTTAAGGGATTCCAATTCTCAGAAGATGAAAGGTATTTGTCTGATTATTGATTTTCCATCTCCCCAGACCTCAACCCTAAAGAACATACCTGAGACCCTTTGAAGAAGGCTCCCATCCAGCAAACATTCAAGCTTTGCTGAAACAGGTGGACCCATTGACACAAAAACTTTTAAATTGTCTAATTTCCTCATTGTGAAAGCTGTGTACCAGTAATAGGTAATAACCTTGGCACTATTAAATTAATCGATGATAAAATTATGTTTCTTTATTTTTGTCGTCGATGAAAGCCATTTAACTCCAGAAGTCCAAATGTAACGTTCTCCTGTGACAGTGTATCTCCAGACATTTTTTATAATACCTAGTAATAAAAAATCATTGGTAATTGAATTAAAATTAAAAACCAATCATGTACGAATAAAAATTAATCTGGAAAAGATTTTTTTTTTTTCGTTTCGGTGAACCATAAAGTATTGAAAAGGTACTGGTAAAGCCAACGGAGATTAATTAATTTTTGCGATAGATACTTTTGGTATTATGGTAATAAGGTGTTGTTTTAATAGGTATCAAACATACTAATAAAATTACCATGGTTCTTAATGCAGATACTATGGAAGTAGGTTTTCATAGCTTCCCGGGAGGGATAAGCACGGCAAAAAAAAATCGCGATTATGGTAAATATTTGCTATCCCGAGTTGGCTACCGGTAGCATTAAAATAATTTATTATCATTCTAAAATTTGATTCTATTATTCAGCTGTAATTTCAGCTGTCTTTTCCAGCTGTAAAAAGTTTATTCGTTATTAGAATATTATGCCAACCAGCCTGTGTAGGGGGCAGAAAACTGTCCTTGCATCAGGAAGGCTTCGGGTTCGAATCCCAGGCAAGGCATGAATGTTTCTTTCTCTCTATCTGTATTCTATGTCCTTTCTCCTTTGTGTGTGAATGTGACCCGCCCTATAAGCGGCAATAAGAATAAAAC